AATAGCTACAAGGAACATTAATATTAAAAGCATGAACACTCTGAATGAGAAAATTGGCTGTCTCCAAATGGGATTCTCTGTTTTTGCCAAAGTTTAATTCTGCTGTTTGGACCACAAGCCCACAGAGCAGGGAAATTAGGGGAAAGCAATGAGTGCTATATTTGCAAAGGAATGAGGAAGGGCCAGCTCTGCATTTGTGCTCAGTGGCACACATCACAGAGCAGCTGCCATGGATGATTGGACGCACGCTGCATATTTAGCTTTTCACTTTAAAAATACCACACTTTTGTTGCCATCTTTGGGAACCAAATGGCAAAAAATGTAGCATTGGGATGAGCTTATGCGTCTTTGAAATCACATATTTAAGCCAAAGTAATTAGCTTGGATGCTAAACTAAAACATCTGTAAAATGGGTCAATTTTATGGAAAGTCCTAATCCTAAATGCAACAATATAGTTGATTATATAGAAAACTCTCTGGAGGAGCAGAAGACCTTGAAGCATTAAATATCATTTTAGGGCTCGTTGAATTGTAAACTTTAATACAAAACTCTGCAACAGTAAACTTTGGGTGTGATTGAGTCAATCACTGGCGCTCAGTGATTAGATAGATCGATAGATAGATATGCCAACATATACTTTATTCATCCAAAAAGAAATTGAGCATTGGTCCCTTGTTCTCAATCATACAAACATACGAACATAGAATAGACAATAAAACGTACTCACTGATCTTACCTGATTTAGAAACATTGGAATACTAAGACTAAATCTTTCTGACTAAAAAAATAAATGTACTCTCATTAGCTTTGCTTTACTTTACCTCAAGGATGTAAAGTAATCTCAGTGTGACTACAGCTGTTGGTGTTGTCCTCAGAGGTTTGATACAAGAATATTACTCACTAAACAGCATCATGAAGTACTGTAAGCCACCAGACAGGTCAGGATAATAGGGCAAAGATTTCCCATTCTCTGAACATCTCACAGAGCATTGTTTTCATCCATCACCTGGAACTGCGAAGAGTTTGGTGCAACTGAAAACCTACCAAGACTTGGCCAACGGCACAGGCTGCAGCTCGAACGAGGGCAGCAGTGCTCAGAGGTGCTTACAAGCGGCCAGTGGAAACTCTGGAGGTGCTGCAGACATCCACAGCTCACCTGGAAATCTGTAATGTAAAATAATAGTCATGTTTTTAAATAATCTGGATTTTCTCTGGACAAGTGGCAAATTTGGAATAAAGCGACTAAAGCCACAAAAAGCAAAGCGGGGACACATCAAGCATATGGAAGATGTGGTCAGATTTTGTTTTGCTTGTGTGGTTGGAAACTAACACTGTCATTTGACATGGATCCCCAGTGTCAAACCTGTTGGTGGCAGCATCATGCTGTGGGCCTGCTTTTCTTCAGCAGGGACAGGCTCGAGTGTAAAGATGTATGAAGCAAATACAGGATAATTTGGAAACGTTGGAGTCTGCAAAATACTTGAAGCTGAGGTGGGTGCCTACCACCACAACAATTTCCCTTAACATTAGACTTTTCATACAGAGGAATGGTGTAAAAATAATGACAATGAAAATATTAATAATAATAATAAACTATGGAAGGCTCCAGTCAAGATGTGGAAGGCTCATAAAAGCATACCCAAAAAGACTTGCTCCTGTATCATCCTGATGAAGAAATGAAGAAAGCAATCCATTGTGTCATTTAAAAGGTCAATACAAATATTATTATTAGAACAATAAACAATATGTTAATTAATGTTATGTTAAAAGGTGCATATGTTGATCATGTGTACGTTCATTTTGCATGTATTTTTCTCCAGGCTTCAGCTTGTACAATGTGAAACTCTGTTTTCAAACAGCCTTAACAATTATTCATCATCAACTCGTGCAATTTCATTTGTGTCTTTACCCAAGCACAGTCTAATGGAAGGACATAATTCTAAAGTGAATATTGTGTGAGGCTTCCCATATCTCAGCCAATAAATCAGAAGAAAATACAATCTGAGCCTGCAGGGTGTTTCTGAATGAGCTGCTAAATATCAAACAGTGACCTTTCAAATATGGAAATAAAGAAAGCTCACACCAAACCGTAACAAGATACGTAGGCAGAGGTCTGTATTGTCGGAAAGGTGTTAGTTGTTCTTGGAGATAGAAATAAAACACATTCAATTGTACACAAAAGCCTTTTGCTTCTGGACACAAACTTGTCATTCTGACCTTGGTTATCCACCGTGCCAGAGAACAATGTCTCCATAAAAAGGGAATTTGAGTGAAAGTCGCACAGATGTTTCAGGGTGCACATTCCAAGGAAACGTTTTGCTTGAAATCAAATTTGTAAACTATGTGGATAAAATAATTAGATGCCAGAAGGTTGAAAATGATCATTTTAAAGATATAACACACCGCTTCACCAAGCTTGCTCTGATTTCAACCCAGCTGCAAGCGAGTGAACAAAAACCAAGATGGTAAAATGCTAAAAGTAAATCATTCAATAAAGACGAGCGTAATAAGCCGACACAAAAAAATGGGTGAGATGCAAATACAAAAGGGAGGGGGGTAAACAAAATGTTAAAAAGACTAAACAAAACAAAAAGTGCCACATCACAGTGACACGACATCAGAATCAGAATCAGAATCATTTTTATTGCCAACGTAAGTAACAGGAGGTCACAGACTAGGAAATTGCTTTGGCTCAGTGCAACAGTCAAAAATAGATAATAAAAATAAGAATAAAAAACACTTCTAAAGAATACATTTAAATTTAAAATAGAGTTACAGTTACTATTTACAATATACAAGTGCACATGGTGCACACAATGTAAGGTGACAGCAGTACAGTGAAGTAAAGTGACGTATGATGGGCAGTAAAGTGACTTTATAAGGGGCGGGGGGACAGGTTAAGAAGTGTTCAAGAGTCCAACAGCAGAGGGGAAGAAACTGTTCTTGTGGCGGGAGGTTCTAGTCCTGATGGACCGCAGCCTCCTGCCTGAGGGGAGTGGTTGGAATAGTCCATGTGCAGGGTGAGAGGGGTCGGCTGTGATACGACCAGCCCGGCCTCGAGCTCGGGCGACGTACAGGTCCTGCAGCGATGGAAGGCTGCGGCCGATCACTTCCTCTGCAGAGCGCACAATGCGCTGTAGTCTCTGTTTGTCCCTGACTGTGGCTCCAGCGAACCACACGGTGATGGAGGAGGTGAGGATGGACTCGATGATGGCCGTGTAGAACTGCACCAACATCTGTGCAGGCAGCTTGGCTTTCCTGAGCTGCCGCAGGAAGTACATCCTCTGCTGGGCCTTCTTGATGAGGGAGCTGATGGTCGGCTCCCACTTGAGGTCCTGGGTGATGGTGGTGCCCAGGAAACGGAAGGACTCCACAGAGGTGATGGGGGAGTCCATCACGGAGGGTGGGGGTGGGGGGACAGTGCTCTTCCTGAAGTCCACAATCATCTCCACTGTCTTCTGGGCGTTCAGCTCCAGGTTGTTACCACTGCACCAGGACACCAGCCGGTCCACCTCCCTCCTGTAGGCGGACTCATCGTTGTTGGAGATGAGTCCAATGAGGGTGGTGTCGTCCGCGAACTTGATCAGCTTCACGGAGTCGTGGCTGGAGGTGCAGTGGTTGGTGTACAGGGAGAAGAGCAGGGGAGAAAGAACACAGCCCTGTGGGGCTCCTGTATTTATAATCCGAGAGTCCGAGACGTTCTTCCCCAGACGCACTCGCTGCTTCCTGTCCGTCAGGAAGTCAGTGATCCACCTGCAGGTGGAATCGGGCACGTTGAGCTGGGAGAGCTTGTCCTGGAGCAGGGATGGCAGGATTGTGTTGAAGGCAGAGCTGAAGTCCACGAACAGGACCCTGGCGTAGGTCGCCGGGGAGTCCAGGTGCTGTAGGATGTGGTGGAGGGCCAGGTTAATGGCGTCGTCTACAGATCTGTTGGCTCTGTAGGCGAACTGCAGGGGGTCCAGGAGGGGGAGGTGAAGGACTTGAGATGGGAGAGAACCAGGCGTTCAAATGACTTCATGACGACAGACGTAAGTGCTACAGGTCTGTAGTCATTGAGTCCTGTGATCCTGGGCTTCTTCGGGACGGGGACAATGATGGAGGATTTGAAGCAGGCCGGGACATGGCAGGACTGCAGAGAGGTGTTGAAAATGTCCGTGAACACAGGAGTAAGCTCACTGGCGCAGTGTCTCAGAGTGGCCGGAGACACGTGGTCCGGGCCAGGAGCTTTGCGGGGGTGCAGCCTCAAGAAGAGTTGTTTAATCTCTTTAGCGGCTATTACATACATACACAGTATAAACAAAGAACGCTTTGCACTTTGCTCATTGCACAAAACAAGTGAGGAAGCTTTATACTCCAGATCTCAGACTATGAATAATCCATAGTTAATTCTGGCGTGTTGAGTTTGCATCACCTCTTGACCTGATCCCAAAGCGCCCTCTGCTGTGTCCAGTCCCAGATGTCATACAGACAGGCATCAGCCGCCAGTGATAATAATTTCAATTCAACTTTATTCCGGACTCACAGTCCAATACAATTATATACATATACAATAATGATAATGCATCACTTGATTTGGTCCAGTTAAAAATGTAAAAAAACAAAGAATGAGCAAATTATTATGCATTTAAAAAGCTCTGAATATGATTTACGTGAAGGTGAAATCCAATTTCCATATTGAGTAGAGAGTAGGTGTTTTCCATTAAGATAATATAACACATGTTATGGAAGCTTATGGCAATAAATACTTTCTATGCATAAACATGTCCATGCAGCGATAGAAGGTGTTGAGGCGACACTCGCGTCATAAATTAGTGAGTGGGCGCTGTCCGAGGTGCTGAAGCGTGACCGGAGTCCGTCACGCACAACAGGTGTGGACTCATCTCAGCTTCAAAAGCTCTGCGGGAGTGATGTTCCAGTGAGCAAAACTCATACCTCCAGAGCTTGGTACTTGTCATATTGTTTCTTATCTATTTACTTTTTCATAGAGTCACAGAGGAAAATGCCTGAGCTTTTGCCCGCGCTAGAAGCCGCTAAAATCTATCACACAAACTATGTCCGTAATGCGCGTGCCATCGGCGTGATGTGGGCAGTATTCACGATCTGCTTCGCCATCATCGAGATGGTGGTCTTTATTCAGCCGTACTGGATCGGGGACAGCGTGGACACGCCTCAGGCCGGGTACTTCGGACTGTTTCATTACTGTATCGGGAATGCGCTCACCTCGGAGCTCACCTGCAAAGGGAGCGTGCTGGATTTCGCCTCCATCCCGTCCCCGGCCTTCAGGACCGCCATGTTCTTCGTGGGCTCCTCCATGCTGCTGGTGGTGGGAACCATGGTGGGATTCAGCATGTTCTTCTTCTTGAACGCTGGAAATGTGTACAAGATCTGTGCGTGGATGCAACTGGCCTCAGGTAGTCATTTGTCAAGGCAAAACATACATTTGATGAACTTACAAGTATTTAAAACCACATCATAACGTTATGTTCAGTGGTGCCAGATGTAGTGATGATGGACTGACTCAGGACCAACTGTGCTTTAGTTTCAGAATTAGAAATCACCACTGTGGCTGTAGTAAAATTTGCACACCTGATACAGCACCCTAGATAATGAGATAGGAACATAAATGTTTTAAGAAAGACCATGATTAAAATGTGAATCATCTTTTTTAAACTGATGCACCCATCCAATGATCCATCAGTCAATGTTTGAGTAGACTTGTTGTGTTGCTCATCTCAGTTGAGGCAGATCAGATCTGGTTTCAGTCCAACCTGTGACACCTCAGACTCAGATTCAGTTACAGATGAGAGGTGTCAGTGCATGCAGAATTAATTTGGTGTTAATGTCCCACTATCTTTCAGCCAACAAATTGACCCAAATAAAAACATGCTTTTTATGGTAGTGGAAAAACAAACATGTGCACCTTCTACTGAAACTTTTGAGAAGGGCCTCATTCTTGTTTCCATAGAAATGTCGTCCCATTGGTGTGATGTACCTCCTTCAAAGAGTTACACATGGTTGTTTAAAATCCTTTAACATACTTGGACATTTGTCTAAAGACTATAGTTTATAAATTCCTAATGATTACTTACACTCATTTTGTTTTATTCTATCCTCATCATGCAAAAAATATCCAACAAGACTGATACATCTGTTGTGTTTAACAAACAATTAAAAGGCTGATTTTTGTTTATAATGATAAGCTGATGGACTACTAGGCAGCATGAAGTTTCACCATAGTTTTCACCATATTTTAAGTGAGTAATGTTTATTTAGATAGCCCATTTTACAAAACAAGGTCATCCAAAGCCCTTTACAACATTCAGAGTTCAGATATAAGATAAGAATTCCTTTATTCGTCCCACAGTGGGGAAATTTCGATGTTGCAGCGCACATACAGGAGAGTAGTAAGAGCACACAGGGATCACACACAATATATACAAATAAGTAGTAGCTATGTTTCTTAGCTAACATAATTAGCTGTAGATGCTGAAAATGCTTCAATACCAGTCAAAATATATATATGTAGTAGTAGTGCAGTTATATACTGTACAGTTAAATAGTGCAAGATAATAAGTAGATAAGTAAAGTGACATTGTTCTGTGGCATTCATATTTTGAATGAACACACATTCATATTTGAACACACATTGAACACACATTCATATTTTTCCCTTCTCTCCACAAACGAAGATGACGGAAGCGACACACTGAACACACTGGTGCATCAAAGACCCCAACCAACTCTCACTCGTTACAGTCAGACCTACTGTACATGGGTTTAGTGGTAGGAGAAACCGGAGCAGGCACAAGGAGAATAGGCAAACTCTATACAGAAAAGCCTGGAGCTGAACCTAGGACATTGTTGTGACTTGTGAGACACAAGCTCGGTGGTGCCACAGTGATGGGAGACCTATAAGGAGGTTGCCATTGTTTCATTGGGCAAGACACTTCACCCATAATGTCTAGTATCTCTCACATGTGTGTATGATTGGTGGTGGTCGAAGGGGCCAATGGCTCAAATTAGCAGCCTTCTTTTGTCTGTCTATCTCAGGGCAGCTGTGGCTATGAAGTGAATGAATAAATCCATGTGCAGTGCCTTTGTGTATCCAAAAAAGCGCTATATAAAACCAATGCATGATTACTATTATATGTACTAGTAAATCCTGTGAATGGTCTGGTCTCTTTTTAAATCCCGCTCACATTATCTCTCAGGGAAGCACTCACAGCTTCAAACCCCGCATGGGGCAGTAAAGTTTCTCACTCGTTATTATCACTCAAAAGTGGAGCTGACACTGTCTGCGCCTTCCCCACAGCGGTGTTGATGGTGATGGGCTGCATGATCTACCCGGATGGATGGGACTCAGAGGAGGTGAAGCGTATGTGTGGACAGAGGACAGACAAATACTCTCTGGGAAACTGCACAGTGCGCTGGGCCTATATCTTGGCTATCATCTGCATCTTGGACGCTCTACTGCTGGCCTTCCTCTCCTTCACTCTGGGCAACCGGCAGGACAAGCTTCTGCCCGACGACTTCGAGATCGAGGGGGCAGGTCAGTGTAGTCAATTCTTCCAACAGCCTCAGAATAGCTGTGCATTGTAGTGAGTAATAGAGTAAGCATTTTATCAGAAGAGTAGCCCACCCACAAATGAAAAATAATTCATCATTGTTCTGCTGTAGGTATTCAAAACTCAGAAGAACAAAAATATCTTAAACTCCTAAAACATTAAAAGAAAATCAAGATGTGTCTTTATGCCTCACACTCAGTATTTACCTCTCGTGCAAAGATGGTCAAAAGTGTTGGTTGTTCCCAGCCTAAATAGATAAGGATATGGAAGATAATATTGGCATCATATTATTTAAGCTCCGAAATACATGGAATGATGCTAGGATCCCTTTGAAGTTAATACAATCAGAGAAAACGACACAAGGGACTTCCAATCACCAGAAGTGCATGTTAATCTTACGTTTAAAAGAAGAGTATTTTAGGTAGTTGGGGATCTTTGTGGAGAGTCATTATTGATGTTTTGTTTTTCTTTGTTTTGCAGTAAATAATAGCTGAATATGAATGAGCCTTCAAAAGCTCTTTGGGAACTTGGAAGTGGATAAGGATGAAAGCAGTAACACAAGAGGCCATGAAGTGTAACGACTATGATTTCCACTCCACTCAGACAATTAGTTCAACTGTTTGCAAGGCTATATTACTCTTACTTTCAAGGCATTTACAACATTATTCTACGGATGTTTCAAACAGGCTGTCAAAAAAACAGCCTGTTTTTTTGATTTTCCACAGCTACAATGTTACTAATAAAAGGTAGTAATGATTAACAAAAGAGTTGGACATGGTATGAACATTTTATTGTATGTTTGGGTTGTACAGTTTCGAGATCTCACACAAACTCTATTCTCTTGGACACAGATGTACATTTGTTGGAACTGAAAAGATTTTCACATAGAAGTTCATTATTTAGTTTATCCAATCAGACCAGACACCAACAGGACCCAACATTCCCCTAAGGTAAAAACATTATTGAACATACGGCCATACATACGATTCAAACATCTTCCATACTTTATTAAAACACAGCTACTCAGCTAAATCTCTTTAGCTAAGGTGTTAGAAGATCTGTTAAAAACTGTACAGAACTGTCATATACATAAAGGCAAACTCTTTGGTACACATATATACACCTTATTTTCACCTTTTTTCCTAATGGTCGGCTTCGCAAACACGGCGTCTCTCTATGTTCCTGATGCGAGTATGAGGAAAACAGTCTGCCATGACAGACCTTTTACAGTACACTAACCAGACATGGTGTCCACATCATAACAGCTCCAATTAAATGCACATCTTCCAAATATAGTGCTGCTAAATAGTTTTCACATTTAGAGCCAACTGGGAAGACCTAAGACCGACATTGACCTGCACTGAAAATGTAAGTTTGTGAGTTTTTAGCATAGACCGACCATCTATCAAGCCTTACAAACATTCCCAGATAAATGTCAATTACATTGAGATCAGTATTGCCGTTTGCCACACAACAAACTTTGCATCACATTATTTGTCTAAGAATGTGGTTTCCCCTTGGTCATGTTGGGTTTTTTTTAATCTTTTTTTTTTTTTTTTTGGATGGATATTCAGAACCCTTTTATTAAATAAGTGCTTCAGTGCCTTTTGAGTTGAAATAATATTAGCATGGACCTTTCTTAACCACCAACAACCTCAGTTCTGTCTAATTTATTATATCCTGCAGAAAATAAATAAAGGGGACCATCCAGAGGAAACTTGAAATCAGTCTCACTATTAGCCAAGAGTGCATCATCCTAAACCTACTTACACATACAAAATGGATACCTTACAGATGTAGCACAAGATAAAATATTTCTTTGAAAAGGACACAGCACTAATGAATTTTTTTGTCCTTTATATGGAGTACAGAGCTACATTATATCCTTGTTTTGTTTTAGTCTGTAGTGCAGGAGTGTAACAAAAACAAGGAGCAGGTTTGTTTAGGTGGGCGAGGGCAGTTTACTGGACCACAGCAGTTGACCATAAAGAATTATAACCCACCAATTCCTGATGTCACCACAAAGGAAGAACAAATACAAAGCAAACGTACACAGAGGCAATAGCTCAAGAACGTATCAAAGTAACAACAAAAAAGGAAATAAATAGTTTTCTGATATGCCCATAAATGGAAAAGTGATCTGTTGCAGTCTCTGGAGAGAAGTAAGGGAGAAAGATGAGGGGAGGTGCAAAGGCTGGGTGTGTCCACTAGAGGGCGAGCCAGGGGTGGCGCAGGCACTCAGCTGCAGTGGCTCTTTTCTCAGGGATCAGCTCCAACATGGGCAGCAGGAAGTCGGTGAAGCACTCAGCCTCCTCTCGTGCCCACTCGTATTTGTCCACCAACACTTCCAGCAAACCCCATGGCTTCAGCTTTGTGATGTGTTTCAAATCACCTGCAGCGAAGCAAAGTGAGTGAGAGGAGCAACAACAAGGTTTCTTTGAGTTAAAATTATTTTATTTATTTAGAACAATGTGTTCATGTGGATTTTAGCACTCCAATTGTTATCCTTTGTATCAACAATTGTTTTGAATAATGTACTGATGAAAATAGAAATCTGTCTAAGGCAAGGCAAGTTTATTTGTATAGCACAATTCACACACAGGGCAAGTGCTGAACAAAATTAAATATATGAAATATGCATTACTAATTTTGCACCACACACACACTGAGCAGCTACACTTAAAAACTATCAAATCCATCTACCAACATTATGTGTCACACAGAATGCTCCTTAGGCACAGGACACATGTGCGCGCATGTGGCGGAGCATGAGGTGTATATGCAAATTAGCAGTGTCTCAAAGGTTTACAACAGGCTGCTCTTGTCAGTGTTTAATTTTCAGGTTTTTTAGGGTACTGTGATTTACATGGCATTAAAAAGAGATTGTAATTCTAACTTATGTCATTTTTATACCACAGATATATTATAAAATAGCATGAGAACCGAGGAGGACTGCTCGCACAGGAACACTATCAAACTATACGTTCATTTATTTTGGCTGAATCAATAAAACAAATGTACTAAGTGTATAATGGGAATATTTGATCTTTGTCTGATGAATTAAGATATAAGGTTATGACATGAAAGCTAATGGTCAACAAACATTTGCTGGAATATTTTGTTGTTACCTTTCTTTGTGAAAAAGTCCTTGGCATATTTTCCAGTGAGTATGAGTTTGCGTGGGACAGCCCCCAGCAGCTCAATGATCAGTGCTATGTGGTCTGTACAGTGTGAAGGAGACAGAGACAGGTCAGACAGAGTCTGATCCCAGCCTGGGTCCGCTCTGGGGGAGAGGGGAGGGCAGCTCGCGCCACAGCGGGCACTTTTAACTACAGTTGACTGTTCCCTTTCTCACTGCCGTCCCGAGTCCCAGATTGAACCACAGACCAAAGGGATGCATACCTCTCTTGTTGAAGTATTCCTGTGAGTATTTCCCGGTCAGAGCATAGTGACGAGGGATTTTACCCAGCAACTCTATCATGAGCGCAAGGTGGTCTGAAAATGAGGCACATGAGAGGAGGAGGGACAGAGGAGATGAGAGACAGAGGACAGGGGTAAAATGAACAATGAACAAGGCATTCATGGATGATGGGGGCACAGAAGCTTAAAGAATAATGACTTTTGGACCATAAAAATAAACATGAGCGAAAGTAATCAGAAACAAATGGTTGGAAAACAATTGCAACATCTGAGGCCATAATCACCAACACTTGATTCCAACAGACTCTGGCTATTCCCAAAACTGGTAAATGATCTGAATGAAAATCAATGTCGGAATCACCTAATTTTGTTGTAATTATACAGCAGTAGAACTTTGGGGGGAAAGCTCTTTGCAAAATGAGAACGATTCGCACAAAATCCAATTAGAGAACTACAGAACTACAGTAGTCGAGATCAGAGATATAGAAGTGAATGGTGTGGAGCATATATTAGTGATGTGGCACATTCACTCTCAAAAGGTTAACAAAATAAACACAGGAAATTAATTAACAGACATTAAATGTGATTGATGGAATGTAACTAAAGACAAAATTCTTCAGAAGATAATGATTTTAGTTGTTTAAGTGGAAATACACACAGGAATGCTGCAAACAAACATCACTGAAAATATAGTATCTAGTAATTACAGCAATTAAAAAGCCTGCACCCAATTTTTAGTCTTCTAATGTGACAAAAAAACAGAATGATTCTGTGTCAATTGAAGCAGACAAAGCTTATTATTATTCATATATATTTATTATAATTTTACACATGGATGTACACCCTATTCTAACATTAGCAAAGCACTTTTGGTTTCTCCGACAACAAAACATTATAACTAGATTCAAATTCTCAATTAGGTATCCATTTATAACATTTAGTATTAGTATAATTTACTTCATAACTGCACAACATGAAAAAAGAATCAGGTGCAGGCTCTTTAAACACTACAATTTGAATGTTACATCATGCTCTCCGTATTTAACCGACACTAATAAGTGCAACTCATAAGTTTGTATTGGGTGCATACTGTAGAATTCAATTCATGATGTAAATGAAAAAATACAGTTAAATTAGGTTATATTTGATGAATACTACTTCTGACATAGTAGTATCACATAAACATAATATTGAGTTGCACCTGTAGTCATTAGGCAAACGTTTCATAACTGCCAACGTTAAATAAAGTTTTCAAAGTTAGTCGGGGTGCACACTGGGAAAAAATGGCCAATGAAGGCCAGCCTAAAAACGAGAAAAACTTCAAGGATCCTAATGATGTAAATCAGCCATAAATATATAGTAAAGACTTGAGAGTAGTTGAGAATAGTTGAGAATGACAATAGTTAGATGTGATCCCATAAATACCTTCATCACGAGAATAATCTTCCCCAGACCGTGGTTCAAACAGATAATCTCCTGTGGCGAGTTCAAATGCCTGAGACAACACACAGACAAGCACTATAATCACTGCACTGACTCATTTCTACCACAACAAATCCCTCTCACTGCCATCAAGATTATATTTGATCATTTCAAATTATATATATATATATATATATATATATATATATATATATAAAAACAGACAGAGCAACAGTGTTTTTCTATTATTGACTTGTGCAAATGCCAAGATGTTTTAGTTAAAAACACAATGCTTCGAGAGAAATAACATCAACCCCTCAGGAAGCCCATATTGGTAAAAATACATTGCAGGTAAAAAAATGTTTTTACTTATAATTTAACATTTTGATTGCTTAAAAGTTGGTCACAACAAACTAAAACAGAATATGGAAGATATAAAACCTATGTAACTAAACACCTTTTTCCACTTTCAGCAACAAAATGTCTCACCATGCAGGCTGTGCTCCAAATATCGGCTGGTGTGCTATATCCAGCTCCGATAAGAACCTCTAACGACCGGTACTGCCGTGTTTGAATGTCTTCTGTAAAGTGCTTGTTCTGAATCAGAAACCAGAGTTACACTTTAGAAATGTGAACACCTTAGGCAGTAATATTTATATCAGGCAATAATAACGACAACATTCAGTCAAGAGATATTATAGTGATTGTGCCCTTAGCTTTAATCAGGAAATCCCAGAGGTCATTAGACAACTCACCACCCAGCAGGCGTTTCCCAAGTCCGCAATCTTTACTCTGATCTTGTCTGCGTTGAGTGGCTCAAGAGGGTTAACCAGCAGGGACCCTGCTGACAGCTTCCCTAAAACAGTGCCAACAAAGACCAATGTCAATGAGCGCACATTGAAAAGGATGTCAGATGCTAATGCTAAGCTAACATGAATCCTTTACTGCACCTTTAATCACTTTTTTTTTTAAATCTCAATAATCAACAACCATTTCAGTAATCAATTAATACTCAACTACTCTATATACAGGCTTCAAACATGAACCAGATTAACAGATGTGGTTCAAAACCGGAAAGGAGTATAAAATAAATTAATAAATGGGAACTGGGTAAATAATAATTCTAGACAAAACTACTTTGAGATATACAGCTATTAGAACATCCTCAAGCTGCATCACTTTAGCTAAATCTAGATCAAATTTCATACAGGAGCCCTATACAACTGATTTATTAATTATCAAACTAGTGGCAGCAGCTAAAACATATACTGACCATCGTTGACACTTTCTTGAGTCCTGTAGAGCCGGCAGCCCTCTTCAGGCGCATGGCCATTGCTGTGCTCCAGTGGTCCCTCTTCCAGCCCCTCAGAGGGGGTTCTGTGGGAATCCTCCTCTCTGGTGGCCCTGGGGCTTTCACAGTGTAAGTCCAGCTCCTTCAGGTCGGGACAGTCTACCCCATTACAGAGCGAGGACTTGTTCTGCTCCTCGTCCTCACTGCTGCACTTCTCTGTGAGCGGTGTGTTCCCGTTGTGCTGATCCTCACTCCTCCAGAGGCTCCGCTGCAGCTCTGCGTGGCCGTTACAGTTCACCTCTTGCCGCTCGTCTGGTCCCAGGCTCAGTTGGTCTGCGTTGACTCCAAATTCTTATCAGATCACAAAGGAAAAATATAAAAACATTTTTAAACTCAAACAAACATTATTGCAACAACATACCACCCTCTTCTTCTTCCGCTCCAATTTCCTGAAATGATAGCTGTCTTAAAGGGGCACACACTCTGCCTTTGGGGGACTGTGGATCCTCAGACTCATAATCCTCCTCCTCCTGTGGTCCAGTGGCCTTCTCCATCTCCTCAAGGTCCATAATGCACTTCTCCAGCAGTTCTGCTTTCTTCTTCTGTTTCTTTTTCAACTTTTTTTTCTTATTTTTTGACATTTTTACAGCCTAAATGATGAAAAATGCCCAGATTTTTTTTTCAATTTTCCAAATATACATTGTAAAATAAAAAGATGTGTGACTCACCTGTTTTGGTGCAGGTGCTGTGCTTACTGAAAAACAAAACCATGAGTGAGTGAAGTAAATACGAATAGAAATATGCGTGTTCATACTTGCTGATCCAGATGGAGGAGGGGCACCAGACCTCTGCCACTCTGTGGCTTCTGCAGCCAGTTTCCGCACATATGGCTCATCCACGTTCATGAGGATGTTCTCTGGTTTTATGTCTGTGTGAATGATCTGGCACTTTGAGTGCAGGTAGTCTAAGCCTTGTAGAACCTGAAGAAAATATACTGTCTTTATCATTGTAATTTTTGTTTTTGAACCTTTTAATTCTCTGACATGTGTTGGCAAATTTGATAGTTTTGTAAAGTCCTCTGAGATAACTATTGTTCTGATTTAGAGCTATACAAGAGTCAATTGAATTGAATTTCATTCTTACTATGTGAGACTATGTACAACAATATATTAACTTTACTCTATCAACACTTGCTCCTGTGCAGAGTTATGGTGCAACCCGTTCCCACACGTCATCCCCGGAGGACACCTGGCTCTTGTTAACTACTGCTGCCTCATGCTTCTCAGTTGAACACGACAAAAAGACACAAAACTGGTGTCATCTTACCTGTCGGATGATACTCTTCACACAGGGCAGTGGCAACCCTTGATAATTAGACTTTATTATCCACTTCAACAAATGATGTCCCAAAACCTCGAAGACCATGCAAACGTCTGGGGATCACAGCTGTTAAGGTATAACTAAATGACAATCAGCGCTATCAGGCAAATGTAATACATGGTGCAGATGAAAGGAAGACAGACTTGTTACACCCACTTCTCTTCCCTGAGGTATTTGTGAGCTTTTGACAGCGAGAGACTGTCAGGAGCAGCTCAGATCACTTGTTGTTTGTGCAAAAGCTGAAGATAATCTTACACCTCAGGAAACACGCACAGGATCTCTGCATTATAGTCATATGGTATATGAATACAGTTTACATTCTGTATATGTGTATATATATATATATATATATATATATATATATACATATATACATACACACACACATACATATTTATAATTATATATATAGTGAGTGGGTTCACAGTAAAGTTCACAGTCAATTAAAGTATCTGGAAAGATGGACAAATATGTTTTTGGTGAAATTTTAAATGACCAAATCAGCCTCTGATTTGACCATTCCACTGTGATGCCGGTTACATGGAAAATAAAATTTCCTCAGTCTGAAAAAGCGACAGATGAAATCCCATAAGATTAACAAGGCTAACACAACATAAGTAAATCACTTGATATGAAGAGTAAGTTAAAAAAAATAATAATAATTTAATGACCTTTGATAAATGTGTAACGGACGTGATTGTTTTCTCTGACAATTAAACTTGAGAATAAAAAAGAAATCTGGTTTGGTTTCACATTTAACTGGTTGACTATATAAAAGTATCACTTTGTTTCTACTCTGTGTAACAAAATGTGGACATCTGAAAAAGCGTAACAAACAAAGCTCATTCCGTCAAATCATCACGTCTGTTACATAAACAGGGCCGCTATAGGAAACTTGTCTAATGTATAAACACACTTATGTTCTATCAACTTCTAATGGACAGAGGAGGTCTATGGATACATGAAAAACCTAAAATATCTTCTGATTATTAAAATGTTTGGCCTTTTGTCACACTTTTATGTCCTTTAGTGTGAAAAATATATTAATATATATAACTAATTTAAAGCAAGGCATTACGACATGAAAGGATACGAGTTCCATTAACACCGGAGATCTTGAAATCATCAAGCAACTGCACAACTTTGTCCCGGTTTGGATCATCAGGATCAGAGTTTCTCACCTGAATAGACCAATTGTAGGGAAAATTTTAACCAATTCACCAATAATTATGGGTGAATTAATGAAGGTAATAGTATCACTTACAGATCTGAGTAGTTTGATCTCATCAACTGCTGTTTCTGTATATTGCTCAGCACTCTTTACAACTTTCATGGCCACAAACCTCTTCACCCTAGGAGCACAATCGACACGAGTTATTTCATAGTCGGAATGTTCAAGAGTATGTGCTAAAATGCCCTTACTGGATGTCCCAGGCCAGCCAAACAGTGGAGAAATGACCCCAGCCCAATTTACGAATAACATGATATTTTCCGTTGTACAGGTCTCCAACTTTCACATGGTGGTAGCCACCTAGACAAGGCAAGGCAAGTGTATTTGTATAGAAAAATGAATACATAAAAGCAACTCAAAGTGCTAGATGTAGAAAAAGACAACATTATTTTACATCCATATGATGTGATCTGGCTCAACTTGTTCAAGAGTGTCTCAAACGTTACGTCATTAAGCACAAGGCTGACCTTTGCAGTAGTCATTGGGATCTTCCTGCTCCTCATCGTCAGATCCCAGGATTTCTTCAGGCTCCTCAGGCTCAGGAGGTGTAGTCTCATGCTGCGGCGGCTGACGGGCTCTAGGATTGGCTGGCTGCCTGTAGACAAAGTCACAAAGTGACCAAGTGTCTTTTCAAAGCAGTCCAAACAAGATAACCTTTAAAGTCTATTAAAACAACTCCTGCTACAGGACATTGTTCACTTCATCCCAGACAGAGAAGCTCACCTTATAATACAAACTTCTCCCAAACAGTGCTTCATAAATAAAGTTAACTTCTAAGAGAGAGGTATTTGGTTGTAGTGCTGTGTATGAGCTTTTGCTTTGAGTCTTTGTGTTTGAGTTTATGTATCAACAATCATGCTTGTCTTTTCTTTGCTAAAATTAACAAAGACTGGCTTTGTTAAAAAAAAGAAAGTATAAACCATTCACATTGCATTAGTTTAAGTCATGACGTAAACCCCATAACCTGCATTTGTGCATCATTAAAGTAGAATCCATTCTACTGGATTACTGAGCAGTCTAGGGCTGGCCGTGAAAGTCTAGATGATTTTATTTCTAACTTTATACTCATTTATAATCTGTTATAAATTAATATAAAGTTAGAAATAAAAAAATACATTACAGTGGCTCTCGTCACATTAGTAAAGACATATTTCAGCCTAGCTGGCTAACAAACCACAAAGAAACAAATAACCAGGCAAGCTGAATAAAGTGAGAGGGATAATGCCTGAAGCCATTTATCTTGAATACAATTTTTGATATTCTATTTAGTCACAATCAAATTCGCAATGAGAGACAACAGAGGTGTGTTAAAACAAATGCAAACAAGTAAAGACTAAAGTTCTTTATTTTCCAATGGATCAAAACAATCATGAATATTGAAATACTACTGCTCTAAAAAATTCAACAACACACTCAAAGCTCCAAATATATTATACATTAATAATCATATTTTACTGTAATCTTTTACCATAAGAATGTTAATCTTACTTATATATAAGATCTGAGTTTATGAGATTGGGTTCAAAAGGCACCAAATGATAACTGCATCTGGAGTCAGGAATCTCAGCTGCAAGAGAGCCTTTTTCTACTCAAACACCATGCTTCACTGGGCTGATGTGGGCTTCTCCATTCTCTGCCTTTAAATATAGCTCAGTCTGTTACGTAATGCTCCGGAGGATACCGCTGAAGGCATGATTAGTGAATTGTTTAGGTATAAACCCAAACAATCATTCTGAGCTGGATCTCGTCCAGAAGGATCGTTAGTGATGTTTAACGTACCCATTGGAATACACACACACACACACATACACATACACATACACATAAACTATCAATCTCCTAGTCAAAAGCCCTTCTCCGCACCCCATTTAGAAATTATGGAGCTAGTCACACTTCTATAATAAACAAACAACTGTAATAATAAAGCATTGGAAATATGTGCTTAATGTTTTATTTATCAGGGATACAACTTTAGAATATAGAGAATTAACAGCATACCGGCAAAATCCAGGATAATGAACATGTGTATTCGGTGGTGAAAATAGGAGATGAATAACTCACTTTTTGGTCGTCTTTTTTGCCTTCGCCCTCTTCTTCCTTGCCTGGAGTGCTAGTACTAAACAGAAGAAACATGTGTTGGCAATGGGTGTATGATAAACGTATCACAAAAGGTTTGTCTTCTAGACTAATATTTAGAATACAAGTTAATGTAAATATTGTTAGCCAACCCACATGAATCAATATGAAGGAAATCCAAACCATATAATATCAGTCTATAAGCTGGGATCATTTTACTGGCACAGTGTTTATCATTTAATATAACCACAATATCTGTCACTCAGTTCCAGCAGCCTGTGTTAGCCCCCGGGCTTCTGCCACCTGAATCCCGCAGCTTTGTACTGATACACGGCTACAATAATGGCGTTGATGGCTCCGTGCATGGTAAATCCTGGGCCCTGTTGGTAGCAGAATGATAGCCGATCGCTGTCTAGGAAGAGTGAAAATGGAAAGCGCTAGAAAGCTAACTGCGACTAGCTAATCCTCCTGACATGTCCCATTGAAGCTAAGGCTAATGTCTGGAGAAGCTAACGTAGATCCAGATCAACAGTGCGTGACAGTCGCTCAATTAAATCTCTTATCTAAGACACGCACAGCCGACAAAACTCTCCGTGTATTGATATGTTTTAGGAACCAGGTGAAGATTTGAACTTGCACTAATCGCACGGTGACTAATGTGTCTATATTTTAAAGCTGAGGTTTACCTTTTCTCTCCATGTTGGCTGGAGTCGAAGCCTAGCCGTTAGCTGTAGCAGCACCAGTGAGCCAATGTCCGGCGCATGCGCAAAGAACAGTTTTGCTCAAGCAGTGCTGCCCGCTGATGATGCCGTGATAAAAGTGCGTTTAAGAATAAGAGATCATTTATTCGTCCTGAAGTGGGGACAATGTCAGTGATCAATCACAAGTTACAGAAGAGTAGGGATGAGGAACACAACAATCAATCAATCAATCAACGTTTATTTGTAGAGCGCCTTTCCTACACAAGGCAACGCAAAGCGCTTCACATCCCCTATCACATCATGCATAAATCAAACACATTAAGAGCACAAGATATATTAAAAACATTAAAAATAAAATCACAAAAATTAAAAACCTTTAAACATTAAAATCACAGATGGGACTAAAATCATAAATAGTCACAGTGCATTAAAAAGATTAAAGATAAAAACAAAGATGAAAAGATAAAATCATTCAGTTGTATATGCGCAGCTAAACAGAATTGTTTTGAGCCTAGATTTAAAAGATGCCAGAGTAGACGCCTGTCTCACATTCTCAGGAAGACGGTTCCAGACTCTAGCCGCATGAATCTGAAATGCAGTTTGCCCATGTCTAGTACCGACTCTGGGCACTAACAGGAGTCCAGTCCCTGTGCTCCTCAGAGTCCGGGTCGGTTCATATGGCACAAACATGTCACGGATGTACCTTGGCGCGAGACCATGGAGAGACTTGTACACAAGTAAAGCTGCTTTGAAGTCTATTCTCTGAGGAACAGGAAGCCAGTGCAGAGACCTGAGAACTGGACTAATGTGGTCGTACTTCCTAGTTCTAGTCAGGACTCGAGCTGCTGCATGTTGAATGTACTGCAGCTGTTTTACAGCCTGTTTGGACAGACCTGTGAGCAGGCCATTGCAATAGTCTAACCGACTGGAGACAAAAGCGTGTATAAGAGTCTCCAAGTCTGCCGACACTATGTTTTTAATTTTAGCAATGTTTTTTAGGTGGTAATAAGCTGCTGATGTTACAGATTTTATGTGGCTTGTGAAATTTAAGTCTGAGTCCATTATCACTCCTAGATTTCTGACCTGATTTGAGGGTTGTAGAGAGAGAGCCTGGAGGTGACAAATAACGCTCTCTCTTTGTTTCTGGGGTCCGAAAACAATTATTTCAGTTTTGTCGGTGTTTAGTTGGAGAAAGTTATTTTGCATCCAATCACCGATTTGCTGGACACAGTGAAGGAGCGAGTCCACTGGTTCATGCTCTCCTGCTGTCAGGGACACATAGACCTGAGTATCGTCAGCGTAATTGTGCTAAGAGACATTATTACTGTGAATCAACTGACCTAGAGGCAACATGTAAATATTAAACAGAAGAGGACCCAGGATTGACCCCTGTGGCACTCCGCAGGTCAGGGCCAAGTGGTCTGAGGTACAGTTTTCGATCTCCACAAAAAACTTTCTGTCTTGTAAATAGGACCTAAACCAGCTTAGGGCGGTGCCAGCAACACCAACCCAGTCCTCAAGTCTCTGAATGAGGATGCCATGATCAATAGTGTCAAAAGCAGCACAAGATAAGTGACTCTTAAAGGAGGAGGATTTTCTTCCTCCTAATTCTCAATCATTCTGGTGATACATTTTAGTAGGGTGTTCCCTCTTCACCAGAGGGATTGTCCTTGTAGGGTAATTTGCCCTCTGCATTTGACGCATCCTGTAATGCCAACAGGGCCTTTGTCAGGAGCAGTGGTCGCCACAGTGCGGATTTGAACATTGTAAGAGAAGAAGCCTGTTACAGACTGCTGCCCCGTCATGTTTAGTCTGGACTTAAGGCACCGGTCAGGCCAGTCCAGAGTTGGTTCATATGGCACTTACATGTCGCAGATGTACTGACTCCCTCTATATATAATATATATATATATATATATATATATATATATATATATATATATAATAAATATATATATATATATATATATAATATATATATATATATATATATAATATATAATATATATAAATATATATATATATTATATATAATAAATATATATATATATAATTTTTTTTCCCCACAGCCTACAAATGCACTTACCAGTGTTTCGCCTTGGTGTGATTGTAAACGGTATGTTCATTCATTTTCAACTCCTTTATTAGTCCACGGGTGGCAATGAGAGCTGCCACCCAATGCTCATAGCACGAGTCCCTCGATGATCCTCTGCAGGTGGTGAGTCCACAGGTAGATGGCTGCTCCGTCAGCGATGACACAGCTTTGGTCTTTCAGCGGGGTGTCTTGCTAGTTGGAGAAGGTCGAACCCACGACCTCCAGGCCAATGCTCTACCAACTGATCAACTGTCGCTACGGACTAAAAACGGTCAGTTTCCCACTTAAATATTATGTACACAATACTCAATTATATAATTTATGACTATATATAATATTCATGTATAGCTGGAACATTATTATATTTTAAATGTACATATATATTTATATTATCATTTTGAATGTGAATTATTTTGTTGCCCTTTATTGTGAACTTCTGGGTGGATTCATGAAGTACATACAAGTTTAACTGGGCTCAACATAATGTATTCGAACTGAAACCATATTATAAAGTAGCACAAGAAATGTACTCTTAAAAATACATCTTTATTTGTTACAGAGAAGAGATAGTGATTATTCTCCCAGTCTGCAAAATACCCATTCAAACAAACAGTCATTTATAAATACCACTTCAACATCGTATAAATACATTGGATATCCTTTTTTTAAACATCCACTTAATTTTTGTCATTGAAACTTAAACAGTCTCAACCGACAAAGCCCTTTATCTGCAATTTCAAGTGATCATAACATGACCACAATCTGAAAAGACTAAGGCCAGCTATAATGCATCAAGGAGGATGTATTCTGCGTTGTTTACAGCAAGCTAGTATAAAGGGGCTATTATATATATATATATAGTATATATATACTATATATTTGGGCTTTAATACCCAAATATAGATCTGAATAATTCTGTAAAAATATTTATATTTGAATTAGTTTCTGGAAAATGTCATTCAGACCTCAGTACAGTAGAATATTTTTGGCAAATGAATGCTCATCCTGAAAACACAAGCTTATAACTTAGAATAAACACTTTCACAAAAAAATGCGAAGAAGCACAGCTATAGGTCCAAATAGTTCAGCATAGTATGTATGACTGTCACAGTGATTTAAGTTAATTCAAATATGAATAGAAGTATTTCATCTAGAGGCCAGAAAAGTAAAAAAAGTCATCAGTACCAGACCAGTTTAAACATTGGCATAGTAGTCTATAAATAAAAGATAAAGTGTTTAAGTGTAGATTCCTCACACTGGTACTGTTCCCTTAAGTTTTTTTGTTTTCTAAAAGACAACACTATTTATAGCAGAAGTGTTTTTGAGTGAGTTTCACAAAAAACTCGATTGTAGCACATTTGTGGATTCCATGGTTACTGCCGTTATTCCATGTCATCTTCACTAAAAAGCGGCGGCTCAAAACTTATGACCTCCTCGTAGGTTAACCCTGCACAAGAGAAAAATAAAGTTAAGACACCCGTTTGTTGCATAAGAGAGACCTATGATTCAATTCTATACATTTTGACACAAAGGGGTTTTGATGAAGCAGATGCTTATTTTGTTCGTAGCCATCTCATAAAACTCACATACATACATATTGATAGTTCTGAAATCAAAATATTTCAAGTCTGTAATTATGGTGAGCGTGGATATCAGAGGCGTGGCGCCTGCTGCTGCCCCTTTGAAGTCTATGGAGAAGTGTAGAAAACAGTACAGGCCAGAGGAATGGTCTGATTTGGTCAGACACATGACTTTATGAAAGAAAAACTAATGTCCAGCATCACTGTCAAACCTGCCAGTACAGTATGCATGTCAGTAGGTTGGAAAAAAATGGAGTAACCACACTACATTACCAACTTGGAAATAAGCCAACAGGTTCTGTAACTACTGAAGCAGAAACATTCAAAATACATTAAATATACAATGTATTCCCCAAAACTCAAACTAACTATGACTTAAAGGTCATTCAGGAGGATTTTCCCAAATGTTAGGAAAGAACCGCCTTCACCACTTTTGGAACAAAACTCTCTAAACTTATTTGACGAGCACGTATCGCCAGAATGATTGACAATTGGGAGGGCCAATAGTCTTGACGGTTCACTCGGAAGTAGAAAATCCTCCTCTATACCTCGAAGTGAGCTAAATATAAGCACTGTGGGTAGTGATGCCTTACTTTTCCACTCCTCAATGTCCAGCTCTCTGCTCTCAAAGCTCTGATCGTAGGGGTCGGCCACTGGTTCGTCATCTGGATCATGGTACTGACAGAAGTATGCGTGAGCCAGAGCTTCGGCTGCTGTTATTCTCTGGTCTGTATCCAGCACCAGCATTTTCTCCAGAAGGTCCACCGCTAACGAAATAAAAAAAGAAAAATAGCAAAATTGTACAAACAAAGAGGAATACATGATCAAGAAATACATACTTTGTTCAATCATCATAATAGCACTAAAATATTGTGCAGAGAATAATTCGAATCAAAGACATTCATTACCTAGTGGGTTGGCACCGATAAAAACATCAGCAAAGTTTCTCTTGGCCAAGATAGGCAGGGACATGACATAACTTCTGGCCTGAAAAACAAACCAAAAACATTCAGTGGAATCTTCTTTGCAGTGACCCTCTTAAACTATATTAAACAAATATATTTATATTTAAAGTGCAATATGTAAGATTCTTATGTCAAGTCATCATCAAATGGCCCCAATGTGTTAAAAGGCATTAATAAAATATGCTCTTTTCGAATACTTACTTAATACATACTAACTGACAATAGTTCAGCCGAGAGATACTAATTTCAAAATTGGAATAACAGCCCCTAAATCTTGTTGTTTTCATTTCAATGTCCCGCCCTCCACCATTTTATCAATCAGAAAGTCCGTGATCTGGGTTGCCAGAACTCACCGCGTCAAGCTAATCTCACTGGTAAAGTAACATGTGGCTGCAAAACTAGAGGTCTTGTTATGATTCTCAATTTATCACGAGAAAAGAAGGAATAAAACAAGGATTTCTATCGGGTTTTAAAAAAAAATGTGTTTGTTTTAGATTTGTTGTTGAAAAAACGCTTGTCTATTCAGATATTTTGGTCCCAGCTGGTTATCTGGCAACCTGAGTCAGGGAGAGTAGGAGAGGTTGCAGTACCACTTTTGGCCAGATTATTACGTATCGCTTCTTTAATTAAATGTACTGTAACCAAAATTAAGTCACCAAATACAAAAACAAATGCATAGACTGACTGTTCTGAGAAGTTGAAAGGGACAGAGTAGTTAGAAAATATTGAGAAAATCAACGCAAAAAGATACCGTAAATGTGTAACTAGTTTCAGATACGTTCCTTTGAAATATGTTAAACGAGTAATAATGCTTGCATTTGTAATTAGAGAATACAGATTATAGCAGGGAGGCCACAAAATGTATAAAACTCCCCAGCACCATTGCTGTGAATAACAGTAACCGCATTAGATCAAATTATAGCCATGAATGCCTTGCATATTGTGTTTTAGAGGAATGATACAACTTTTGAATAGCATTCAACTGAGGTGAAAGCTTGCACACAAAATGTAATCAGGGAGAAGTGGAGGCCCCAGAGGACCCACCGCAGTCGTCTCACCTCGTGACTGGGCATCCTGTTTATTAGCGTTGTCGGGGGTGTTCCTGTCAAACGCATGATCTGCTGTAGCTGGTTTATATCTATGAAGCTTGTGTCAAGGGCAGGTATAGCAACAGAGCAAAGTGTGTTAAAAGCCGCTTTAAATTATGAGTATCGAATTCTGACAAGTACTGTCTAAAGTATCAAGCAGTCAAGCAGGTGCAACAACGTTTATAACATCAACATTCACAAAGCCAAGCATGCGGTCAACAAAGAAGCATCTGGGCACAAAAGAGCAAATGCACCAAAACATCTGTAAAAGAAAAAATAATATCCACAACTTTATGAACTCACAGAGTCTGAAGAGATTTTCTTCAAGAGAGACGGCTCTGGAGTCCCCACGAGGTGCATGATAAGCTTCAACTGGTCAATGTCTACCATCAAAGGGTAAAGGAAGAGTGAGGTAACTAATTTAACTTTTGAACACAAATATACAAGGGTTAGGGCTGTTATAAGCAAAGCTCAGAGAGCAAAGAAGATATTCAAGCCACACAATTCAAAAGGTCTGATTATGTTTGCAGTATACAGATTGTTTTGAAGGATTTGCACAAAAGATTTCTTCCACCACAGCTGAAAGCACCAAAGTACATCAAGCAAAAAAGGCCAGATAAAGAGGCCGAAAGATGAAAAGATAAAAAGCCAAAAGAGCAATATAGACTAAATGCATTTTGCATTTAATCTGTAAAATAAGGAGAAAGAAGGGCAATGAAAAGCATGTGTACCGACACTTATCCATCTCTATATTTATGAGGACGTTCAAACAAAAATATTTCTTAACTGTTCAAATACTACAAACTTGTTTTACACCCAAGCCTTTGTTCCCTGAATAAAAGTAATTTGTCCATTTTATGAAATGTTTTTTTTTTTTAAATCACGGCTCAGTATATATATCTTACAGCAGAAATGTAATCTAAAGTAAAATGTATTAAAAAAATTGGCTCGCTCGGTGCTTAAATGAAAGGATACGGTCAGTGCCAGGGAAAAGTGTCCTTCCAGTGAGAAGCTCTGCCATTATACACCCCACAGACCAAATGTCCACTGTAAAACACAAACAGATTCAAACAGAGCACCCATGTGTAACTTGGTGAGTAATTGATCTTAACAAACCCGTCATGTTGTAATGCATCCAGTTGAGCATAATCTCTGGGGCTCTGTACCAGCGGGTGGCCACGTATCCAGTCATCTCATCATCAGTCTGACGAGCCAAACCAAAGTCCAAAATCTGGGGAATTGTAGATAAAGTGGATGTTGTTTTAAGATGTTTTAATAAGTTAATGTAGAAATATGTTGTGTATATAATATAATATAACATAATATGTACCTTGAGTTCACAGTCTTCATTCACAGCCAGATTACTTGGTTTCAGATCCTAGAAAATAAATACGAAGCTTTTGTTACTTGCTTGATATTTTAACAAACAGATGTAATTTGGTAATCATTTATAATACCGATTCTTATAATTGCCATCAAACCATCAATGTAAAACCTGACATCATTAGCAAAGAAGGTTGAATATGACACAAAAGTGGACTGGGCTTTTTGTATATTATTTTTGTAGCCATTTGTATATACACTATCTATATTGCACATAGAATCCAAGGAACACCTGGGACACACTGCAGGGAATACTCTGGGCATCTCCGCTCAGACTGCTGCCTCCACAATCTGGCTCCAGATGAAGTTAAAGAAAATGGATGGATATTTTTTTTGAGTAATATGGTACAGAAAAACACAAATTTCATAATGGACACATAGTACCACATGTGAAACTAGGGGTGCGTTCACAACTTTGTTTCCTGTTTGCACAAGCATGCTTCTGCAAAGCAAAAATGCTATAAAAACTACAACAGACTCGCAGTCGAAGGTTAAATGTGTCATATAAATTAAAACAAGGAAAGGGGTCACTCACTCTGTGAATAATGTCAGCTGAATGGATATACTGAAAAACAGATCACATCATCAGTTTAGTTTTAAAAGGGGACATGAAAATTGATTCAAGGTAGTAACGTGTTGACCATGACTGGCTCAGAGTGACGCGTTTATTAGATCTCACCTTTAGCCCTCTGAGAATCTGGTATATGAGGAATTGTACATGATCATCTGTCAGTTTCTGACATTTGACTATGTTGTTCAGATCAGCCCCCATTAGATGGGTGACGAGATATCTGCAAAATGAAAAACACAAAATATAATAAAATCAAAGTCAATACCTTTAGTGACAAATGCAGTACTGCATGAACAAAAAGAGAAAGGTCCAATATTTTTCTGATTGTCTTTTTCAACCTCATCATAAATTAATCCCATAGATCAGTAGTTCCAAGTCTATGCCTCTGAAGTGCCCTTTATGAAAAGATCCCCTAGGTCATGCAGGCCATTCACAATTCCCTTCTTCACGAGTATATAAAAACACATACACATATATAGGAGGTGCACCAATCAGGATTTTTGGGGCCGATCACTAAGACCCGATCTTCTTAAATGTTGGTTAGCAAACACTGACCACGGCCAATACAGATCACATTAACTTTGTTACATTCACAACCAACAGTTCATGTTGGTTGTGCCCAAAATTAAAATGTTGTGAACCACTCAAACAAATTTAATGACAGCCATTGGCTGACATTATGCATTTCAGACTTTTTTTTTTTTAAATGTCCTATTGTCGTCCCTGTAACAAACAATGGTTTTGGTACTCTGGCCATCTTCCTTACTCTGACTGCTAATTTACACATGACACATTTATAACGCGCGCGTCTGCTGCGCGTATAGCGTAACATTTTTCCATGTTAACCAATGGTGATATTTACACTACTAGTGTTATACGCGCGTATGACGGACGTAATGACGCGAGGCTGCGCCTATTTTAGGATGGATTTCTAATTTTGTGCGCGCAGCACACACATCACTTGTATCTGAACATTAGCAGGTGGACTGGCAGGTTTTACAGTGATTCTAGACATGTTTTTTTTTTTTCATAAAGTCTCGCGTCTGGCCAAACCAGCGCACAGAGACCATGAAAACAAACACATGCATGTGATTTGTGTTGATCTACATCAGTCCTCTGGCTCGTACTGTCCTCTACACTTCTCCATAGACTACACAGGGAGAGCATCTGAAGCTGCGGACCTGCGCGCACGGCCAGTGTAGATACACCCAAATAATGTTACGCGCAGATGCGCGCAGTCAACGCGTATGCGCTGTTAACGCCTACTGTGTAAATTCCCTGTGAGTAGTGACATGTTTATTACTCTGTTGCACTTAATTTGAATTGTTGAAACTGCACACATCCTGATCCTCTACAGTATGTGCTTCTGCATATCGTATAAATAAGCGTGAAAAAACATGAAAAACAAACTCCAGGGCCGTCAAGAAGGCAAAAATGCCCGGGCAGTTTTGTGGTCCCAGTCCAACCCTGCTTAATGCACAGGTGTAATATGTACACCTACAGCTGAACGCATCGAAAACATGTGAACTGGTCTTTGACTTCAGTCGCAATAGTTCTCATTTGCCTGTCGCAAACGATAACTCCCAGGTGCAGATTGTAGAGGAGTGCAAGTTTCTGGGTTCAACTCTAACGACCTGAAATGGGTTAAAAACACTGACCGAGTCGTTAAGAAAGCTCGTCAGCATCTCTACTTCCTGCGTAACCTTAGAGAACTTACCACTAACTCTAAGATTCTGCTTAATTTTTATCGCTGCACCATTGAGAGTTTACTTGTTGGTTCTGTGTCTGTGTGGTTTGGAAACATCACAGACAAAGAAAAGAGAGCTTTAAACAAGGTGCTCCGCTCTGCAAAGAGGACTGTGGGCTTCCTGTTCTGGAAGTTCTTTACAAATCCAGACTTTTAAACAGAGCTCTTAGAATTATCAACGACTCTTCTGGCCACCCTGTAAAATCCTTGTTCCAGCTTCTTCCCTCTGGCAGAAGACATCGTTCTGAGATGCAGGACATCTCGTTATGCTAATAATTTTTTTTCCACAAGCTGTTATCAGTGTGAACAGAGCACTTGCACTTGTATAGAAACTGTTTTAGTCGGTCGATTTCAATCATAGTGACAATTGTTTACTTTATTTGTTTTATGTCTGTACTTGTCTTGTGCACACTGGGGACTTTTGCTAATGTATTCCAATGTGGTTTTACTGCAAATGGCGAATAAATGAATCTGAAATGTTCAACAAAATATTTGTAGATTTGCTTAATAACTGGTTGAGTGGGCAACCTTTGAATGGCCCCCGGGGGTTCTGCAATTAATTTGTTTTGTTCCGGCCCAAATTAAACTAATACAACAACTTCAGTACAGCAGACTTTCTCTTTTTTGGCCCTAAGGAGTTGTTTACAACTTCCCGTTTCTTTTTTCTTCTATTCACTCTCCTCTCGTCTTGAGACTTTGATAGGCTTGACCATACAGAAAAAGCATGTCATGTAACATTCTCTTGACGTCATCTTAATCTGGCAGCTGGATTTAAACTAAAACACTGTTAAATAATTCTTCAGCAAGCGTGTGAGAACAGCCCACTGCAGCTCTCAAGGCCAAAACACACTCTGGGGCAGATCAACAAATTCCTGCCTCATGAATACTCTCCTATTCTCACTGTGCGGCGAGAGAGAGACGGTCTGTGATAAGAACAGGAGCTAGTTTATGACCCAAAATAACTCAATGTCTTTCTGAAGTGCAAGTCACAGAACAACCAACAAATGATCTTAGCACATAACAAATATACTTTTTATTCATTCCTTTCTCAAAAACAATAGCAACTGCGTACAGCATGTACACAGAATTGAATATGAAACATTTGAATGGTTCATATTCTGTTGGCCCATAGTGTAAAAAGCCAATTTCTGTGATCATCTATTTGAGGAGTAGAGATTTTATTTTGCGCAGGTACTATACTTCATAAAATATAGTCTAAATTGCTATATTTTATTTATAACTGTTTTTTGTTGTCTATTATTATTTCTGGAGGTATTTTAACCAGACTATTTGATCATTATTATGAGGTTCCGTTTTATGTGGATTGAACCAACACTGGAAAAATGGTATTGGAAGATTGTTATTGTAGACTGATTATAAAAATATTTCACAATTTATAGTTCCGTCTTGAAACCACTGGCTTTCAAACAAAGTATAAAATGCCATTGGTAAGCCTTATCAATCGATGTTTGCAAATAAATGAAAAAACATAAGCATTTTGATGCTCCTGTCTACTTCTTTTGAGACCCATGTGCGATAATCTGTGGAAGGTGGTTGTATATGACACCCAGACACCCAAGCGCTCAATAAATGAAATTAAAACAAGGTGCATTTCCTAAGACAACTTTGATCATAAACACATAATGATAAGAGTCCCACCCTACTTCCCATTTCTAAGAACAAACAAACAATGTTTATGAAACCAAATCAACCAAAACAAAGCTTAGCAAAGAAGTGAGAGAATAGGAGGAAGGAAGCACGCAGGAGGAACACACTCGAGTGGACTATCTGAAGGTGCTTTCAGACCACCAACGCTGGAACGCAGATACCTCGCACACCAGACGCACATTCTCTAGTTTTCAGACGCAGGGAACTTCAGACCAGAAGTCCTGGCGTGCACCGAAAGTGGCGGAAGTAGCCGGCGGGCTTTGATTCTAACAGAGTTAAGCTGGCGGCTTCTTGTGTTAAAGTTCTTCTCCGATAATGCAGCTCTGCAGCGTGTCTGTGTTCAGAGACCTTCCACAGACTTTATATAATAGTAGTATGTGTTCACGGAGGTGCGTAATAAGCTTATATTTGTATTAAACGGTATTTCCGCATCGGCGAACACGTTTGAAGCAGTTGCAAAAAGTCACGGAAGCATGAAAACTTACATGTTCACAAGCGCTATGTCCCCCATTGTCAACCCTGGTTTAGTCCTGGTGTGGCTCCTGTTTTGGCTGTTTACGAGTATTTTCAGTCTGCTCGCTCAGACCGTTAATGTCCCCGTGACCACTTCGTGGCTCTCTGATTGGTCTCTGCATGAATGTCCGAGGAAACGTTCCGCAAAGTTTATCTCCTGCGTGCGTCGACTTTCCGCTCCTGCTCCTCCCCTTGGATTTTGCCACATAGTCCGTGCGTGCATTCCAAGACGCACATGCATTTTGACGCTCAAACGCGCGTCACCATTGACTTTGCATTGAAAGCCGATGCAACGCATGATCCGGTCTGAACGCGGCTTGAGACAGAGGCTGCTAGTCACTAGCACACATACCATACAGCAAGAGTAACAGCAAGACAGAAAACTACTTACACATCTGTAAATTCCTTCAGACTTGTTGCTGGGGAGAAGACGTCTAATAGGCCAATGACCTAAAAAAAGGAAAAGATGAAATATTATGGAAATTGACTTTAGTAGTGCTGTCATCATTATCACATCTCATCTAAAAATGTCACTTAATGTTGCTGCCGTGTTGACAGACGAGGAGAGGCTGTGAAGAATCCTTCAATAACAATATTAATTGCCTCGTTTATTATATTTCTTCTGATCAACAATTATTTAAAATTATAATAGAACTAAATGGCAGACCAACGCACGTCTTCTTGAATAGACATACATAAAGACAAGCTATAACAGGAATTAAAAAAAAAAAAACTGCACAATTATCTACATTTAAACTTAATTCACTACTCCTGTCAGGGTGTTCATGATAAATATAGATATGTATATTAGATTATTTTCTATCTACACAATCAACATGTGAAAAACTACAGCACTTAAAGTCCAAGCTAATGTGCAATGTCCGTCCCTTGAAAGGGATTTAACGCAATCAAAAACCCTTTTTACATTGTTACTTTCACATTATACAAAATGTAGGTGTCCTTTTGTAGACTGATCAATAAAGTCTACAAATGATATGGTTTGAGGTGTGCACTCTGGAATCCTGACTTTAAAAACAATGCTCACACAACTTTCACGTTTCCATTGGAGGGTTCCATCACTCGCCTAGTGATGGAACCCACTAGGGATGTAAATCAGTGTTTAACCGGTGGTTGACCGTAGCAGCGTTAACCGGTCAAAGCTGTCGGTTAAAAAAAAGAAAAGGGGGAGGGGGGTTCCTTAATTACGCTATTAAGCCCTATTCGGAGGGGATTAGCATTACCTGTGGACCCCTGGTAATTTGTGATAATCACGAAGGACGTCTGAGATCTTGTGCATTCACACGGGATAAGCAATGTCTGTAATTTTCACTGACATCTCACATAACGGCCGCACATGCGGCACATGTCTCTACGCTTCACGCAGTTCATAAAAACTGACGTCTGACCCAGTGGGGGCGGGTCCCGGCTCAAAAGTGGCCAAAATGACGTGCGCTGACATGCTTTAATACCACCCCGAGCCGATGGGGGTGGACCCGGAATGAGAATGGCCCGAAGCTCCGTTCCACAAGTGTTTCAATGCTAAGGGTGAGTGAATTTTTTTGGACCACTCTGGTTTAGTCGGTGTGAATTTTTTAAGGCAAAATGAATGGAGCTCACGCCGGCTGACGCATGCACAGATGCGTTTTTTCACAATTTTCTTGTGGGCGGGACCACTTGCAGCCATTTTGGATAGCTCCAGTAGAGCACAATTTTTGGCCCACTAGTTTGAACGGCGGAGATAGGCGTGACTACGTCCGTTAATATTTACAGTCTATGGTCTGACCACAGCAGCCACAGAGACCATGAGGACAAACACATGTGGATTTTACTGCTCTACAGTTCTATGGCCCGTATTGTCTGCAATGTTAAACTAAACTTTTTGTACGGACTACCCGTGAACGCACAAAATACTCTGCTAACATACGCGCAAGCCGACAAGCAGTATCAACACGTCTACTCTGTACTGTATTAGGACAGAGTGCAGCCATCAGTCTGATCATTATGTGTCAGTGAACACATTACACTGTCCTCTACACTTTTCCATAGACCTCACAGAGACAGACTCTGCAGATTTATACAGCCGCAATACGCGACTCCTCTGCTAATTGACAAAAAACAAAGCAGAAGGTAAAGTGAAAGCTGCAATAGCAATCACAATCACTGACATGCAGATTCGCACGAGATTAGTATTATCAGAGGACGTCTGTGTTTTGACAAATACAGGAGGTAATTTGCGGCGGAATTATTACTTTACAAATTACAGACATGGCGCATTCGCACAGGACTAATATCTCAGACGTTCCTCTGCGATTATCACAAATTACTAGAGGTCCCTATGTAATACTAATCCCGTCCGAATAAGGCTTTATGAGCCCTATTTGCACGGTGTGACAGAGCAGGTTCGTCTCTAGCCGTGTGCGCCAATGTATTAAGTAAACTCCAGGCCAACTTTCATGGCGCACGCACACACACAGACAGACACACGCGCACACACACAAATGCCATTCCACACTCGCGCACCCTTTCCTCGTTCCATCCATACATAACATCCATACTCTTGTCCGTCTCTCCCCTCCGTTACTAGTCTGCCCAAGTTGCACACTTGCGCGGGTTAGAACTACATTGGAGCATACATTTACACACACTGGTCTGTCGCGCTCCTCTGTGTCACGCACAGAGGAGCGCGACAATTATGCAAATACGGGGCTCCAGTCAAAACACATGGAAACATGTTTGTTGCTAAAAATCTTTAACCCAGCACAGTAGAATGGGAAGATTAAAAAAGCAGTTATCTGTGCGCAAAGGTGCCGAAGCTGTTGGGGGTTTTGCTCGGCTCTGATCCAGTAGAACACATAGCTGCACTTATGTAAAGTGTGTGGCTCAAAATGGCTGTTATTTCAAAGAACGTGGAATATTTTAAACTACGCGGTTAACCGGTTAATGAGGCTCGGTGGTCGGTCATGAAAATGTTTAGTTTTTTACATCCCCAGAACCCACATCCCTCAGAGGACCTAGAGGGCACACATCACAGCAGGGGCTCTACTGTGCCAACATTGATACATTTCAGATTAAAGAATTTAATCAAAACATTAAAAAAACCTAGATATTAGATATTATAATATTACATTTGTTCTGATTTTTACAATTTGACAGATACATTTGTTTTTTATACGTTGACTAATCATGATGATTAAAAAATAAATATAGATGTATCAATTGTGTTGAGCGGAGCTTTAGACAAGGCATCGAAAGCCTTTAATTTAACGCATCGAATTGTTTTGAAATATACTGTATGAGATTAAAAGTCCCCTGTATCAAGGGGCCCTACAATTTATATTTATAGTTATTCTTTACCCCGACAAATGATATGGTTTGAGGTGTGCACTCTGGAATCCTGACTTTAAAAACAACATGGAAGTCTAATCAACAATAAAAAATACAGAAAAAGCAACTTACATTTTCGTGTTTCATATGCTTGAGCAGCCGCAGTTCTCGATATGTCCTTTTGGCATGGATAATGGACTGAAAGGGTCGCGAGAGCTTCTTAACAGCAACTTTTAAACCAGTTTTCACATCATAAGCAGAACTGTTGAAATAAAACAGATTTGTAAAACAAAAGACCACAGTATAATAATAACTCAAAGGATAACAAAGATTTTATGACAGTGAGAGGCGTCCATGTGTAAAGTGGGTCAGGCCTTGAGAAGGATAAGTTTGCAACGGACATAAAAAATGAGAAATGAGAGCTGCTCAAGGCAAAGGAAAATGTAACATCAGCACATTTACAGAAGCCAACCTCTGTCCTGCAACTGCACTCAAGACATATCCTCTTAAATATATCTCAGAAATATGAAAAACGTCACCTGTATGCTTTTATTCTGCAATATTCTTTACTGAATGTGATGTTGTTTAAAGATGTTGGAATCCTGATTAGAAAGCCTGATCGCTTAAATCATGACCCTAATTACAGCCATGTTGACCCATTGTAAAAGGGAGCATGGTAAACAGTTATAAACGGACTGTTTAGGAAAAACAATCTGATCAGAGAGCAGTAATCTGACCAGAGACAGATTATGGAGTTGCTCAGCAACAACACAGCTGTTCTTTTCCATTTGCAAAACAAACATCTGTTCATTGGACCACTCGACTCAACATTATTGTCCTAGATAGAAAATGTACACAACAAACTGCTGTTTAATTAACTTAAAGTCATGTCTTCAACAATTGTCTGGCAATTGTTGAAACCAGTTGTAAGACAATCAGTGCAAATTAAGCATTGTAGCACAACCACAAAAAATAACTTTATCATAACCAATAGTTTTAGTAAATAGAAAACAGGATTTCTGAATTTGATTTATTGCACGAGGCATTAAAGTTTAAACTAAAAAATGTGCCCCGTCTAGTCTACCAACTAGCGTTAACGAAATTGAAGTGGGAAGAAGATAGTTATGATTAATATATCAAAATAAAAACAATTGTGCATACAAGTCATACAACTCCTGAAACACGGAAAGAAAAACATTTTCCATATTGATCGAGTAAACAAACAGCGGGGAGGTCCTCCTGACAGCAGTCCCACCCTGCACAAGTAGGTTACTGAAGAGCTAATCTAACTTTAGCTCATGGTGCAGGGCCTGTTCAGAATGAATGAGGTATCGTTGGGAGAAGCGCCACAAAGTCCGAAACAACACCTACCAAACCGATCCGTACGCTCCAGAGCCCACCGGCAGAAGGTTCTGGTAGCGCTCGGGCACTTCCCAGATGGTTTTGTTCACGTCCTGGCGATAAAACACGGGCCTTTCGTTCTGCGACATTTCTGCAAAACTGCCCACAGACTTGAATGAACTCCGAGGCGGTGGAAACTCCGAGCGGTGCAGCCCGAGCGCAAGTTTGCAAAGTCCAAACGTGAAAAACGGAGATAAACTACTCTCCCCTGTTAGCAGAACCTACGCGCAATACGTTCAAAAACAATCTTGCGCGAGTGTTTCAGAAAATCGTCCTCATGTGTGCAGGTTTTCAGAGGTTTTCGCTTTGAGACTTGTCCCGCACTCTCTCGACCGGACGACAGGCGCTCCCGAGACTTCACTAACTACTGGAACATTCCGCCAAACCTCGCGAGAACAAAGTATTACATGCCTTTTGTGATCACCGCTCTAATCACTGCTGCGTTAAAGGTGCCCTGAAAAGAGTTTAGTTGCAGAATACTGAATACTTACTTTAAAGTTGGGGTACTTTATTTTAAAATAACTATCTTATATAAATCAATCTAACCAGTGTCACTAGTTTTCACGTGTATGTTTTGTCACACCGAAAAGAGTATCCAAGGGCTCAGCCCAAAGAGTCAAGCAGTGCTCTTCTTAACTAACATGATGTTTTCCTCTAAAATGACGCCATTATGTTTTGGTCCGATTTGTTCACATTTTACTTAAAATATTTCTGTGTTTTCCAAAAATGAGATGTGTTTTAATAACTCCACCACACTGACAATCTACGAATTTCCTAAATAGTTAATTTGATTATATAAATAATAATGATAATAATAATAATGACCACAATAAGTGCATATAGGCCAATAATCAGAACAAACATCCCTCCCATTATTATTATTACTATTATCAATATTATTATTATTATTTTAGGTTATATGTATAACAGTGGGGGTGTCACACGACTTGCATCTGTCATCAGTGTGTGTGGAGCAAATGGAAAAATATTGGTATAATAATAATAGGAATGGATGTTATTTATTAATTACTCTAATTAATCAAAACAAATAAGAGAAGACAGGTTTAGCCAAAATGCAATGCCTTTATTTAAGGAGCAGGACAATAGCTGCATCAGTCAGAACGTACAAAACATTGAAGAACATTATAAAAAGACAACAACTACCTGTAACAGTCAAAGCATGTCCATGGGTTTCCAAAGCCATGGACAGTACCAGTAAACTGAAATTCATGTCTACAATAATATAACAACATGTCATCATTTTGGTTTTAAAAGTCATTAAAATGAGGGGCCATTTCATACCCTCAATGTGAAGCATTAGTATTAATTCAAGATGCAAAACCTGAACTGTGGCCTTAGCAGCTTAACAGTAATTCTCAAACAATTTAAATAAATACTTTTTTAACTCAACTTTGATAACACTGAGCACAAAAACTGTACACCAACTGCTTATTACAATGGATGCAAGACATTCACAACTGACATAACAGTCAGTTAATCGTCATCCGAATCCTCCTCTTGTTGCAAAAGCGAAGAAGATTTAAGTGGAACTGAATCAAACCCATCCACTGACCTCTGGAAATCACAACACTGTCATGAATACATTTATTTGTTGCGTCTCTGTGGTGCGTCAACGGGAGCCTACCTCATATCTAAAAGACTTAATTTTGGTGAAGAGGGATTTCTTCTTAAGGTCGATGTAGTCATCCTCTGCATCCTCTCCTTCCATGATGGCACAGCTGTCTGCAGTTGGCAGTTCACACTCTTTACCTCCAGAGCTCATCATCAGCTTAGAGTATTTGTATTCAAGTCTGCCGGAATCCAAGCACAGGACGTTAAAGTTGGGGTACCTAACTTTCAAACCACAATAATGGGAATTACACTCTAAATCACGAAACATTATAAAGTATAACCTTATAACCTTAATCACAAAACATGCATGTGAAAAACAACAGTTTTCACATGCATGTGGTTTTGGTCTCTATCACATCTTTAGATTATGTTTTTCACACAGAAAAGGGGAAGAGAGAGGCCCACCCTCACTCTCTGCTCTCAGCTCAAAGAGTCAACTAGAGCTCTTTCTTACAAGAATGCAAAATCAAACATGCTTTTGAAAATAATCAGTAAAGTACAAATGTCAGAATTCTCACTTGCGGGTCCTCTTCCAGAAATAGCAGCTGAGGCAGATGAGGAGAAGAGCAGCGGCACTTCCTGTAGAGACCCCAAACTTGAGCCAAAAGTCCAGACTGACACAGGCGCTGACCAGGGGCTCTGGGAGGGGCTCTCCTCCAAAGCACTGAAGAGGTTGCTGCCACACAAAAGTAGTTTTCTGGACACACAACAATTCTAACATGAATAAAGATGAGTGATTCTAAAATGAATAAATGCATATTGAAATATTACCTGTATTCCCTGCACACAAGCGCTGACTATTTCTCTGTAGTGGTGCTTGGTGCAGTGTGGACATGCATCCTGACTTTCCCAAAGGAAGTGGAAAGTGCAGCCATCACATGTGCCACCGGAACAGTTCCTTCACAAGAAACACCACATGATTATAAAATGTAGTGTATCATCAGTTTCAATAAAACTAAAGTTATACTATGTACTTTTCAATGTTATGCATCAAATGCATCCTTTGTGTCCATTTCAGCACCTAAAAAGATTCTTTCTTTGGAATGCCATCCATCCATCCATTTTCTACCCCTTACCCCTACCCCTTAGTCCATTACCAGCCCCTCACTGACCCTCCTTCAGGTGGTGAGTCCACAGGAGGATGGCTGCTCTGTCAGTGACAACATAGCATTGATCTTTCAGCGGGGGCTGAATGACAGCAGACCTCAGTGGGAGTTGAGGGAGAAGGTCTCGTCGTGGGCTCAAACCCACGACCTTCAGGCTCACTTTGGAATTCCATGTTGTAGAAATGTTACACAATGAGTTCCATCAAAAATATATAGATAATTATGTAGAAAACACCCCCATTTCGTGGTAGAAGTGGTCCTTCTTTCATATGCAACAGAAGTTCCTGATATTTGTTTGGCTGGAGCTGAGAGAAAAAAAAGCTCAATGAAGACCACATATTGTCTTTTGACTAGGACAACCATGGACATGATCATTCTGAGCTTTTACTTTTTTAATGTGGAACAATACCACACCATAAAAGAAACAAGTCATCTGCCGATTGACCCAAACAGTGAAGTTTCAAAAAAAAGTAAACAACACTGGGGCCTAACTGCTGGTAGGATTGTTGGAGCTGAATGGATGCTTTATCAGTCCAGATAAAATAGTTTTTCAGTAACCATAAATAAAGCTAGCTCAACCCTTTATTTTTTCAATTCACTGTAACTATGGGATTAACAGTCGTTGTTCAATTGTAGACTTTATAGATTGATGAAATACATACTTTATTTGAGTGTGTTGTTATACCTTGGTGTTGTGATCTGGTCTTTTGCGCTCACTGTGGGGTTGCATCTCAGCCTCACAGTGGCAGCTCGGCCCTGTTTACAGGCCTGAGTTTTGTCTCTGGACCTGAATCAAGATGCAAAGTAAAGAATGTAACAGAAATGAAACCTGTGTCACATACAGGGAGATTTTCTCTTACTTATAGAAGAAAATGACATCCGGCAGAGTGGACGTGGAGGGGAACAGCCAGACTGGAGATGTTATATTGTTCAGTGAAGTGTCTGTAGATACACCTGAGACATAACAAGAATGAACATTTTGGTGACATAATCAATGGTAGAGCTAACACAATGTTTTTGAGATGCCAATCCTTGATTGGCTAGATAGGTTGTGTGCTTGAAATGAACAAAACTAAACTAGATTAGTCAACTAACAATTTAAAAACGTAGCATATTATCAGCAATATAACATTTACATGTACGTTCAAAGAAAGTATACCAATTCCTGGGGACCAAATCAATTGCAGAAACAAACATGAAAAATTGACAATGAATTATACTATATAACTAGGATGTACAAAGCGACACCAATAAAATAGATTAATATATTGATCCGTCAGTAAAAAGGATTTGAAAAATGGCCCCATATTTTGCTAGAGTTATTTTGGGGTACTATCTGCAATGAGTGATGAAGGGTTTTCTTATACATAATAATAATAAACTTAGCCCATGAAATTGAATTTAGCAAGCACTATTCAAAGTAAATCATCCACAGATAACAAGCGGATATTACAAACCAACAAGTGTGTCTCCAATGACAACAGGCTGAGAGGACACAACCGTCTGGCCCCTGATGTCGGAGGGAACCACGGTGGATTGACATATGTATCCTTTGACCTCCTTCTTCCCACTCTCAGTCACATTCTCCACACAAGAGGCCAAAGCTCTTCCCTGAAATTCCAAACTCACATTTAACAATACAATACAATACAATTTATTCTTGTATAGCCCTAGGTCACAACAGAAGTCATCTCAGTGGACTTAACAAAACCATTGAAATCACCAACACAGGTCAGAGAATCAACAGTTAAAACACATGAAAAATATAAAGCACACACAGAAGAAAAGCACACCCATCACTGACACATTTGACCAAACAAACATAGCTCCCGCCTCTCACCTCCATGCCACACAGGCCCAGGTTGAAATGCTGGAAATATCTCAGGCCTCGAGTGGTGAATCGAGCTGTGCTGTGAAAACTGGTGACATTGGACAGAGGGGAAAAGTGGTAGTGCAAAAATCCCCATTGACTTTGGACGTTCAGGTGGCAGTCACTGAGACAGGCTGAGGAGTCCTGAAGAAGAACATGAGGTCAGTACTCAATATTCAAAGAACAGAGGAAAAAAGTCAAATTAATTATAAAATAACCGTGTTTAATAAAAGTGTTTCAATAAAGAAAAGAAAGCATTTGTTGTTATTTTAACACGTTATGTGCGTTAGGTGGCGTTTATGTGACATTTCAACATTCCAAAGAATCTCAATAAATTGTGGTGGGCAGCTGAAAAAATATCCGTCAAAAGTATTTCACTGCTAATTTCTCTGTCATTTCTGAGCCAATCATCATGAGAGTCAAACTGTCATCTTTGTCAGCACATATCAACCATGTTTGCATAATCTTTTTCTCATTACAGGTGTTTAGAAGTGGTGACGATACTCAAAAAACATGTGCATGATGTTGACCACAGCTGAAATGTGAACCTAATCACTATCAAAAGATCTGGGGAAAACATATTTTGAGTGTGAATCCATATTTGAAAAACTGCTTCTTTCTCGCAAAATAGAATTCTACATTCTGAATGCAACCAATAACAAGTATTTTCCTAACTGTAAATATGACATTAATATCTTTTCTCCAGATATTGCAACATATCAATGCTTTTCTATTACCTTGCTCCTCTTGGTGTTGGGTCCACAGGGCACACAGGCAGTCTGCTCTGCTCCAATTACTGTATTTGGGGGACAGCTCTTGCACATCCCTGTCTCACTGACCATGTAGTGTCCAGAGGGGCAGGGGACACAGCCTGAACGGGTGTGAGAGGCGACCAGCGGGCAGCGACGGCACTGAGAGGCCACGCCTCCAATGGTATTTGTGATGTGGATGGAGTAAATCTTGGCAAAATCAGAACTGTACTTTCTCCCCTGAAAACAGAACTCACAATTATGGAGCAATATTGAGAAAACTAAAAGATGACAGTGTGCTAGATCCAAGTTTTTAAATAGATATTTCAATACAAGTTACAATAAGTAAGTTATCTTTATTTATGTAGCGCCTTTTCACAAAACAGAATCACAAAGCGCTTTACAATAGTGGGCATTTTGTCTCTCCATCCATGAGCAAGGTTGCCATACAGGAGGCACATGGTAGGCCTACACGGAAGGGGAAACCGGAAACTAACGCAGACACGGGGAGACCAGGATACGAACCCAAGACCTACACGTTTTCATGGAGAAGCAAGAGTGCTATCCACTCAGCCACTGTGCCGATCCAATGCAGCAGAGTGCCCTCTAGTGTCTGATATACATCAACTACTCTATTAACATATGTTGATGTGATATTGTTTTGTTTTGAGTTTTTGAATGCATAAAATTGTCATTTGTTTTAAAAATTACATTCATGATTTGTCCTTACCTCAGAGTGTTCAGTGCTGGTGCGTTGAAATGCCCAGGTGAAACTATTTGTGGCGTTTTCTTGAATCACAAATGAGTAGGACTGTTTGTTGTTTGTTCCTTTCCACTGCTCCATTACTTCACTGTTCCACTGTGTGTACCCCTGAAATCAACATCAGAACATATTTTACACTTGATCCACTTGAGACAAGAGAAGCTTTGTACTTACTGCTTGGAAGAAAAGTTTGCAGTCTCCTATACACTTGGTCTCGAAGACGAACGTGATTCGAGCAAGTTCACTGATTTTGGAGACGGACTGTGGCAACCTGCATTGGCACACTTAATGAGAAAAAGATTCACTAAAAAGCTTTTAAATGTCCTGGGATAACAACTTGAAACCAGCATCCTCTGGGCTTGATTAATGATAATCTGTTATCAATGAACAGGTGATATTGGTCCTGACCTGTATCCAGGGACATTAAGAGTAAGCAGAAGGAAGTCTGAGTCCTCTTCTCCAGGAGCCGTGTAGATGTATTCCCCTGCCACTTCCCAAGCTGTAACAAATATCTTTATTGGCATGCATATTTAAAATAGGTGCCAGTAATCCAGGAGAAGCACCAACAGAGATTTAAAAGTAAACTAAAGGCTCATTTGTTCAGACTTTATTTCTGAAATAGTAAAATGGCCCCAGGAAGAGTAGCTGACAAATGTGACACTGATTGAGATCAAATAAAGAAAAAACACTAAAACAATGAATTACATTTCAATACGACAGGTGGCAGACCGCTGCCAGAAAAAGTGATTCCTGACCTGTGCTGCGTTCAGGGTCACTGAACTCTCTGCGGAAAGTTGAGCTTTTCATGTTTTGGGGCATTGTGTTCCACCATTTGTACTCATAGCCGACCAGCGGCTCTGTACCTGCTGGACACTTGTCACAAACTGTAAGAGAGTAAGGAAAGATGACAAAAAAAGTGACTCAACTTTACATAACACATTTTTTCAACTAAAATGTAGCTTGCTAAATCATTAAAATGTCAGTAATATGTATTAGTTTAGTTGAGTCTTTATTTGAAGGGACAATGTAAAGAGACATTAAGCTCAAAGATAGATATGTTCTGTTAGATTATAGTTAAACAGCTAGTTTACTGCAGATGGAAACTATTATCAACATTGAGGTAGAAGTAGAACATCATCAATTTCTACAACATTTGCAAAAATGTAGCCGTCTCGAAGTTTGTTTCCTTTCTGGTAGAAGATGGCTGAAGCTGAAGCAGGCACTACATTGGACGGTAGTACATTTTGAAGTTGGGCATACGTAAGATGTGCCTGTGTGAAACTAAAGGCTCTAATATATATATATATATATATAAGTAATAGTGTAGTGTAAGTAGGGCTGTCAAAATTATCGCGTTAACGCACGTTAATTAATTTTTTTCATTAATCGCGTTTAAAAAAAAATAACGCATTTGACGCATGCCCATGCGTCCCATAATAACACTCAGAATGCCGCGGACACATGCACATGTGTAAGATGGGGACAGAGCAGGTAGGCCCTCTGGGAATTCAAGTTTTGAAAGAATACACGCGTGACCAAGAAGCACTTGTAGTTTCCTGTAGTAACTCTGCATGATGAGCTGCGGGCGCAACAGCGCTCTGGACAGTTCCCACTTCCAGCGGCTGTGATCACGGCGAACGGCGCCGCGTAATGGGATCATATTCAAGACCACACACTATTCTCTTATGTGCGTACGTGTCTTTGCGTAACCGATGCACACAATATGTACAGCGCAGAAGCTGGACTGCGGAGCCTCAGTCTCCTCTGTGTCTTCTCCCGAAGCGCACTCGCTAAATTAAAGCTGAGGTCCCTAATTTTCCTTTCGACCATCAGTTCATGTTAGTTGTGCCAAAAAAAGTAATGTTGTGAGCAAATCAATCAGATTTAATGACATTCTGCATTTCAGACTATTTTGAAATGTCCCTCATCTGTAACAAACAATGGTTTTGTTCTGAGTCTAAACAGAAAGACTGAATGTTAATAATGTTTATTCAATTTTATCTGGATTTATTGTTATAACAAACAAATACAGTACATATGTTCACTAAGCTGTCATTTATCTTTCCATTCAAACAACAATTTACAGAAAAATATGGCATAATTTTGCCAATAGTTTGAAATGTGATTAATTACGATTAATACATTTTTAAGCTGTAATTAACTCGATTAAAAAAAATAATCGTTTGACAGCCCTAAGTGTAATACATTACTTTGAAATGACAGTAAGTAACTTGCCCAACACTCTTAAAAAGGAAAGTGCCAGTGAGGTTTCAGAATATCTTTCAGGAGAATCATGGCCCCAGAGAGGAGAGCAATTGAACATGATTTTGAGTGGTAGATTAAATCTATGCACATGGGAGAAAATGCAAACACAACTAAGGACCCTGTCTGAAGGTAGAATTGAACCCAGAACCTTCTTGCTGAGGCTTTTTGCTTTTTTTAAATGGTTCTCCTTGTATTTTCATCTCACCAAATCTTTTTGGACATGGAAAATATTTAAATGAAATCATTTGTGTTTTATCCATTCAAATGTGTGTGTGCGCAGGTGCGCAGCAGAATTGCACCTGTCCCATTGGAGTAGGAGCCTTGTGGACAGGCTGCACAGGCTGAAGAGTTGGTCACGTAAAACCCCGGGTTACAAGGGGGACATGGCTGCTGCCCTCCAGATGCAGGCAGCGGAACAGCGCCCTCTACTGTCTCACTACAGATCTTCGGCTCGATCCACTTGTACATGAGCTCAGTCTGGGTCACAAAGAAGAGCAGCGGTAAAGCACAGGTGGGCTCATTTACACATTTTATTCAAAGAAACTAATCCTACAACAGGTGGCTGCAACAGATGGTTTGATGACAATGTTGTTACTATCAGTAAGGTTCAAAAATATGTCATGCAAACCTAATTTATATCATTTGAAAAACAAATACCAGGTGTGTAAGCTTATACAGGTGCTTGTTAATTTTTCAGTAGATTTTTTCAAAGAATATTAAGTGACACTTTTAATTATCAATAATTGATCACACTAAACTTTCTCTTAAATTAGTTAATCTTAGTAAATCTCTGAAATTAGTTAATCTAACCCTAACCCTAACCCATTTATTTGGGGCAGGTACCTTTCCTTGTGTGTCACATGGTGTGTGTGTGTAGAAGTAGTCATTGGGGGTACAGGCAGGTCTGGGTTTGCACGTCTGTGATCCAGCCTCTGCTCAGGAGCCACAGGGAAAATGTGCACATTAAGATCCAAGATAACACAGGTTACACACATTATGCAGCAACACAGCTCATGTAGACTTGAAGAACACAAAGAATCTGTTTAAAATGTAAATACTGTACGTGTGTATGTGTTGTTTTGACATGGGTGGCAGACGGTGGCTCCTTTAGTAGAGAAAGTATCGGCTGGACAAGGGGAGCAGCGCGCAGCACCGGCCTCCGCACTGTATGTCCCAGCTTTACAAAGGAAACACTCAGACGTGTAAGACACTCCTGGAGAGAAGTGACATGAGAGGTCACCAACGTTATAGTCTCCTGTGTAAAGTCACCATGTTGAAATGTTTACCTGAAATCCCAATGTTTTTGACGAGCACAGGTTTGATGTCACTGTCCAGAGAATACCCTGTGCTTCTCCAGTAAAGGACATTGTTGCCTGTTTTCAGCTCAACCTCAAGAGACGAAAAAGGTTGGTTTCAGATGTGGCAAGTAACTATGGTAACTAAAGTACAGGAGTTATTCCTCGTATCTAAACAAATAATAAATATTAACTACTAGTTTTTACTTTTACTCTTGTCTGTATATCTGTATTTCCTTCTCCTACAGTTTGAAATGAATACATAGTTACTTCGCATGACATCAAATGTCATGTATAGGGGTTTAACATTTCTCAAAGAAACATAGTCCGTCGATTATTCAACAAAGATACACTTGATTTTTTTTTACACAAAAGGATTACTTCAATACATTTACCAGAGTTAAATTTTAGAATTGCATCTTTTTCCTTTTGCCATCTCTGCTTCATTTTACTTACACATTATGCACATTTGCTAATCATCTGCTTTATCATAGACAAGCCCTTTATAGTTTACATTCAACAGTACAAATGTACATATGAAACTAACCATGTGTTTGCTCCAGTCATTCTCTGACACCTTCATCCACCTGTCGTCTGACTCTGTGGACTGGCACTGGTCGTTCTGAACCTGCACAGAAATGACAATGCAGAATGAAAGAATTAAGTATTACTTACCCCTCAATGTAAAACATATAAAGAAGATATTCTTACAAAAAACTCAAAGTAGACATTGTTGTCAGGGTACAAATACTCAAAGGTCAGTACTCCCGATTTCTTTAGGTTCACGGCGTAGGACAAAGTGGCTGTGCATTCGTCTGTGTTAGATTCAATATAATCACCCTTTGGGCTCCAAGTCGAACTGAAAATAAATACGTAGTTTGTTAATCACAAAAATGGACCGCATAAATGACATTCCACCATTAATGAACACAACGCATTAAACATTTCCTTACATATCTAAAAACTTTTGATTAACTACCGGAAATACAGTGGCGACAGAATAGAACAAATACTGGTGCTTTTAGGTTTTTAAACATGCTCTGTAGGAAATAGACTACAAATAATATAACAAGAAAACTACACAATAGGTTGCTCTATAGAGCCTATAGATTAAAACTAGTGGAAGAACAGCTGAAAACTCTATTTTGCTAAGTGCCAAAAGTCAGACTTCTGATCTTAGTTCCATATGTTCTTTGTCAGCACACATGATGATCTAATCATGTCCTTTGGGATCACCAAACAATTAGACATTTTCTTTTTCAAAATGTATTTTTCAAAAGTTGTAATGGCACCTGCCTTCCAATTGAAATGAATGCAATCTATTTGGGGCATATATATTTAGAGATTAAGGTTTGGGTGTGTGCAAAAGGTATTAGCACCCCTTGATTTCAGAGCTAACTGATTAATCATGTAGATGCAAATATAAATAAACCACTCTCCTGTGTGTGCAAAGTAAAATAGTAAAATATTTTAATTTGCACACACAGTCACCTGGATTGATAGATACCAATAACACTCTAGTAATTGAATAGTTAGAGATGGCTTAGTCTTGTTTAAGACCTGGTTTGGATCTGAATTCACTCATAAATTTATATTAAAAGCTTGGAAGACACTGGCATAGGCCTATACCACAGCTGTTCTGAAATACTCACTTTGCACAGTTGACCTGGTCATCATAATTGTTTGAGTTGTGGTGCTGGCTCACAAAGCCGTGTGGCAAAGTGTCCCACTCATCAAAAGCCACTCCGGTCCCCAAAGAGTACGTCCCAGGGGAACATTTCTGACACGCCTGAGTCTGCATATCCAGAAACTCCCCTTCATTACATGAGAAAGCTACACAAAGGCAAATGACAGCAAGTTAGTGATGAAGAAGTAGCAAGAACTAGGATATCTTTAGTTTTTATTTAGTGTTGCCTTCTGCAACACTTTAAAGACCCATGGATAAAAAAGTAATAATTTTCAGACCAAGTGAACTAGACTTGGTCCAGTTCAGGAAAACCAGACCAATAAATACATTCTAAATGTTTTGTTGATCAAACTGTGTAACATGAGACAAGGTACATTTACTGGAGGATTCTAAATGATAGATGCTTGTAAACTCACTGCAGGCGGTGCCTTGGACCGGGTCGGGCAGCCTGGTGCACGTGTCCTGTTTGTTGGGCACAGCCACCCTCCAGCGGGCCCCAAGGATGTCGCACTCTGTGTACTCAAAGTGATAGTCGGACTGCACAGACATCCAGGTGAACAGTTCACACGGTTAAAGGGAATTTTTAACTTTTTATTCACTGAGCAATAAGACTTTATAACTTAACTCATATAATTTTTGTAAAAGTCTTCCTCCTTCACAAACAAACCAAGTGCTAATATTTGCTCAAAGGACTTGTCTCACCTGTTGTTTTAATCTCATTTATCTAGACGTTGTCAGGTAAGACTCCCACTGTTGACTTAAGCCCCAGGAAAAAACAAGCTGATCCGACCACCTCTTAAATAAATACATTTGATATTCCTGGCAGAATTTCACTGTAACTGAAGAAGGCAGTTGGTAAACAGTCCCACCCATTACATCAAATTACAAAATCATGATCCTGTTAAGTTGTGTTTCTCGAACTGAATGCATATTCTAATGTAATTTGTGACTGTCTGCTGATGGCTTATTCTTGAACTGAATCTAAATTAGTACTGAATCGGTACTAAACCAGAAGAAAACTCACTGTGAATGCTCTTTTTCTACATCTTCCCTTGTTTTGGCCCCAGTTAATTAGGTGTTAATTACTTGTTATAATTACAAGGTAGGGGGGAAAACATTGCCAACTCAACAACTAAACTGTAACATTTTGGAAGTCATCTTATGGGCTCTGACACACCTGCTTTTTACCCCCATGCATTAAGCAAACACAGCTTGTTGGATTAATAGTTAACAGACATTACCAGATATTATCACCTCTTAGCATCTTCTACAATGCTTGTTTCCTTTGTTATAGCTGCTTAATTAGTTGAAGGGTGTATTTGTACCTGGCTGAGATAAAGTACAAAACACAACAACTGGAAATGGCCTTGCCTGCTCTAATCCCCTGAATTAGATAAACATGTGGGGACCAAGGCAACAGGACGGGACGATGCCTACGTTGCCCACTTGAGGAGATATTGCATGTCTGGTTTCACAAACTATATTTTTACCTGAGGCTTTATGGCATTTGTTTGTGGCAGATAAAAGAAAGTTTAACAAAGATTGATTTCATGTATATTGCATTGCTAGTACTAGTTCAAAAGTGGAAAAGTATTCAAATGAAGTAAAAACTGTGACGCAAAATGGCACTTGACGTTGTTTTAATTGGTTATGTCTAAATATATATTTCTTTAAAGATAGACACTTTATAGAAATATATATTTTTGTTCATTGTTGAAATGAAAAAAAATATAACGATGTAATTACACGTGGGTCATATATCATATGCACTAAAATGTTCCTGATTTGAAACCATATATGACTGGAACATCTTTTTGACATCTTTTTGAAAGTATTCCCCATTCAGTACTTTTTAAAGCTGAGTTCCAGGTCTGCACTCAGGGTCTGATGCTTGACTTGACTGGCATATGTTAACTTTGTCTTTATCGCCCTTACCTCTTTGCAGATGGGCAGCTCGGCGTGGCTCCGCGCCCAGAGCAGCGACAGCAGCAGCAGTCCCAGGAGCGGGTGGTATGCGTGCGTCATGACGGCTGTGTGTTCAGTGGAGCAGGACCCTTCACCTCTGTCAGGTGCACAGTTTATGCAGTCTATAGTCAGGTGCAGGCCTCACGAGCTGTGGGCGGGGCCTCAGCGGGCACAGTAAACCAATCACATCTCTGATCTTTTACTCTTGGGTCGCAGGATGTTGCGCTTTGCAGCGCACTGGTACTTTCACTGTTACGTTTAAGAGGACTTTCCTCCCTCACACATCTCTATTTTTTATTGGAAATATATTAAATTGAACTAGTATAAAAGTGAAACGTTAGCCTTTTATTATTGACAATAGAAAGAGTATGCACTATGCACAGATATTGTGTAGGCTATAAACCAATAAAAATGTGCTTTACGCTTTACCCTTTACCACGTTGTGCTGTTGCTTAGTAACGCACATGTAAACATCCGGTTCAGTGGATTTAGAGTTGAGCTAAAAGAGCATAGTTAATACTTCTATACTCTTTTGGTGCGAACTATAATATTTCGAGATGAATTTGTCCAGTCGGGACCCGTATCCTCCATCAAAACGAGAAAACGACTACACTTTGAGTGGATACAAGCCGCAGGTGAGTAGATTCTATTACCATAACCTGCTTTATCAAGTCGACTAGTTATTTTACCAGCGCATATAAAGTTTAGAGTGACATGACTCATTCAATACGTTACGTGAGTTTTTACGCTATGTAGATATTCAAGGATTCACCTGTTTCTGGCAACATGTTTAGGTTATACCTTTTATAAATGGTCCTCTTTTGTTTTGAATTGTTAAATACTATGGTATGGAAACAGTCCCCGTTTCTTATCAACCTGATGATATCGTTAGCTTTGCTGTCAAGTATTCGATATTTAACCTGCCTCTAGTGGTGTATTATTTCGTACTTAAAAATGACAGAATGCACCTAGTGGTAATAAAGTCATTTTAATCAATTAAATATTACCTTTTGAAGCTCATCAAGAGAATACCAAGAGAGTGCGAAGCAATAATCAGAGCTAAAGGTGCTACTTTGAAGAACCTAGAATATTAGACATATTTTCAGTTCAGTTTAGGTACGTATATAATTCCACATGAGTTAATTCATAGTTTTGATGCCTTCAGTGTGAATTTACAATTTTTAGTCATGAAAAGAAAGAAAACTTTTGGTCTGTACTAATTATAGTCATGAAAAGAAAGAAAACTTTTGGTCTGTACTAATTATATATATATATATATATATATATATATATTGTATATATACAAAATATATTGGATTAAACTTTTTTAACAAATAAAAAACTGAAAAGTGGGGCAGTGCAATATTATTCGGCCCCTTTACTTTCAGTGCAGCAAACTCACTCCAGAAGTTCAGTGAGGATCTTTGAATGATCCAATGTTGTCCTAAATGACTGATGATGATAAATAGAATGCACCTGTGTGTAATCAAGTCTCCGTATAAATGCACCTGCTCTTTGATAGTCTCAGGGTTCTGTTTAAAGCGCAGAGAGAATCATGAAGACAAAGGAACACACCAGGCAGGTCCGAGATACTGTTGTGGAGAAGTTTAAAGCCGGATTTGGATACAAAAAGATTTCCCAAGCTTTAAACATCTCAAGGAGCACTGTGCAAGCAATTATATTGAAATGTAAGGAGTATCAGACCACTGCAAATCTACCAAGACCCGGCCGTCCCTCCAAACTTTCATCTCAAACAAGGAGAAGACTGATCTGAGATGCAGCCAAGAGGCCCATGATCACTCTGGATGAACTGCAGATAACTACAGCTGAGGTGGGAGAGTCTGTCCATAGGACAACAATCAGTCGTGCACTGCACAAATCTGGCCTTTATGGAAGAGTGGCAAGAAGAAAGCCATTTTTCAAAGATATCCATAAAAAGTCTCGTTTAAAGTTTGCCACAAGCCACCTGGGAGACACACCAAACATGTGGAAGAAGGTGCTCTGGTCAGATGAAACCAAAATCAAACTTTTTGGCCACAATGCAAAGCGATATGTTTGGCGTAAAAGCAACACAGCTCATCACCCTGAACACACCATCCCCACTGTCAAACATGGTGGTGGCAGCATCATGGTTTGGGCCTGCTTTTCTTCAGCAGGGACAGGGAAGATGGCTAAAATTGATGGGAAGATGGATGGAGCCAAATATAGGACCATTCTGGAAGAAAACCTGTTGGAGTCTGCAAAAGACCTGAGACTGGGACGGAGATTTATCTTCCAACAGGACAATGATCCAAAACATAAAGCCAAATCTACAATGGAATGGTTCACAAATAGACGTATCCAGGTGTTAGAATGGCCAAGTCAAAGTCCAGACCTGAATCCAATCGAGAATCTGTGGAAAGAGCTGAAGACTGCTGTTCACAAACGCTCTCCATCCAACCTCACTGAGCTCGAGCTGTTTTGCAAGGAAGAATGGGCAAGAATTCCAGTCTCTCGATGTGCAAAACTGATAGAAACATACCCCAAGCGACTTGCAGGTGTAATTGTAACAAAAGGTGGCGCTACAAAGTATTAATATTGCAAGCCCCACTTTTCAGTTTATTTGTTAAAAGTTTAAATTATCCAATAAATTTTGTTCCATTTCACGATTGTGTCCCACTTGTTGCTTGACAAAAAATTAATATTTTATATCTTTATGTTTGAAGCCTGAAATGTGGCGGAATGTTGAAAAGTTCAAGGAGGCCGAATACTTTCGCATATGCACCAACACATACATATTAGTGCTATAATAACCGTGCAGCTAACCTTTTTCTTCCCGAAAAATCTGTTTAGCTGTACATACGACTGACAGATTGCATCTTCACAATTTTTATGTTTTAGTATTTACGTAATAATACATTTAAATCATTTTTTTCCAGCATAAAACTTATAAGAAACCAACCCACTTGGCACAGACAGAAGAACCCTGGAGTCACCTTCATGGCCGTGCCACCAGCTCTAGTTTTAGGAGGAGCGCCTTGTACTGTGACGGGCAGGTAGAGGAGGGGCCTCCCTTCAGAGCTTGCATTGAAGAGGTTAACTCGACTACAGGTTTGTCATTTCCCTCCCAGGCCTCACGGGACAGCCTGGACCTTCATCTGAAGAGCGTCTATGACCACCACAAAAACGTTTTCTGGAGTAAACACCAAATCTTATATCAGAAGGACACGGTGTGTGAGGAGCACAGGTGAGCTTTCTCCAGAGTTTTAATGTTATTATTTCCATGTGTTATTGTTATCGTCTCTGTGGCAGACACACTGAGAAGAAACAGCAAGAGCAGCAACAGGCCGAGAAAAGCCAAGAGATCAGGCGATGGGTTTATCCTTATCGACACTCCATTTACAGCATCAAATAAAGTGATTTCCATTGAATTGTCTTTTTACTTACTGTACGTAATAATCAAAATGCAATAAGTTCAGTGAAAATATGTCAATTAACTTACATTACATTTAGCAGCATGGTGGCAGAGTTATTAACCTTGTACCGTGTATGTATTTACTCAATGCTTCAGTATGGCAGCTTTCCTTACTTCATATTTTCTCTCACTTATGGCTAAATAAATCTGAAATCAATTTGAACATTTAATAGCAATTTAATAATTTTAACAAAAATAATAATAAATAAAACCTTTAATAAATTGGTGATTTCAAAAGCTCACCAAATGAATGACCAAATGAACAGGTAATTTTTTACCATAAAACAGGAATAATTATTACTTTTTTAACAAAACTCTAGCTTTTTTTGCAAGGCATCGTTTGATGAATGCTTTGTCATTCCACTTATTTGGAGGAAGCATGCTGGACCCATTGTGGACAAACAGGATGGACATCTCAGCAGCATAACGCAGGTTCTGGAGCAGCTGTGGAAGATGGTCACATTGTTATGTCCACACATTTATCAGGATCTCCTGAATCAAATATTTCAGGCATTCAGTAAAAGCTGTCACTTTTTACTCACTTTGGGAGTGATGAAGAAGTACTGGGAGGTTATCCCTTTACATGCAGTTCGCACCACAATGTCAAACACTCTTCTCTCATTTACTGGATCCATTCCCTGTAACAAGCACACATTGTAGCAAATATAATGTATAATAGATATAAGTGTAAGTGTTGTACCTGGTTAATTTCATCGACCACTCTGAAAGGGCATTGGTTGAGCTCCTGTAGAGCCATAAGATAGAGCATGGTGGAGACGCTGCGCTCTCCTCCGCTCTGGTGGTGTGCAGTCAGCTCATGGAGCTGTGTACTGCTGTGGAACTTCACCCGTATCCTGATCCCGTACTTGTCATACTCCTCCTACAGTCAACAAGAAAACACTTTGTGTTGATGGCATGTTGTCTAAACAACTCTTGTCCAGTAAAACTGTATACCTCATTCTCTGAGTGCAGATCAACCTCTCCTGCACATTGCATGGAACGGAAGAAGTTGCTAAACTTATCATTAATTTGTCCCACCAGCTGCTTGAGAGGGTTCAACCAGCCCGCTTTAGCCTGATATTGAAAAGACACTTCATAAATACACAGTAATGCAGAGGTCACAGCTAGCATAGTGAACGTCTTTACATCAAAGATCTTCTGTCTGTATTTTGCCAATTCCAGAGTTTTTTCTTCAAGGTCCTTCTCCAAACATTTGATCTCATCCTCTCTTTGGTTGTACTCATCTACAACCTTCAAAAAAATATAATAAATAGCAACAGTTTGTATGATCCAATAATTTAGTGTTCACTCGCTTGAGCACAATAACTGTCATTTCTTACATTTTCACTGAGTCCAGTGAAACACTCTGCTCTACTTCTCTCTTCATTCAGCATGGCATCAATCTCATCCAACGTGTCCGGCAACTTACTGAAAGCCTGTAATAAGAGAACAAGTTATTTTAACTGCATTTTTCTATACATTCAGTATTCTTTTTCAGAAGAGTCAGTTGGGCCTGTAACTTTAAGAGAAGTACATTGAACATTACTAAAACGTTAACTACTCTATTAAGTTACGGCACCAATCAATTCACTTTTTAAAAAACTTTTGACACAACAAACCTATTACATATACATTTACGACAAAGTAAGATTTATAGGTAGAGTCAGTGCATGTTTTAAGTCATTATAAAAAAATATATCGAGGCAACCCATTTGTAAAGCCGTTTTTAATACATGAGTCATTGTTCCAGCCCGAAAAGTACTTGTTACAGATTCAAACCCAAAACTGTTTGACGAATGCTGGTAAACCGAGAAAAAACAAACGTTTACTAGACGAGGTACATATTGACTCACATTGCGCAGGTTGTCAGGCAGAGACTGATCTGGCATCATGCGACAGATTTGCATTGCTCTCTTCATCATTCCTTTGCACTGCTCCATCAGCTGAATCTTCTTCTGGTCCAAGCGATTGCATCTTTGCTAAAGAAAGAAATCATGGGCCACACAATTGTGACAAGGCTATTCAAAAAATAATTTGAAATAATACAAATAATAATAATAATCCAGGAGGTGATTGACAAATCGAAACAGCGAATAACGGCGCACAGCCACAGTCCAGCGTATGTTTATGGTTTAGTCCCGCGAATACCACATGGAGCTATACTGTTTTTCTGCTTTGGTCAGCAAATAAAAGTGTTAGGATCATGTCAACTTGGAGAAAATGTGTTTTTGGTGTAAATTTGTGAAACACTATGGCCCGAAGAGGAAGACTGCGGCTCCACTTTTTCACAGGGATCTGCCTCTGTTTGAATGAATCTGTTCACCTGCAACACTTCACTGAGACTGTTCCAGAACTACAGTTACCATGAACTGGACCTACTCAAAAGCTGATCTGGAAACCAGTGTTATTCGCAAGGAAAAAGACACAAATACAAAACCTCGATCTGTAAGTACAGTGCTAATAACTCATCGTATACTTCTGTAAACTAAACTGATTGTGGATCGAGGACATAGGGCTCGATGTGACAGATTGTCATCGTTGGAAAAAGTTTATTCACAGGTCTGGAATGACTATGTATTGGACATAAACAACTCGCAGCACGTGAGGGCGGGCAGAGGCAGGCTCACGGACAGAGGAGCGGACTTCTCTCTGGATCAGCTCGTTTGAGTTGAGGTGACATCACCGTTATACAAAAGATGGCTCTAATCTCACAACTATTATAACACATGATAGAGTGTAGCCTGGTTGTACCACACCTTAGGACAAATTACATTTCATACTAAGGTCTGGATTTGCTCCATTGCACTCCATGAACAGGTGGGAGGGGTTAACTCCTTTTGCAGATTGAAACGATTGGATCTGAGTTTACCGTGACGTATGTAATGCGCCCGAGTGTGTTCATACACACACACACACACACACACACACACAAGGCTCATTCTAGGCAATGGGGGTGAAGGGTCTTGCCTAAGGACACAACGGCAGTTTGGCACTTTACAGCCGCCTCACTATGGCACCTGGTGTTCCCAGAGGTTAAGTGTCTTGCCAAGGACACAAAAACAGCAGACATCATTGGGAATCGGTGGAGAAAGTATTGAGGTGGGCTCCAACCCACGACCTTCAGGCTCAAAGGCAAATGCTCTACCAACTGAGTCACTGTTGCCCCTAAGTGCTATGTTCCTCACCTCAACCACTCTGAACTCGGAGGCTCCTTCTCTGTACTCAGTCTCCAGCTTCGCCTTCTCTGCCGTCAGCCCCACTGTCTCCAAAATCAGGTATACGTTCTCCATCGACAGTGTTGCTCTTTGCTTTGGACACACAAACATGATCAAAACTTTGTGTTTGTCCATTTTGAAGCTTACTCGTACCTTCATGTGGGCCACTAAAGATGCAACAATTGACACTTTTTGGACATTGGTGGCAGCAATCTTCTCTTTAGTCTCTTCTTCAATCTTCTTCAGGTCAATAGCACTGTGCTCCATCTGCCTTAAACTACACACAGTACAATGAACAAAAGATGTATCAGATGCCCATTATGGTTTCTTAAATGCATCAAAATTACCTATCCAATTTTGTGCTGATTTTCTGCTCCAGTTGCCTCTTTTTTCCTTTTAGTTCAGACAGCTCCTTCTTCTTGGCCAAAAGCTCATTGTCATGGCGATCCAACGCTGCAGCTTCTTTCTGCAGGGCTTTCTGTTGCTCATCAATATCTTTCATCCTGGACTGAAGAGTCTGTACAAAGGAACTCACTCAGGAGTGGTACTAGTAATTCAAAATCCATTCCATTTATTTCGAACTTGATGCCAGAATTGTTAAATAAGTCAAAACCTCTGCACAGATTCAAGATGTGACAAAGTAAATGCATGGAACTAAACGTGGCTAAACTGTTTATGTGTTGGGCACTTGTGTGTTGTATAAATACTAAGACCATAGAGATCACACCACATGGGGCTCAGTAGGAGGAGACGGAAGCATTACGTCAGCTTATAAGATTGACTTTATGAGTGACAACAGATTTGCGCATTATTATTCAGATAGTGTGGTTTTGTGTTTGATAGATGCATATATCTTTGACTGAAAAATTATAGAAATTCATGTTTGCAAATACTAACATGTGATCAGAGGAAATTTCAGGAAATTTCTCTCAAGTTTTGTAAAAAAGATTTTACCCTCAATTGTTCCTCCAGCTGTCGTTTCTCCTCAGCGTCCACTGTGATGTTCAGATACTGAGACGGATGCAGGGCTGAGTTGGTTGTGCTAATTTTGTTTGAATAAAGAGACTTCTTGATCTGATACCTTTCATCTTTGGTATACAGCACTTTGATGTATGGCTCCTCGATTACCTAAAACAAAAATGGGGATTAACTTACTTGTTATTTTGCGTTAAAAACTAGTTTTACAAAAAGACACCCACTGTTTTTATCATTGCTTTTGTCTCTTCGTTTCCCACTGGGACATCATGCACTCTGTATTGTTCACACAGGTAACTCATAACTTCCTCTGGAGCATCAAACAGTTCACGGAGGTAGGAGAAAAATCCAAACCGCCTTTACAGGTAAACAGATTATATTACACCAACTATGTAATACAGATGATTACAAACCAACTTAAAAACAGCACCGTACTTCAGTGATTCAATATTCCTGGATGGCTTTTGCTGAGAACGAGACTCTGCAGGGGCACTGATTGAGTTCACCCTCAAATTCATTCTATCACGAACCTGTGAACGAATGCTTTGTTATTGACATTCATCAATACTGCATGATGACAGTTATTGTATCTCCTGACCTCAGTCATAAACTTCTCCATGTCGTCTTTTCTTTGAAAGACAAAGGCACGGAGGTCTCGAAAAGCAATGTGACATTCTACATACTTGGCATAATTGGGGTCCTTCATGTTGATCTGACAGAAATAATCAAATACATGTTAGGGCTGTTGTCAAGTAACACTCTTACTTGATGATAAATGGCATGAGTAAGATTGACTTGACCAAGATTTGGAAATTAAAATGTATTTTTGTTTTTAAGATGTATAACAACAACAACAAAATAGTGACCAATAGTGAATTCAACAAAAAGAATTACCAGTGGTGGTGCACATTTCTCTTTAGTAGAAATAAAGCTTTGTACCAGAATATTGCCAAGTATAATTGTTGTGTAACTTTTGTTTTAATCCTATTGACATCCAAAATTATTTTTACTGAAATAGTATTAAGTCTGAGAATCCCCCCTGTAAGCGCTCGTGAAGAAAACAGTTTTATACGCCATATCTCAGCTTCCCTTTTCATACAACTGTTTGGACACGTTTTTCATTTTCCATGTTTCTCCTCAAAGGTTAGATCCAACGTCATTACTCACCTCAAGCATCATTGGCCCGTGTACGTTTCCTCTGAACATCTGCTTGTTCTCCCTCAACCACTGCAGAGCTGCAAAAGTGTCTCTGTGGGAGTTCCGTAGTTTCTCTTCTTTTACATTCATCATGTTGTTCATATCACTAAGCCTCTTCTCCAACACTGAAAGTAAGCAGAAAACAATCAAATATGGCTGTGGAAGAGTTGTGCTGGGCAGCTGGAGGGGTCTCACTTTTGTACTCAGAAAACAGGTTGTTCTTCTCCCGGCTAAGATCGGCCTTCTCCCCTTCGATCCTGCCGCGCTCTATCTGAATGCGCCTCAGCTCCTGTGACGATCAAGACAAATGATGCGGTAGTCTGGGATTAGTCTTGTTATTGTTACACAGCATGCGAGACACAAGAGTTTTCACAGCGTGGTTTTATGCCCAGAAAAAATACAGCAGTGGAGTAATGACTAGCTCAATATGAATATAATTGCAAAAAAAGTCTCCAAAAAGATCCATACCTGATTTACTTCATTGATCCTGGGAGTGATGTCGGGCTGATCCGACACTTTGCCCAGTTCAGCCTTCAGGTCGTCAACGGCCCGTCGGGTGTTACTGACCCGCTTCCGATGGTCCTCTTCTTGAATTTGCTTTATCTTCAGACTCTGCTTCATATCCTCAATCTAGGAGGATAAAAAATTCAAATCATGAGATATGGATTTTGCTTACTGAAATACTTACGGTGGTCTTTTTACCTCCTTGATTTTTTTATCCAGCTGATCTTGCTTTTGTTTGGATTTCGTGGAGGCTTCTTTGACAGCAAGAGACTGAAAAACATCAAATAATTTCAAGACTTAAAGAGCTCAGGACTTCTGTTATGTCAGATTCTACAACAATCACTTTAGATTTACTAATTACAGTAAAACCACATTGGAATACATGTGCCAAAGTACATAAATAAACAAGCTAAAAAGTACAGGATTAAAATTAGCTAAAAAAGGAAACAATTGTCAACTGTGAAAATAAAAACAAGATTGAGCAAATAAATGCAAATGTTGTAATCTCTAAACCGTTTAATTTAGAGCCCTGCCAAAAATCTAAATAACATTGAAAAACAAGTTTGAGCTTTCACAACCCAGTGACTGATTGGATTAAATATTATGCACAATGAAATAGGTTTGCTATAGCAATATTGTTGTTGATTCAAAAATACAAAATCGGTCAATATGGGGGCAGTAATTAATTTAACACCCACATCATCCAGCCCTAATTGCATTACTCTTTATACATTTGCAGACAATTGTAAGAGCAGAAGACTTAACATTACTGCACTGTAAGAGTACTGACTTTATTCTTAATCTGTGCCTCTATTGGGTTCAGTTTATCTTCGATCTGTTGAATCCTTTTCCTCATTGGAGCCTGTGCTTGTTTCAGGGCATTCAGCTGCTTCTTGGCCTCTTCTCGTTCTTTCTTCACATCTTCCAGATCTGCTCGGCCAGTCTCATATACCTAAAAAATGGAACATGAAACATTTGAAATCATATCTAAATGTTATTCTAGTTTTTGTTTGATTCTTAAACATTTACTGACCACCCATGGTTTCTTTTTCTCCAGCAGCTCAATCACGTCAAGGTGCCTCTTCATCTCATAGTAACGATTCACATCATGTTTGTTCCTCTCATTTCTCACCTTGGCCTTTTCGAGAAAGTTGGACTTTTCTTTGACACCATTCTGAGAAACGCATCAACAAATTGAGTATCAAACAAAAACGTTTAACGACCCCCAATGAGCTTCAATGCCTTGTGTACCTCCAGCTCCTTTTCTTTGTTTCTGAAGTTTTTCAGCTCACAGTGGTACTTGTACATCTCTGGTGGACCCACTGATTTCTCTGTTGCCTCGAGCAGCTCAATTTTGGACATTTTAGCAAACTCACCAACTTTTTCCTTACGATGTCAGAAGAAAAACAAATACTTTTTTGTGAAAGTTCATTTTAATTTTTTCACCATGCACTCTTCAAGTAGAATCTGGCTGATAACCAACTTAACATTAATTATTCAAGAATTGACCATGTTCTTTCTATTTACCTGTGGTAGAAACTGACAAAGGTTGCTGACTTGTATGCGTAGATTCTTGACTTCCTCTTCCACAGCTTTTTGATTGCAGTGTTTTCCATTAAGCATCCATGCAGACTGATTGTTTTCGCCATTAATCTCTCTATTAATTACAATATTCCCACTACTTTTGAACCTGTAATGCAAGTTAATACTTAGTGTCATATTTATTCAGGATTATATTACAAAAAAATAGAAGATAAGAGGGCAAACTTAACAGTTCAATCTCAACAGATCCTCTGGAGCAGCCTCGCTTGACGTACAGTCCTATCTATTGAAGAAGATTACTCAGCATCTATAGTTCAACCATTTTTTTACCAGAGAAATCATGAAAAGTGTACCTTGTCTCCTCTGCCCAGCACAGCAGTCTTTCCAGCCAAACCCAAGCAAATAGCGCACACAATGCTAGATTTTCCAGTTCCATTGGCTCCAACAATCATGTTCAGGTTTGGTCCAGGATAAACCACACAGTTGTCATATGTTCTGTAAAAGATCCAAGGCAAAGCAAGATGGCATGAGAGTAAAATACATTTACTCTAATTTGTAACATAAAATATGAAAATCTCATGACTTCTCGAGTTAATAAAGGAGTTGTGATTCACGGGGGCATAATAAAAAGTGCAACACAGCTCAAATTAGGAATTTGATTATTAAAAAAATGTCTGGATTATTACATGGATTAGCTAGGTTAAATGGTTCCGTGCAGCCCCATGTTGGACATAAAAACATTTGACCCAGCGAGATTCTATGGGTTCTATAGTGCCAGAAGAGAAAACCAATAGAAATGTTACATGTAAAGTAAGGTCGGAGTTAAAAGAAACAGGAGGATGTTTGAGTTTCGCTTTCACCGTCAACAAACACTCATCTGAAGGTGCTAAACAAACACGTTAACGTTAACTGAACGTATTAATATGAGTTAATACTGTCAGTCTGTGACATCATAAGTTGTTTATTTGTAAGCATTAAACAAGTCGTTTCAACTGAACTCACAGGAAGTTTGTCATAGAGATGCGGACTATGGCTCCTTCCACAAAGTGTTTGTCTCCTGTCGACTGGTTCTCAGCAGTCCCAGAACCACCAGCAAGGGATTCTGCACTCCTCTGTGCATGACTCAGCCTCTTCTTTTTACTTGGCTCTGTCATCTCGTAATTTCACTGATCATTAAGAGCGTTTCATGGAAAACAAGTAACGCCAAGTTAGCTAAACTGTCAGAGATCCCGCGTCGAGTAGATTCGCTTGATTTCTGATTGGCTGAAGGAAGAAGGAAGCCTCGTTAAATATTTTCCCCACAACAAACCAGCTATCGTCTTCACGCTGCATTGGTATCTTTAATATTACATACTTAACAATCAAGTCAGGCAATATTCACTCTTTGATTTACACTTAATTTATATGGTCGGGATAGTTCATTACCTGTATGAAGGGAATTGGGTGCAGACTGGGACCATTGACTGTAAATACTAGGACCTGGCAGAACTGCTCTACGGGGAAAATATATTCACACTATCGCGAGGACTGGACCTGAGCCATAGACGTTCTGAAAGCTAATTCAGTTCCACTTAATACAAGGGGTCTAGAAGACAATGTAAAGAGGAAAGCTATATTTTTATATTGTAAAAACTTTAAATGTCAGTGTCCTTCTTCAAGAAACTCACTCATGTGCCTCTGATGCCACCTACTGGACAACACAATGGGGAGAGAGAATCCTTTTCAGTCACGGGACCAACAGATCTGCTGGCGTTGGTATTTGTCTCAACAAATGCCCGGGTAATGTAATATCATATAAAGCTGATGAACATGGTCATTGGCTAACTGTAGTGATTAAAGTGGATGACATTTACATAATTAAAACAAACATTCATGGTTACAGCAACACCACAACAGGACACTATGACAAAACGTCATAGAAGTTGTTTCCAACAATAAAATATTGTACCCTATTTTATTTGGAGGAGACCTGCTGAATACCTTTACAGATATCCCACTAAATTTACAGATACTCATTACAATATCACATTACTGGACTTCTGCAACACATTTTCCTCATTTGATGTGTGGAGAAATATAGATCCAATCTTCGTCAATACTCCTTGATTAAACCTAATGGTGGTTCCTCCACTAACAGCAAGATCTGAAGAGGGAAGTATTTTTCATGATACATTGGTTTTTTTCTATAAAATATTCTCAATCCTTGTTAAAGAAAACAAACACTGTAAATTTGAAAAAGGGTTGCACAAGGGCTGAGACTGCCTCTTCATATTAATTGAACTACAGGTTCTGTAAAAGAGAAACATTGAGCTGAACAATATTGAAAAAAAGAGCAAGCAATGAAACACACGGGAAAGTTAGGTCACAACTTTATTCAAGAATAGCAGTTTAAAACCTTTGTCGTCCTTGGGTTGACAAGGGATTAAAAATACAAGATTACTTTGCCCAACTTTAGAGGCCCTGGGTCAAAAATAAACAGTGAGGAATAATTATGTACACTGTAACTTTGACGCTTTTACCCGCTGAGACGGTCCTCAAAGTTGAAGGCCCTATACTTTGTGTAAACAATTCCTGATGTTTGTCAAATTTACAAAAACATTCCCACCTTTGTATTGTTGGTTCTAAGACAGACATTACAAACCCAGCATCTGAGCAGGGGATCGGGATTTATGTTGTACCATGGCTCTCCGCAGGGTGTCTCTAAACCATATTCACTCATATTTACAGGATGGCAAAGTGAAAAAAGAAATACTGTAAACTAAAGTAAAGAGTTAGTTTTAACAAATACAAACCGATGAACAATGTCAATTTCGGGTGACAATGCGGTATAGAACATGAGAACTCACACATCCCGGTGAACGAGTTCTACTTACTCATCGATCAAAATGCTCGAAAGTAGGCGTGGCTTAGACATGTTTCACAATAAAATGCTTGCGTGTATAACCAGCTACGACAGCACCATCTGCTGGTATACTGCTAGAACAACCACATTACACTTACGAATCTTTTTGACACACGTTGAAATCACCAACACAGATTGGAGAATCAACAGCGAAGACGCAGGAAATATTGAACCCATGTGTATTGGTTCATAGAGAAAGACCAATGCCCATGAATGATGATGAATATGCATACAAATTAATATTGATTGCTGGACATTTTGCTGACAGTAGCAGATGGCCAAAATGATGTATATTTGGGGTGGACGTGGTACACCTGCAAACCTTGCAGCTGCTCATGTCAGTGTTGTGCTGTGTTCATTACAAATGTTTATGTTGGTCCAGTCATACTGCACACAAGGGGACAATTGTGACATGGAATTGTGACCGAGCAACGCGTAAAACACATGTCCGCAGCGCAGTGACAGAGAAATGCTGCAGAGACGTCTCTGAAAGAGGATCTGGATATGCGTCAGCAGGTTAATCTGTCGCTGCACCACGTACCAAACCGCGTCCGAGCGTACGATCTATGTGTGTGTGTCTGTGGCTACACGACACAGGTAACAGGAACAGGGTGTGCCATTCTATTGCCAGTGACATTGCGTTACAATGCTTTGGAGACAGATGTAGCGGGGTGCAAGTACGCGGACACGCAGGTGGATCTAGCCCACTCTACAAATACAACATGTGTTTGGCCGTCTGCTGTCATCTTTCAGTGACACCCTCTTGCTGCTGTCATGCTTTACACACACACATGTTCGTCCTGTCACAGTTGCATGCTCATTATTAGTCACATTATTGCTCACTCATAACCCGAACGTCCTTTTCCTGGTCTGTGATAGCGATCACATACAGCATTAATTCCACATGTGATTTCTTTTTCTACATCAATATTTCTTATGACTGTAGTATATGAGAACAATGTGTGAGAGCAGGCGCTGGTCATGTGTTTGTAAATCGCTGTTGTGAGCGTGTTTATTGAATGGAAACACCACAGTCCCACCGCAGCTCCAGGTTAAACTGCGCACCTTGCAGCTGTTCAGGTCAGTGTCATGGGAAACAGTTCGCGATTCACAGACAGTATTTGGAACAGCAACAACACATCTGACTTTACGTTGATTATATGTGATAGCAATCCTTCGTCAGAAACACTACGAGAAAGGAGTCTTTATTTCGGACTTTAGAGATCCCGCAGAGGCAGTGGCCTTTTATTGTGAAAAATGTCTAAGCCACGCCTACTTTCAAGCATTTTGATCGATGAGTAAGTAGAACTCGTTCACCGGAGCTAACAGTTAAGCTAATGCTAACAGCGACTTTGTAGTTGTGGAAAGATCAGAATCGCCTATATACTCATTGTCCTACTGTGCAACTAGGGATGAACCTAAATCACACAGAGAACTAGTATATCTGATCAATTCATCACTTCTAACCACAGCTCACAAGCGTGGAATAGCTCTGAAAACGCGCCGCTGTCCATGGTCGCCGCTGCCGGTGACTACAGAGCTTTTTTCTCATCATTTCTGACCTGAGCAGAGCAAAAACTCGGGACAAATCAAATAAGATCAGTGTGTAGGTTTTTAAAGTACGCATTCAGTCTCGCATTCACTCGAAAATACACTAACAATACACATGTACTCCCTCAAACACTCACCAACACTCACCGCATTCACTCACATCCACACGCTCACACTCACTGAGGGATTGCACTTCCGGGATTTTATATAGAAAATACAGCGCAAAGGATCATGGGAGAAAGTGAATTGTGGTTAGTCACGACTCCTTCTGGTGTTATCGGGTACTGCAAGTCATCTCTCGATGACAGGTTTTTGTTACCTCCCATAAATGTAAATATTAAATCGAATCAATTTAACTAGTTCATAGCTCTAAAAACAGCTTGGTTCCATCCAAAGACAGTAGTGTTCGCTTGCACTTATTGTTTGTCTTCTAAGATTAAGAGATCACAGAAGATGTCACAGTCACATCTTTAGAGTCGACTTGGAATTTTTCAGACAAGAAAGCTCAAAAGAGAGGTACAATATTGCTCAGTCAACCCATTGATGCATGCAGTCAACCAGCTCTTAGCCCAATGTATCACAAGCTCTTTCTTACAGACATGCATTTTCTATCCTTTTCAGTCATGCAAAGACAACATGCTATCTGATATATTCACTGAATTTCATTCAAATTTATGTTCAAGAAAATCAATGTATATTATTCAGGGAAAAAAGGTGAGGTGAAACATTTGTTGGAGTAGTATTATAACAGTACTGTTTATAACATAACATAATCCAGATGGATGTCTTCCTCCTGAGGAAGTAATAAAAGGTTGTTTAAATTGCCAATCCCTGTTTTAATGGAAATTATTTCGCAACATTCTGATGATTTTTCAGGATTATAAAAAAGGAGGAAAAGTACAATTAACCATACCCAGTCACAATAACAAATACAATCAGTTGAATGAGGAAAAGGTCCCATTGCCCGTAACTGACACTGAATGTAATATGATGTATTAAACTGATGTATGCAAACATGAAATGAGACATTGAGTTATGTTCAACGTGTTCTGATTATTAAAGGGTCTACAGTGTATACAGTAATTTTAGAGGAGCTGACCTCATGGCCTGTTGTATCTGTGTGTTGTGCTCAGAGCCGACGTGACCTGTAACCTGAGAAGAGCAGCACGGGCCACATATCACAAAAGCACTTTCCAACTTATATACAATGCAACAACCACTGCATGAAGCCAAGTCCAAAGTAAAATAAAACAAATCACACATCTTGCTTTCTGTCTGCCTAGTGTCACTTGCCCCAGGGAGCCTTCCAGGTTTGTTAAGAAGCATTTGTGTCAGATACAATTAACTAATCCAGTGTCCTGTGTCCTGCAGGGGGGTGTAAGGTAATCTTGAATGGCGTAACAAGATTTCAGCTTCTACTATCACAACTGACTGCAGTCGCACACGCTCTATGCGAGGTGAAGATGGCGGGCTAGGATCCTCACCAACAAAGAAAGAACCATGCTGAGCTGAGATGCTACAGGGGAAACTATAAGAAAATGTGACTTCTAAAATGGACTAGGGACTGGAGACCAAGTGTGCGGATCCCTGTCATGGAGGGAGGAAATGCAAAAAAAGTGAGTATGTTTGCAGTGCAGGTGAATAAAAGGCCAGTGGTCTGGAAGCCATCTGTTGCAGGTTTGGGTGACTCTTCGATGTAGCTGAGCAGATTGTAAATGCACCATTGCTTGTGTGTAGGAAACTTGACTCCAAATCCATACACTATACTCTACTTATGCAAAGGCAACATGAAACGGACCCCATTATATGCTTCCAGTAATAGCATGTGATATTGACCATTGATCTATAATTCTATGATATTGACAATAGAGAAGTCATATGTGAAAAAAAAAAAAATATATATATATGCTATTTTCACCCATGATTTTTTTATTGACATTTCTCTTCAAATTCCAAATGCAAGTACAAGTATCATGGCCTTTAAATTATATGGAAATGTATCAATAATCAAAATAAACAAGAAGCAATTGTTGCAATGATGCATAGAGATAGGATATATATAATATATTGTCATTTGCATTTTTTGTTCTCCCCTCATAAGTATGAACAGTTGTCCCCACATTCCAAATAAGTGATGTTGGAAAAACTCAGAAATAGGATAGAATTCACCACATCAAATAATATCAAATCAGATAGAAACTCAGCCATGCAAATGTTTCACAGGGATGTAAAAGAACACGGATATGCAAATACTGGTTGATTATTTTGCTTTGCAGTGGCGTGCATCATGTACTAGCTGAATTCAGGGCAGCCTCTCAGCAGGGGGCAGGATCTGAAGGCTTATAACTGGCACATAGACGGTCTCACTCAATGATCCATAAGTTTTGACAGGTGACTGATGATACAACATTGAACATACAGGATTGAAGTCATAGTTATCAAATGAAGAGCTTTGCAGTAGCAGGGGTCTTCCATCTGTTCCCCTTTTTAATGCAAGTCTCCACTCCAGCTTATCTGGTTTCACTTTGCAGGCAGATATCTGTTTCAAGACCATGTCAAAGGTACTGGTCTCAGTTACTAATCTTGTTGTTATACAGAACAATTGTTGCGAACACTTTGTATGATTTTGGATAGAAAATATTGCACAAAAGAAAACAAATCAATTAAGGCCTGGCCATCTCGCCACTGCCATCTGTCCAAAAGCCTGAGTGGAATTACAGCACCTTTGTACAAGTAAACAAAAGATGCTTAAAGGGAGCAGCCACTCTCCCTTTCTCTGCTTATCTGATTTTACCCTTAGCCAAATGAGGTGAACAGTGTGGTGTCTTAGCAAATTATTTCTTTCTAAGTTTTCTAAAAATGATTCTTTTTTCTCTTTTTACAGAAAGTTGGATATATGAATAACAAAAAAGGTGGGTCTCTGGAACAGAATTATGCACAATGTTATATAAACCAAACCAAATCAGAACAAAAGTTTAATTCAAAATGACATAGCCATGTTGGACTGACTCCATATATATCAGTTTTCATAACTCACACTCTGGTCACTCTGTCCATTAATATTACAAGTCCAATCTTACTAAGTGATATAATGGCTGCTGCAGACAGAGTGTATTTGGCCAAGAGTCAAGACATTCATTTCATATATTCTAGTTGCTATGCAGCTCTTACAGACGTATGCAAGGGCATCCGTATCCTTCAACAATAATGGCTTTTAATCCATTCTCTTAGACGCTTGCCAACCAGCTCTGACTCGTCAGTCTACAGTGGACGACGAGATATCACAGCCCAATAAACTAAATGGCTCTGTTGCAGATTTCCAAAATTTGCACCGGGAGCTTCTCCTTGGCCATAAACGGTAATATAATGTGCATGAAATATTACTATAGAAGATAGTCATGTGTCAAGATAAAGTGATGTGCCGTGTTGAACAGAGGGCTTCTGCTCGGGGTGAGGCCGGAGCTGAAGAGGGTCATGGAGCAGCGGAGGGGGAAGCTCCACAAAGAAGAGGAACAGGCTCGACTGGGCCCATCCGACCTGGAGACCGAGCTCCGCAAGAGGCAGCAAAAACTCAAAGAGGTCAGCCAATACTAATGATAAATCAATATTATCAGAAGTCTATATCTATGGGCCATTTCAATTCTCAAAGTAAATGGGTCCCATGAATGAATAGAAACTATCAGACAATAGAATAGTTCAGGTTTATATTGTGGACTAAGAATGAATTATAGCCCATCTCCAAACAGTGCAAGGTGCAGAGGCCAACATTACTGTACTAATGTTTAACATTGTCATTTAACTGTTTGGACCAGTATTAAAAACACATCACAACGACAGTGATTTGTATGTAATACATAGTTAATGTTGTCATATTATAAGAAGATGATGAAGATTTGGAGACACCCAGTATGACAGCGCACGTATTGAACCGGTTTGATTTATTTACTGATTGGCAGGTTGGTTATTTTGTTTTTTTGTTTTTTTCCAGTATGAACTTGAGGAAGTGAAGCAGCGAGAAAACCAGGAGAAGATTCCAGAATTTGTCCGAGTGAAAGACAATCTGAGACGGACACAGGCATTCGAGCCATGAGGCGTTGAGGCAACTCACCACAGTGGCCCGTGTGGACTTCTGCACATGGGGAGCTCCTTTTTTATAAAACAGTTTTACTTTGTCTTTTCTAAGCTAAGGAACAAGGCATGCCTCCATAAAGACTACTCAATAATGTCCACTTGTAGACACATAAACAGGGCTCAAGTTTACCTCAAAAACACAAGTATTTTCAGCTGTGTCTTGATTACGTCGAATTAATTCCTAATACCACTCATGAAGAAACCGTCCATCTCAAGCCTTTTTAATCAATATGATCGGAACAGGAAATTAACTCATTTTTTGTGCTTGTCGTTTGTCAAGAAACTTGTTCTTATAATATAATTTTGTTACAATAAATGTGCTATTAATTGCTAATTTAAAAGGAACCCAATGAAGTCCTAAAGTAGGACATGTTTTTGCACATTGATTGGCCTACCCACCGGGGTGCTTGTTTCTGTACTGACTGGTTTATGCCAGTGCCCATGTGCTGTGGAAATAAAGTCTTGAAGGTTCTCCTCGGTGCCTTGTTTTGCTGGTCACTATTCAAAGTGTCCGGCAGTGATTTGCATGCACCTTCTTTCATGCAGGATATGCACACAGTTCTTTCACATGGCTGCTGAACTTTGTTTAATTAGCAGATCTTTTCATTCCAGCACGGGACAGGGCGAGGAGTAGGGGAAAGCAGGGGCCATCTGGAGCACGGCTTTCAGTGTGCTGGACTATAATGCCCAAGGGCCCGGTTAAAGCTCACCACACATTCAGGGAAGTTAGTGAAGCCACCTGCTCAGAGCCATAGTGTGGGCATTGGGCAGGTTATTTCACCCACTACCAAACAACGATCAAAACAAGAATGAAAAGAAAATCCATCCAATAAAAGCTCTCTGCTCATACACCTGTTAGTGGAATTATCATGTTGGGGGTTCATGTTTACATGCTTGATCATATTGTTGAGATAAAATTGTATGCAAACATGAAATCACAATGATAGCCACTTCAAAAGACTGTGACCAGTGACCACATTTAATAAAGAAAAGTATAGGGCCTATGGAGTAAAAAGACAAGCCGATAAAGTTTGTTTAACACATTGAAGTAAAGCTGGATTTGGATTTCACCCGCTGGTCTCGCTCTAAAAGTGAACTTAATCCCACAGCCTGCAGCAGATTTGTTTTAGTGAAGCAGATGCCCAGTAATCTAGAATTGAAGAGGGTTTATATTGGACCTTTACAGTACATATTATGCAGATGAAGGTTATAAACATTTTACATTATTAGGTTGGTTAAAGCTGGGGTACCTAACTTAAATAATACATGCTGTTTGTCCCAAAGGAAAGAGTCTTGCAAAACACAACACAACATGCTCTCTTCACCTTATTAGAAAGCATGTTATCTTTTGGATACTTGTGCTTTGGGCTGAGAGCTGATTGGCAGACACTGGTACTCATTTTTACTATTCTGATCTGATCTAAAAAACAAAATTGTTATAGAACCAAGAACTATAGGCCAACGGATTTAAGGCTTCAGTGGTTTGAAAGTTAGTTACTCCATCTTTAAATAAGAGCACACCAAGATCAAATTTGTTTGAGCAAATTAGGTTGGTTAACAGAAATATTACATTTTTAACACAGGCCACTACAGTACATACAGGTGGATTCATTTTGGGATATGGCGTTTGTTTACATGGTGCGGCTTGAGTGTCTTGTTTACCAGCCCGAGCCTCACCTGCCAGCTGTCGGGGGTTTGACCAGAGCCCCTCCAACAGACCCACACTTCTATTCATCCTCAGTGTGACTCTTCTCAAATGAAAACCCCTCCCGCGTACACACACGCACACACGCACACACGCACACAAGCATGCACACACGCGTGCTGGGTCAAAAGCGTGTCTGGAGAAAGCCGCGTCGGATCAGACCATATGCGTAAATAGAGGGGTGTCACAAGATACAAGGTTATTTTCTAAGGAATGTTGGTGAAAATGAATGCCAAAAAATACTTAATGTGATATCACTAAGACACTTTAAAGGATATATTGAAATATAAGTTGAAACTGTGTCCTATAGGAGCTAAGAGCGACAAGCACCGTCACCCCCGTGTTTAGTAATGGATTCGCCCGAAGCAGATGTCCCAAGCGCCGCTCTCACATCTGACCAGAGAAAGTCTTTCTAAGTCCCGGGACATGCTCAGAGCAGGAGCCGGTAATCACCTCAAGGTAAGTCTGATAAAAGTCCGTCTGCACGACCAGAGTCAGCCCGCGGTCAGGCCAGAATAGAAAGATGCATGTGCTGTTTGACGTGCGTGCAATGAATTAAACTTTGTGGAAGGATCAATGATGTGACCGTGCGTGACAGTAGACTAAATGCATGCATGCAATTAACTCTTACTTTTTAATGTCGCCTACTCTTTCCACCCCGGTATCAATGTTGTTGTTCGCGGAATTTGTAATTGGTTGGTAAGAGGAAGCTCTACCTTAAAACTTAAACAAATATGTATGCAAATGTAGTTGAACTATTGCGATTATACCACTTTACTATGTTTTCTAAAGTGAGCCTGTGTCTTCAGAGTTTTTAAAAAGTGTCCATTATGTGATGTCCGTGTTTTAGGCCCACACTGTATTGATTTTGTGTTTGACCATTAACAATTATGGTTTAAAACGCCTGATGTAGTTTAATGAACTAGGCAAATGGAAAACATGATATCTATTTATCTATTTGCCATTTCATTATTCCACTGTGGAAGCTATAAATCTCACAGTCTGCTGGTTTTAGTATTTCCAGATATAAGGAATAACTTCATATGGAAAAATTAAACTGGGCAATGGATTTGATGCATTGCAGCCAGTGAGTTTTAACTACAACTATTGAGACATGCTTCGTTAATTATCTGCTTATTGTAATGGGATATTACTTTGCAATATCCCAATAGCACCTGTTAATGCAGGACAGCAGTGTTATGTTGACACTTGTGGAGGTGTAACATTTGGCGTGAATTTAAATGGCTTAGTGTTGACCTGGTGTGGTGTGGTGTGGTGTTTGCTGCCCCAGAGCAAACAGAAGTCTCCTTGGGTCTTTATTGACCTACACCAGCCGCTGCAGGGGTGCCAGATAGAGCACCCAGAAGAGAAGCACCCTGGGGTCCTTTGTGATGGGCAGAAATAGCACATCCTCTTTAGGAAAAGTGTGTATTCAGCTTAACAAACTCGAGGAAATACATGAGTAGATATAGTTCATTGGCAATTGTCAAGGTATAACAATGTCTAATATACTAATATACAACAGTTATTGATCATTTGACGTTGAGACCGGTTTGTCATGAATCTGCATCCATCACAGTCATCTTTTCCAGGGTTCTACTGAGGGACACATGTTTTGTTTTGGGGTTTATTCCATACTTACAAAAAAAAGTGTATTATTTAGCCTATTGGTGAGTCCATAAAATCCCTTGTAAAATATTGCGAGTTTAATGAAGGCATGCCCCAATGAGCGCCTACAAATGCCTTTAGTCATCCACGAGCCCATGTTTGACTTGATGTGATTCAGTGTCTGGCCTCCGCAGACTGAGGTGCGTGATGTGTTGATGTCAGAGCTGAACAATAGACCGTCTCTTGTGGCTGGAGCTGTCACTGCGCTGTTTGTGAGCAGCATATGGTCTGCACAGGGAGAGCAAGAGCCGCCATTACCCACAGTGTCTCTACTTTAAAACTGAGACCCCAAAACTGTTGGAACCTGTCAGCAATCTGGTGTGGCTGGCTGGCAAAGATGTGAACTTTAATTTAATTTACGAAGTGACATAAAAAACATAAATGACAGGCTTTCAACTTTCTCTTTACCAAGTAGTTTTTTGAAAAGCCAGATGTTTTTTAGTGCCAAAAATACCAATAAAGTTTCAAATCCTGTCAAATATACAGCAAAAAACAAAAAAGAGAGGAACACAACTTTTTTTTTTTTATATCTAAATGGAAATATCATTTTTTTTGTACATTAGCTTCTTCATTAGTAAACATTAGATTCATGATACAGGACTGTGGCGCTTGTGTGAGTCTGCAGCACTGTGATATGGGATCCTGCATTCTTCTGTCTGGCTAATTTGATACTAATTTGTTTGGCTTCTATTTCACATCAAAGCTGCATCTTTTCGTACATTTCTTTTCCTGACTGAACAGCGTGGTATTGCTCTCTATCTTTGAGCAAGATCTAATTCTAGATCACCACCTTTAATAATAATAAACTTATATTACTCCATGTATACAAGCATATGGCAGACCCACCACCAGAAGTTACAAAGTTCCTCTTAATCTTATCAAGTTCAATAAAACTATAGATAAAGATAGTTCCTGTACGTGCATATACAGTCCAAACATGCATCCCAGGCTTTTCAAGATGATCGAAAATGTCTGTTTTGACACAGTAGGCTACTTACACTCTCTTTAGTGCCAATCTCAGCTCGCTGTTTGGAGGCCTCTTTGTGAATACTTTCCAAACTCAGCACTTCTCCATTGCTCTGATTCCTGACCCCAGTGACGCGTTCGGTAACACAACACTTCATTTTTCCCTCTCCCACATCGATGCACTTTTGCTGCAGTCTTATTATGCGAACTCATTTTGCTGAATGGTTTCTTGGCTCCGGCTCAAACTTCTCCCTGAGTCTGAAGCATGTTGTAAAGTCGTTTCGTTTTCTTCCGCAGTATCAGCACTCAGCAGAGAATCTTAATGACAGGGTTTGAAACAGGCCTTGGTCTAGTTTCAGGCATCCCTCGCTCGGTACTTTTGGGTCGGGTTTAGTAATTCCAGGGCTGACCACAGCGGTAATGAGCGCTGTAAAGATGGCAGCTCTTTGGGCCTCTGGGGAAAGGGTGGTGGGGGAAATGTGGAGACAGAGGAATCGCATCATTCTGATCTTCCCGACATAAACAGACGCATCCCTGTGTGGTACATAGAGAGAGGATGGGTGGAGGGAGCATGACTTATTCGCAAGATTGTAGTGGTCATTAGGATTGTCGTCAAGTTCACTGCACAGAAGAAAGTCCCCTCTGCTGTTGTGCTGTGTATCACCTGACAGAGTTTGTATCACAACCTTTTCCAATAAACGTCATCTGTTCTGGGAGAGATGACAACTGTGTGGCTGTATACAATTGTCCACCACTATCAAATACACTGGTACTGCTACTGTAAATAAAGACCTCCCATCATCGTATACTTGCAAAGGATGAAGAACATAGGAGCACATGCCAACCTTTTTTGATTATGACAATACACATTGCATGTCTGCTGTATGCATTAAGTGTGTTTGTTTTCAAGGATTCTGTGACGTAAATCGTAGTAAAAGAACTAAAGGCTGGTGCTAAAAAAGACTGTAATCCTCCTTACCAAAGTAGAAAGTACTTACTGCTACTGTCCATCACAACAAGCTCAAGTGCAGAGTACTTATGCTTGCTCCTTAATGCAACCTAAAGCAGTACTGCTATCCATACAATAGACTATTTTCAGTTTTTTGTTGGAACTGTCAGACAGAGCCATATTGAAAAGTTAGATGTACAGTAGTTAGATGCACAGAAGTGAAGGACATTGGAGTTGTAAGCACAGTCTTATTTGGAGTTCCCCGGGGTCTGGCTTCTCAACTGATTAATTAGTTTAATACATCAGTTGTAATTCATTTTCCTACAGGGGCAAAATATGATAGTGTAGCAAAAAAAAATGGATTGGTTTGTGGCTGGGAAATACCCTAACCACAATTGCAGTAAATTCAATGAAACTATGAAACTGTTTGTAGGATTTCAAAGTATGTCTTGAAGCGTGGAAGCAGTGGGGAGCTGTCCATCAGAGGCTAAGGTGACAGTTGATGGCGGGGCTTTCATCTCGACATCTTTTGTAATGGTTCTATACACGTTAAACTATCCCCTGCAGTCATCAACAAAAAGGGGCAATCTAATGTAAAAGATCACTCCAGGGGTTTGACTTTCTGCACCAAACTTAATCATGGGGAGTTTTCTATTGACTATTTGCCGACTCTCTCTTTGTTCCAGTTGCTGCTTCTGTCAACATTGTAACATCATCATTTCAACACTCATGGCTCCAGATTTAGTTGAATTGACAAACTGCAGTGTCTAATGCTTTTTACCAGAAGCCACCCACCTCCCACTCATGACTGGGCTCAGGCCGAGACCACAAACGCTGTTGTGAAAGTCTCGGAGCAGGACTTATGGGGTGTGAGGGTAAAGCCACATTACACCGCCTGTCTGTGATTAAGACTGGATAGAAGGACGGCTTTACGTTTGGTTTGCTCCGCGTGCCAAATACAAAGTGTTATAATAAAACATGACTTGCCGGACTATTTGGCGCACCTTTATGTAAACGGCTACATTTTAAGAGAAAGTCCATTTTGTCCACACTTGAATATAAGTCGCAGGTTTTTGTGTGGTAATGTAACACTTAACCAACAGCTGATGGAACAAAACAAAGCCCACTGTTTTTACTGGACACAACATGACTTAATGACTATAATATTCCTACTAAAACCTCCCTAAAAAGACACCCATCCATCCATGAATTACATTCATTTTGCCAATATTGCTCACTGCTCACAATACAAACATTTTGATACTCAATTTCGATACTGCAGTGATTTTGTTCCTGGCGATTGATGTTTTTTTTTTGCAAATAGAAATCAACGGTGGCCATGAACAAAAAGTTCAAACATCCATGAAAAAGAAGACCATCTCTTGATTTTATTAAGGCGCCTTCATTAGTGGTGGCTCCCAGCTTTTGATTTTTGTCAGTATATACTTTCAATACATCTTGTGGTATTGATTAGTATGTGAGTTTTATACTTCTGGCAATACAGCTATTCTGTTCTACAAAAAGCTTGTATGGAGCTGCTATCCCAACTGGAAGCCCAGCACAGTCCCATCAGCAGATACTGAGCTTAATGATGCCAGGAGGAGGATACAGTCCTTTGTGGAAGAGTTGTTTTACTGACTGGTGTTGGCTTATTCTGCATTGTGGGGCCCATAGCAGCACAGTTCACATGAGCAGTTGTATTGAATAGAGCTACAGCTGGACCTCGCACTCTGTAATGTCCTACGTGAGGAGACTTTTGTCTCCTTCTTCCTGGTCACTACAGGAAGAAGCCGATACAGATCTACAAACAGAGGATGTGGATTTACTGTTTGAACTTCCTCCTACTTTACATGGTCAACACAATATGATTATAGTGTGAAGAATCTTTAATTATATATTTAGTATTTGTATATTTGTAGGCCCTTTTTTTACAATTTGTTATCATTATTTGGTCATTGCTGTATCAGCTTCTTGTGTTATTTTTCCCCATTTGAAACTTCAGGAAGTTATTTACATCTGCTGTACATGATTTAATAATGGATAACCTAAATGCGTCTTGTTGTTGTGGAAAACTCAAAGTTGTGCATATTCATAAGTTTATTCTGGGTTCTGGTAAAGTCTCTTGTGATCGAATGGCCTCTTTTGTCGGAGCTTGTGTTGAGCTTCTGAAGAAATTAATTGACCTAGAGAAGTGGAATAATACACACAAGGCTTTATTAGATAGAACTCGTGGTATATTATAGACAGTGCATGTCAAATATAAAATCCTAAACAGAGTGAGGGTCGTTTCTAATTTGTTCAACTTGTCAGTAAATATAAATGTGCCATATTGACTTGGGGGAAAAAAAGCAGATATCAAGAAGCCTTTGGGTATAAAATGTATAGAATTAGAGGACTACTCAAATGAAAAACGAAAAAATACAAAAATGTTTGTTGGAAACCAGCTTGCTGTGTTTAAAGAAGGGTTGTCAAAAGTATCAAAACTCAGATATGAATCTATATTAAACTATTATTGAAACAAGATTTGAGCAAGGATAAAATTTGACTTTTCTTGAGACTTTTTTGTATTGTAATGTACTAGTATTTTGAGTTCAGGATTATGTTTATTGTCCAAAAAGAGCAGTGTAAAAATGTAGTATTATGACAACACTAGTAGACAGTATCCTGGATTCTCAGGCGCTCATGTATCAATAAGGGCTTAACTTGAAAAAGACAAAATTGCTTTAAAAACTATTTTACTATTATTCTTTCTTCTTTTTAGTTTAACCTTTACATTTTGACCTAGAAAAATCATGATTATTAAACTAAATAATATTGACATCAGTTGAACCCGAGTGACACCAGAGTCACAGTGTTTATTTCTCCAAAGTGATAGTATATAAACTCTGAGGACGTCTTGTATCCAGTCGGACGCAGTGTGATCTGTGGCTGTGTGGACATGCCCTCATTGAGACATTCTTCCACTTCAAAGCCCCAGAGGGTTGTCGGGCACTGGTTGAATGGTCCTGATGGGAGGGGCGCGTGAGGGAACAGGTGCGGTGCCTGAGTGGGGCAATTCCTTAGGCCATCTGCTTTGCTTTTTTGGGTCCTTTAAAACTCTCCCCCCCGACTGACACGCCTTCGTAGCCACACGCTCCCAAATCTTTAGCTGCACAGCGCGCCGTCGCCATGGCATCCCGGTTTCGGATTAACCCCCGCACATGTGCCGAGTCAAGCGTGGGGGTGCGTCCTTTGTGGCGGGGTGCAGAGGTGCAAGACCAGGGGGGGTAGAGTGAATGGGTAAGTGTGTGAAAGAAGCCACTCATCACACAGCGGCAGGAGGCAGGATGAATGGGACATGTGGAGAAAGAGAAAATAACAAAGTCCAAGTGAGCAATTTAACCAAAACATACTCACTTTTTACAGGTCTGAAGTTTGAAGACGACGCAGCTACAGCAGTGAAGATGACGGCCATCGAGAGCAAAGAGGAGATCAGTGACACAGACAGCGGCATCATTGTGCACTCAGGTAAGAAGACACAAGGAGAAACTCTGCTCAATCACACTGCCAGGAGTCAAACCTGGGACCTTCAAGCACAACCTAATCACAAAGAGTGAGAATCAAAACAGTGCAGGATCCAGACATGCAGAAAGATCTTAAGCTTTGTTTGTTTTAGATTGTTTTGTTCAAACTTGGTTAGAACAGCCTGAATTGAAGTCTTTTTGCTACAGGCCCCGACAGCCCCACTTCTCCTCTGAACGATGGGATGACGCACACACGAGCGCTGAAACTCAAACACCAGGCTCTGGAGGAGCGGCTGGAGCTGTGTCTGCTGGAGCTCCGCAATCTGTGCATCAGAGAAGCAGTATGTACCTTATGCATGTGCGCTACAGCGTTTTTCATGATTTAACCCATTCTTTTCACTATGTGGTGTAGAAAAGGGTTTCAATGGATTATAATATATGTACAATCATTGTGTCACAGGCATAAAGTAAAAAATTGCTCAAATAAAAATAAAAAAAAGATATTAATTTGAGCACCTTTGGATTATCTTAAGCATGATTTGCCAATGGGACAAGCAAAATTATATTGTTTTGAAAATAAACAAGAAATATATCCCAGGGAATGAGAAAATAAAGCAACAGTTCTTAAAATAAGGCTTGTTTTTAGACAGTCAGAATGTACTCAAATTAAGATAAAACACTTGATTCAAGCATTTATTTATGTATCTATTTTATTACTGTGTGGGTGATTTATTTTCTATGTCTTATGTGTTCTAATTGTCTGGTCTTATCTGTCATTGGTAAATTGACTCCTGTTGTGATTTTGGGCAATACAAAAACATGTATTGAAATATGGTCCATGTCTTCATAGGAGCTGACTGGTAAACTGCCCTGTGACTATCCCCTATCGCCTGAAGAGAAGCCTCCTCGAGTACGAAGGAGGATTGGAGCTTCTTTTAAACTGGATGAAGACCTCATTCTCACCAGTAAAAAAGAGGTAAAACCACAAACGTTCACTAAAATGACTGGACTTTTTGAAGCGATCTTTTTTACATGATTGAACTTCCCTGTAGAACTCTGAGCTCCATGCCCTGGAGACTGGACTGGCTTTGCAGCGTCAGATTTATGAGGCGGCTCGTAAACTTTCCATGGAGGACAACCTGAGCAAGCCGCAGAAGAAGAGTCGTGCGCAGCAGTGTAAACGAGAGGAAAAGAAAGTGAAGGATCTGCAGGAGGCCTTGTTCCAGCAAAGGGTGAAGAGCGAGTGCAGCTCCCCCAGAATCATCTCCTCCAACAAGCACCGAGGTCAGCGGCCACTGCCCCACAGGGAACGCTTCCTACGTCACACACAGCATCTAACTGTACGTTTACTCCACAGATCTGAACATGTCCGATGATAGCTCCCTTTCTGATGTTGTGGCCTTGGATGAAGGTTGGTCAGCTTGTTTTATTATTTTATTTCTGTCAATCTTTACTTGATTAATTGATCAATGCGTTTTAGTTGGACACAAAGATTATTGTGTTGTTTTGTCAGACTGAGTCAGTCTTTTAAAATAATTTGTAAGCATTTATATTTTCTCCATGGTGAAAATGTAGGTATATTCAAGCTAGTTCAAACTCATTCACAAGGTTCACTTTTTTACCTTGTTACCTTGTATTACATCTTTTTTATTTTGTGCCTAAAATGTTCTAGTTTCCAGAGCTCTTGCCACACATAATCAGGGATGTCTTTAGTCAAACAAATGTATTACAGCAATTTTTTTTTTTTTAAAGGCACCTGGCTACACATCATAGATATAATTCACAGGAATAAAGAGACGCACAATATACTGAAATCAAACACAAGCCATAAATGACAATTATACAATAAATCTTCAGTTGATCCACGCTGACAAATTTAAACAAATTGACCTTCCTCCTGGGTTTATAATACTCTGTTAGTACTGACAAAAACAACAGCAGCTCATTCTGTCTTGATGGAAAACCTTACTGTTCAAAAAACAAGTTATATATTAACTTTATCCACAAACAGACCTCTTAATGTGCACATCAATTACAAAGATTGCTAATTACCATGCTTCTGTGATTGATGGCACTGATCAATACATATTAAGTGGCTTTCTCTTAAACAATGACACTTCTGACTAAGCTTTTCTTTGTTCAGATGTGGACTCGCCCTGCCCACTGTCCCCTCCAGCTATGGGACATCCTTTCACAGACCCTTTCCATCTGCCCCCCAAACCTCTTGAGTCCAGCGAGTGCACCCCCATCCAGAGCGCCCCCTGGAGGGAGTCCAGCTTGGACCATCCCATTAAGAAGAACTCTAAACTGCAGGACAATAGTGGCAGCAGGACCAGGTAGGCAAAAGACTGTGTTACAATACAATACAACACAATTATTGTGTTACATGCAAGTTCCCTTGTTCTTCACTGAATTTGAGTCCATCTAACTACTCCAGAAGTCTTTCATCTGTTATTCAGAAGGAATTGGGAAAGAGTAGTTTGGAATCAAACCTACACATAATATTTAGATTTATAATTCTTATCATGAAAAATGCTCCACTTTGATAACTTGAATCATTGCCTATGTCTTATTTTAATCATCTATGTATCCCCTAGTCTGCTACAGTGGTATCAAATAAAACAAGACTCTCTTTTCAGGGCTTTCTGTGATCTTACATTTGTATTGTGCATTGCAACACTGAAAATGTTCTCCTATCTGAACTAAATTAACCTATAATCTTTGATCAGTGTTCCATTTTGAAATGGCAGAGACTCAGTGAATGCAGTGTGTTGTTTTGGTGCAGAGCAAATTGGATGAGAGCACCTGTGCAGCAGGACCTTAGTCTAATCTAATCTGTTGCTGTTGCAGTAGTCCGGCTCATGGCTCCTCCGAGAGCAGAGCTCCTCCTTCTCCTTTCACAAAGAGCTCGTCTCTGAGGTATAACCACTCCACCAGCGCCCCCTCCACTCCGGAGCTGCATGCGCGGCGCCAGTACTCCTCCTTCAGGTATGTTATGTATGTTATGTTACTTATAGAGTATAATCCCACACTATTCTCTCGACACATTAGCAATGCTTCAGTTTAGTGTCAAATAAGATAAACTTAATATTAGTCCAGAATCAATTGTCTTTATGTATTTATTCACTTTTACTTAACAATTTCATTGCAACTTTGCTCTTAATCTTTAAAGATAATATCTGCAAGTTCAATTGTATTTCATGTTTATAGGAATATGTATTTTTTACGATTGACCCTGAAGTATCATCAGTTAAGTATTTTTATAATGATTAAAGAAGTCCCTCTCCTTGGGATAACCATTTCCAGTAAGATTTACTGGAGGAGAATAGTTAGACCAATGGCGAGGGGCTTCAGCTGTCTATAAGGGTTTTCATTAATTGAGTCCAATCAATAAACTGAATTTATATCACATAGATGTCTTGAATTGAACTGGTTTAATTGTGGATGTGTGTGTGTATTTTTCAGGGTTCCAAAGAGCAAACCCCTCAGTGTGGACAACAGCCACAAAGCCCGCAGCAGACTCCCCCAGCGTCGGCCCGAGTTCATACTTCGCTCCCCTCAGTACTCCCCCCTCCGCGTCTCCCAGTCCAGCTCTGAGGACACCAGCTCCGAGCACTCCTCCACCTCCTCCACCTACATCAGCTCTCCGGGACAAAACGAGCCCACGGAGATACCCAAACTCTGCCCACCTCCCTACGGATTCCACTACGGAGCCAAGAAAGCGGTCTCCAGCCCATCTCCGAACAACAAGACTCAGAAGAGAAATCAAAAGCAGCACGTGTCGGACTGTCCACTTTCTCCTCAAGACAATGGGGCCAGTAAGCGCTTCCTGTCGCCTCAGCCAAGTCTTCACAGGCAAAACCAGGAGCCGCCTCTGTCTCCGAGGAAGAGCCTCAAGCCTCCTCCTCCGTACAGACTGGTGAGGACGCCGTCGCTGAAGGAGTACCCCAACCACGCCTTCAGACTGCTGCCCCGAGATATTGTGTCCGAGGAGCTGAAGTCTTGGCACCAGCGCAACCAGGCGAGGCCGAGCGGAGAGGAGGGCGTCACCAGTCCCACATCGCCATACATGCCTCCGTTTACTCCGGTTAGTTTATCACAGTGTTTTAAGATGAGATAAGATCCTTTATTTGTCCCACAGTGGGGAAATTTCAATGTTGCAGCGCATATACAGGACAGTAGTAAGAACACACAGGGAGCACACAAAATGTACAATGAAAGTAGCTGCTGTGTTTCTTAGTTAGCTGTAAACGCTTCAATATCAATCTCTGTGAATTATCTCTTTGTATATAATGCAGGATCAGTAGATAAAGTGACATTCAGTGGACATTCTGAAGTTGCACATGATTACAGTATTTACTTTGTTACAGATTAATGTACTGGCTCAAAAAACTAAACTTAAAACTGGGATAGCTAACTGCTAAACCAGAAAGGATCAAACTATGTAATGAAATCCATGTAACTAGTTCCTCACTCTTAAAGCAGTTTGGTTTTATGACTTGTTTTCCATGCATGTAAAAATGACTCAGGGCTCGTTCTTACAAGTATGCTAAAGATAATGTTTTCTAATAAGATTAAGGCACTGTGTTGTGGTCTGATTTGTTCGCAACACTTACAAAAATATTTCTGTTGGGACAAACAATATGTATTATATATGAAAAAGAAAGTCGGGAGTGTGACGGGGTTGCATTTGTGCTCTTCTCTCTTCCTGATGTAACAGAACCTCTGGTAATTATTTAAACTAGGTTTACATCAGTCATGTGATTTGTAAAGGAAGGTTGTAGAGCATGTTGAAGAAATAACAAAAGATGATCCTTCTTATTCATAATATTTAATTATACAACATTTATTCAGCAATATAAAACAAATAGTAAAATATTACAAAACATCCAGAGACACCACTATTTTGTTTGGGTGTCAAATGCATAGAAAACATGTGGATTATTCATGTGTTCAGAAAAGATAATAAATAAGTTTAATGAGCTAATTGGAGTAGCTCAGTTGGTAGAGCACTGGCCTTTAGGCCTGAAGGTCGTGGGTTCGAGCCCATCATAAGACCTACTCCTTGGGCAAGACACTTAACCCCACTTTGCCTGAAGCCCCCGCTGAAAGATCTCAGCTCCTGTGGACTCACCACCTGCAGGAGGATCAGTGAGGGGCTGGTGCTGAGTGTACTAGGTGCAGCTCTGACTGCCACCCCCCCGACCCAGAAATGGATTAAGGGGAAGAAAATGGATGGATGGATGGAGCTAATTGGGAATTGTTTTGTCTTTCAGGGCTCTGGGAACCTGGTCCTGCAGAGAGCCAATGACGGGACCCCGCTGCAGTGGTTTGTGGCTCAAGACTCTGAGATCATCAGCCAAGTTTAACCACAAAGGATCTCTGATTTATTTATTAACCACGTGGACTCTCTATGAGATGAAAACATGTCTGTACCAAGAGCACATTTCTCTTTCTGTTAATTTAAATGTATTGTATGGTTTTATGCCATTTTATTTATGATGTCGGTAGTGATGCTGATTGTACAACGGACCTAAATTACATTTTTTGCACACTAAAATGTTCACCTGCAGTAGTGAGATAAAGAGTTGCTGCCCATTCCTAATATAATTTTTATTTTATTCTATTTAAGTTTTATTTATAGTCTTCTCTATTCCAGTGCTATTCTTGCTCTTGTAAATAGATACATATGTGAAAACAGATAGTAAAATAGTGGACCAAAAAAACCTTTCAGCAAAACACGGTTCTTTCTGTTGTTGCATATCTAGCATGGACTTGTTCTATGAAACCCCAATGATTTTATAGTCTACTATTGTGTCTATAAAAGTGAAGTAAGCTAACATTTATCAACGGATACTAATCACAACTAAAGGTGATTTCTGAATGTTCTGATTGCAATAAGGCATTTTGTTACTAACAGAGTATCAGTTTTGATATTTTTGTATATTTATAATAAAATATGAGTTTTTGTTCCTGAAAAGATTAAAAAGTCAACAACTATATTGATAAAGTTACATTTGTTTTGTAATATTTACAGAAACATGCATCGGTTTATTACAGCAGAAAAGAGAAGATATGAAGTGATTTAAAGCTGCGGTACCTATCTTTCTAAACACAACAAATAAACTCCATCAAACTAGTTCATTGCTCTCTAAACATACACTTGTTTACACATGCATTTATGGCCTCTGTCACATCGTCAGAAAAAGAGAGGACCACCCTGACTCAGCGTAAAAACTCACAGGGAAGTATGTGAAATAGTACGTTTTTGATTGAGTCAAAATGTTGTGTTTTACGAGACTCTTGATGTGGTATTTATATAAAGTTAGCCAACCCAGCTTTAACAGTCTATCACGCAGAAAAAATTTTCCTTGTAAAAAATATGTTTTCAAATGTTTTTATGGCTTCATTCACTTGCTGTAGCCATTCCCTAGACCTGGGTGTACTGTGCTGAGGCGTTACAAGACTTCATTTCAATTAAACTTGTATTCGATTCAAATAGTATAATATAGTATAGAGAGTATTACAGACTCTCCATGCCCAATTTAAAACATACAGACAGACAAGACAAGAGAAAATAACAAACAAACAGTCATGACTTTAAAAGACAGACATATCAGTGTCTCCACAACTTGGACTGAACTCACGTGGCACTGAACTTATAAAAACTGTACATAAGGCTCTTCAGCACAGCCTGTAAAGTGTTCGCTGGTGAGGTGACAAACAGCTCAGATGCACTGGTCCATGGTGGTTTTCTTATAAGCATTCGAAAAGTGTCACTGTAGGCATTTGGGAGTCGGGAGTTTGTTTTGACCATTTATTTTAAACACATCCCTGACTTCGCTGTGGTGAAAAGTCGACACAAATCTAGAAATCTCAACGTTTCCCACTGTTGTTACGGGTCAACGCGCCAATTCAACACCTGTCGTTTGAAATGTAGGATATGTGTAAATGCAGTGATGGTCTTATTGTGGTAATATGTAGAAAACCATAGTAATAAAACAGACAAACAAACTCAGATAGAGAAGAGTCCAGCGACACTTCTGCATCCACTGCGTCCAGGGATCTTTGCTCCGAGGGCCACACCTGAGGACAGAGGACATATTATTGATTATTAAAGGAGAAAGTAGTGCCGAGATTATGTGTGGTGATATTTTAAACACCATAAGTTCATTACAATATTTGCATCTGCTGATATGTGAAGAATGAAGATATGTGGGAAATAAAGCAGTTGTGTCCTGATAATAAGAGTATGCGTTACACTTCCTGGTATATCTGAGCACACTTTAATCAATGGTGCAAACATAAATCACAGGTTGATGGTCAATACCAATTATCCTTAGAAGTTAGAATGGAGGGAAGTAAAAAAAATCTGAAACGCATTTCTGAGAATAATTAAGTCTTCAAAAAAAATCTCTAATCGTCCCCCAGGCCATATATGGACACTCCAGCCATCCGCAACATGAACATTTGATACATTTTGTACATTTTGAAGACAGGAAATATGTGGGGACCCTGTTCTGCACTGAATTGTCCCTGAGAGAGTCTAGTTATAATATTGCATTCCATTTTCTAAGCAGAGTCGACCAGTTTTCTATATCCTCGCACACTTTCTCCAGATCATTTAATGTATACATTTTAACATAATTCTGCTGATTCACCTGATGATTGGAGTCTTTTGGTTCGGTTGAGCAGTTCTCCGGTCAGACCTCTTTCGAGACAGAGCCGCCCTCCCTCTGTGTCGCTGACGGAGACTTTCAGAAGTGGAGCTGAAAAGGACATTATAATAGAGGCAACAGCTCAGTGCAATACATTGGCAATACTGACAATAAAAGAGAAAGAACAAAAAATGAAGGTCATGCCGAAGAAGAGTATTAGAAGAGTATATTAGTGTAAACGCTTGGCTTGTTACAAATCAGTCCTCATCATAATTCCTTTTGAGAGCTAGCATTATACAGAGAGCCTCAAGTTCAATTAAAAATGTATCTTAGGCTTTAACATTTTTCCCGTTGTTGATAATTTAGAGTGGACAAGTTGGCAGTAAAAATTAAGAAACTTTGTACGAAACATTTGGAAAGTATAATTCTGAGAAATCAAAGGTATCCCCTGGAAATAATCAAACAAAGCTACAGAAAATCTATTTGTTTGCATTTGTTTTTAATGATTAAGGTAGAAACATATAGATAAAAGCTCAATAATGGAGGCAGATAATGCTCATATAATTCTGCTTCAGAGTTTAAAGCTAGGGCACATACACTTCAGACCTCTAACATTGGAACTATGTAATAAAGTCTATCTAACTGGATTTCAAAAGAGTTATAGGTTCTATCTGTATGTAAGATAAAATCAGATAAACTTTATTGATCTCACAATGGAGAAATTCACATCTGTCACATCTTTAGATCAACAGAAAATTGAAAAAGAGGTGACCACCCTCACTCAGCCAATCACCTCTCTGCCCAAAGGTTATTTCTCAGAATGCAAACAGTGACATGACAAAGGAAGAAGCATGTTTTCGGTATAAGTATAATTTCTGAAAAAAAGTAACAATGATCAACTTCTAGTACTTTAATGAAGACCCAGCAGAAATAGTACTGACCAAACAAGACCTATATTTTTGATTGCATGTATATCATTAATCATTTGATGTACTATTTAAAAAGTTCATACCTATGGCCTGAAACATTTGCTTGAGGTTCTGTTGGCAAATCTTCCTGTTTGATGTTGGGAGGAGGCACTGTCGCAAAAACAGGAGATGTTTCAAGTGAAGGCGATTGAACAGGGGGAGTTCTCAGTGCACTTTCCAGGTGATGTTCCACAGTTTCAGATGGATCAAGAGTCCTGTGTGGAGAAACACAAGTCAGCGCCCGTGCGTGGACAGTACATATAACTTACATGTGTGTATAGTTTTAACTCAGTGACCTGTCATCCGTGACGCTGTCGTTGAGCACGCAGAAGCTGGACTCGGGGCTGGGACATGGAGAGGGGCATGAGGTGGAGGGCTTTCTCCCTCCACGCTTCCTGGGCTCTCTCCTCTTCTTTTCCTGCACAACAACCATTCTGAACATTATTTTTTTCCCCAGGCACTGATAAATAAATCAAAACAACTTAATGTCATATTTTTTGTCAAGGGCTGCATTGGTAATTAACTTAAGTTTATTTGTTCCGAAACTGTGATGTAAAACAGACAAACAGTGGAGCCCTGAAACAGATTGAAACATCCAGAACAGAAATAAAAAAAGAGGAAAAGAAGGAAGAAATTGTAGGGAAACTTTTGTGTGAGTTTTGTCCGATTTATAGAAATAATACGACTACTGTTTCCTCCTTTTTACACGTGTCTTTCTTACTAATGTCTGGCTTGTGATTATGGATGAGCTGATTATGGATGAGCTGATTCTTCTGCGTAGACTGTCCTAAAACAAAAAAAAAAGGAGTGAGGAAATCTCCATTGTATCTCAGAACACAGAGCACACTTTGAGGTCACTAACCCGCCTCAGAAGCAGCTTATTGTCTTTGAACTCTTCTGCTTCTGAAATGTGATCAGCATCTGTTAAAACTCAGTAATAACAAACACTGGTGAAAGAGGCTTGTGTCTAAAGACCTGGAGACTCCCGGATGTTTCTCTGAGTCGTCCTGAGCTGAACCTGTCGCCGCGCCTCCTCCAGTTCGCTCAGGTTCCTCTCGTATCTCGTCCGCAGGGTTTCCACATGAGACACCATCAGCTCCACGGCTCTGCTCACACGCGCCTCCTGCAAACCATGCGGGGTCTTAGATACACACGTTTGAGCAGAAAGAAAAAAACAGTTGTGCTTGAACTTTTATACACCAAGGCAGAAATAAGACGCCCTCTTTGGGGGTGGGAGCGCCATAATTTAGATGATATGAACGATATTGCAACAAAATATTTTTTGCCATTTACAGGTAAAACTTGTCAAATTAGAATGTTGCGCTTACATTTGTAATTTAAATTAAAATACGAGACCATTTGATACAGACTCATTACTCCAAAGTGGTATATGCCAAGGCTTTGATGGTTATAATTTTTATGACTATGGCTATGACTAAGTCTTTTTTCAAAAAACCTTAATTTATGATGACGCGAGAGAAAGTCCAAACCTCTTTCAATAACAGCCACAAATACAACATTAAGATGAGGAGATCCTGTTCTTTCCACAGTGAGGAAATGTAAGTGCTGCATGTTACTGAACAGTAAGAATGAGGAGCACACAAACTCAAAATAAGTGAATAAAAAGTATATACTCATTACTTTCACAATAAAACCACAAAGTATCAACACATATACTCTTGTGCAAAAAAATGTATAGTCTTATGTAAATTTAAAAGAACAGCTCGCATAAAAACATGACAAATCAAAGAGCTTACATTTGGTGCTGAAAAAGTCACAAGCATTTCTCATCACTGTGTGTGGCAACAACGGCTAAATGCTCACCTTCATCAATACTCTGAATACTCACACTGCTATATACTTATCTAAAGTGAATATTCACTTGGATAAGAAAAAAAAAACCTACACAACCATGTTAGTGTTTATATATAGTTTTTATGACTGCTTCCTAACCTGATGCACTGCTCCCAGCACCTCCGCTGTGTTAGAAATCCTCTCCACTGTTCCGCCCAAAATGTCCAAAGATAGCTCCAGCTTTTGCAGGATTGTGCTGCGCTTGCTGTCCAGACACAAGACCTTCAGCATCTAGAAAACACAAAGGACCTGTTGTTAAACACGGGTCTAAATGAAAGGTCCCACAGTGTCTGCCTGTACCTCCAGGGTCTCTCTGCCTCGGGCCAGTTCCAGATGCACATTCTCCTCTGCCAGGTTTCGGGCATGCTCCTCTGCCTGTAACCTCTGCTTCAGCGTGTACTGGTCGCAGCGGAAAGCCAGGGTGATCTGACTGAAGGCCGCCTAAAGACAGGTTTAAGAGGTTTCTCAAATAAAGAAAAAACACTTAATATTGAGAAAGTCTATGCAAACATACTGTTGTGATTGTGCATAGCTGTTATGTGGAATGTCTATTAAGAAAAGGATGGATGGCCAAACTCAAATAAATATTGTATGACCTTACCTCTACATCTTTTTCTGACATCTCCAAGCTGTCCAAAGAAGAACATGGTTACAACAGCGTAACGTGAACATAACCTGGATTTTATGTTTCACCTGTTGAGTCCAACTCTTTCTATAATAGACAGGTCATTCCAGCTGGTGATGGGAGGCTCATCCTGACTTGTTTCTAATGTGAATAAAAGTACATTATAGATATTACTGCAAAAGGCCTTAGAAGGCCTCTGGTCGAATATATCCCACCTTCATCACTGTCATCACCCCCTGGTACTGTAGACACACAGAGGCCGTTTGTCTCTGGAGGTGAAGACTGAAATAAACACAATCAAACAGAAAAAAATCACTATCATACACAGGTAAAGTAGGTAAATCAGATGCTGCAGGTTACACCGATCCATTTTCTATAGATGGCCCCAAAAGATTCTGTAAACAGTATGTATGAGACTCTTTGACTCAATTCTTGTTTTACTCTAAAATTGGGGAACAATGAGAACAATCTCTGCTCAGAGAATGATCAAACTCCAAAGTCTTTCTACATTTTCCATGGTAAAAATGAAGGAGAGTATGGCTGATTGCTGGGGATGGGATCTACTTGAATGTTACTCTCAAGAGCTTAATCCCATATTGTGGAAGGTTACAGATGATGAGGCACAAACATGAGGAGGTCCCATGGATATCTACAAGTCAGGTTGCTTCACACCATACTTATTATCAATTAGGTAAATTATTTTTATAATGTAGATGTTGCAAACACTCAAAAACAAAATACAACGACATCACAAACATGAATAGAATACAATCAAAATAACACGTTATACAAAATACACGTTCTACTTATTACATTTGAGACCAAAGTAAACAAAACTAAAGTACACAGCCCTTACCTGTGCGTTCATAGCTTGATAGCGAGCAGGTTTGATAGAATCCTTTATTTACATCCACATTACTGTGTGCTGTGAGTTGTTCGCTGTGCATGACTTTGTACCTGTCCTGAGGTCCATGTCGCTCCTGAGAATAGATAATCCCATTAAGAGCTCCTTTCTCCAGCCATGCAGACCAGTAGAGGCTCATGGGAAACTGCTTCTATTGCTGTGTTTTTAACTTTGGTAAATAAAACACACAATGACAGCTGCTGCGTTGCATTGTTTTACATTCAGTCCCCTCTTAACAGCAATGGATCCTAAAAAAGCTGGTGGCAATCAAAAGGAAGTGTATTATGAAATGTACAACATAAACGTTAACTGCTGCAGTTGCAAAATGTTTACTTGATACATTTTAGATTTTAACATCAAATTAAGCAAAACCAACCATTATATGGTGTTGAAACTGCACAGAATGATCCTTGATGATCGATAGACCAGTCACATAAACTACTGCTATTTCCCTGTGCAAGAGTAAAGAGTCATAGCGTAAAGGCCATGGATGTGGGGTAATATGAGGCATGGATCATTATACTATAGGGCATGGTTGTACATTGAGAAAGATTGTCCAGAAAAACTAAAACCCAAGTCAGTCAGCCAGCGCCCTCTTGTGTTTAAAATAGGTAAACCTAACATTAAATTCTCAAACCATCAACAGAGTATATACTATGTTTATAACAGTAATACTGACTATGTAAACAATGCCATTTCATTCACCAAAAACAAAAAAGACAACAGTAAAAGAACATGTGGTTTTATTTAAAACCTTAAAGAAAATTGCCTCAAATGGTCAGATAAGAGAAACAACAGATACAAGCTGTAACTTCAATATTTACACAACCAGAAAATCTAATTTATACATATCCCAAACTGTAAGAAAAAAGGTATTGTTTCACATTATGCAACAAGCTTTTATGATTAAATTCACATCCAGTGACTAGTAGCTACGCACAACCCTGTTTGAAGTTTTGCTGATCACAGATTCAGTGTATGTCCTACATTTGAACACCGAAGTTAACATGCTGTAGTTCTTGAAAGCAGAACATTTCGAACAAAGTGCAGAAAGATAGGGAATGATTGAAATGAAATCCAAGCTACAAACAGAATCTCCAAACAACAGGCACTTTTTCAAAACCTCGTCCAAACGTCCACTGCACTCCTCACCTCTCTGTAATAACTTAAAAGGGACAAATACAGGGGTGGAAATGACTGATTCAATTTTCATCATAATTTGTCATTAACATAAAAAAATAAACAATCTCGAGAGGATTGATTTTAAAATGTTCACAATCAACAATTACAGTTTGACTTATAAAACAATTTTTTTTTTTTCGACAGTTTTTGTGCTTTTGCCTCGATGCAAAATTTGTGTGCAATGGAATTTTACATTTTACATACATTTATACAAAACGCCAGGCTGCTGGGGTCCCAAACAGCACAGGGCATGACATTAAAGGATGAACGTGTCTACACTGGATATGTGCTTCACTTTGGGGCAAACAATAACTCATATGTTCTCATCCAGTTGTTCCACTGAGCAAACTCAAACAATCACTTGTGGGAATATATTATTGCTTTCAATTTGGTGCAAAATGGTATTCAACAGTGACCTTGCGCACCCAACTGGCTTCAAATATGTAATAACGCTAATTTAAAAAAAACTTAAACAGGGAATTAGCTCCACTTGTGTTTACAGTTCTGATGCAACATACATCATATTATCTATTTGGCAAAACATATTTTTATCTTGTAATCTTAATCAGAACCAAATGAAAATGTATGAGTCACCATTTAGTACCCAACCAAGTTGTGTGTGTAATATCAAAATATTGCCAGTCATACTGCATTTTGTGCATAAAGCATTATTCTACTCTCCTTGTGCAGCCCTAATGGGAGATGAACCCTCTTTCAACACGATAGTCTGCATCACAAAGAAACAAGGCAAAGAAAAGTTTATATACAAGTGCCATAAACCAGTGTGTTCGACAGGAGTGTCCTGGAAGATGGAGAACCATCACAGTTCAGATTTCTGACCCTACAATAAATAACTCAATCAACAGAATAATAGAATGCAGCGATACGAGTACTTCAGATCCTCCAGCGCTACGGTCGCTCTGTCCCGGCGTCTTCGTACATTCATATTTGGAGATGACATCAGCGGCCCTTTGTGCAGCGGCGAAGATAAAGGGAGAAGGCTGAAGATGGAGCCCCAGGCAGGAGCCCAGCTGAAGCACTGGTTACACCAGCTATTCAAGCAGATCCTGCAGTAAACAAGAGGAGCCACATCAGGAAACAGACCAACAGTTTGTGTTTGAGGCCTGTTATCAGTGTGTCAAGGGCTGTGGGTCAGGTATCGTGTTGCCAATAATCCAGCAATAGATTATAATCTTAGCTCTAATAACATGAAATAATAAAGATAGAGTGAAAAAAGATCAATATTTAGAGGTGGATTGGGATTAACCTGATGATCACTCTGAAACGTGTGGCTAAACGGTTACAATGTCATAGTGCGCACTGTATGTTACATTAAATACATTTACCTGTAATTGTATTTTGCTTAACACAATATTAGTATTTCTCCTAACACAATTTCAAGTAATTAATGGCGTTTTATGTGGCAGCAGGAGCCCGAATATAAATGGAGAACAGTGGAGGCTTTGATGGTTGTATGTTCCAACTGGAAACTTTATAATTGACCATTTAATGTATATTTGATCCATATTTGCTATAAAAGATTCTTTTATCCTTAACAATTGAAACAAACATGGCATCGCATGGCGCCGTAAAGATGGCGCCGTGGCAAGAGCTCTGGTGTGTGTTGTCTGGTGCACACTGGGGTAGTCTTGCACAGTTTTTCCAATGTGGTTTTACTGCAAATGGCAAATAAATGAATCTGAATCTGAACAAAATAAAATATTTTCAAAAACCTTTGAGCCATTTTGCAATCTTAAATCTCTATTAAAATAATGTGGTTTCTCAAATCAATAATGACACACTGCTAAATGTGTTGGAATGATGAAGAGAGCAAGTCATTTACTCAACAATGCTCTTCTATTATTGCATCATTCTTTCATTATGTCATATTTTAATTACTGTGTTGAAGTGTGGAGCAACTGCTACAAATCCCACTTACAGCCTCTGATCACTCTGCAGAGTCTAATGTTCATTACAAGCATCAGACTAATCTACTGTTCATAGAGTTGGAAGAACTTTAATTACAAGATTTGATTCACTTTAAAACTGCTCAAATTATGTTCAGGGCATCGGAAAACTCTGTCTCCAAATGTTCAGAACTTATTCGTGACAGAGACATGCATCCTAGTCACAGACTGAGAGGAAATAAAAATTTATACTTGCCTAAATTTATGACCACCATAAAGTCAATGCGTGTCTCAGTGCGAGGAGTTACTCTGTGGAACACCTTCATGGATGAACTTAAAATTGTACAAATCTGATTCAATTTAAAACTCTGTCTAAAAAATATGTACTAAAGAAATACAAGGAGGAAAGAGAGTGATACCCTCAGCACAGAGCAAGTGATGGGAGAGAGGGGTGGGGTCAGAGAGTGTGTGTGTGTGTGTATTTTGTTGATTTTTGTTTTGTTTTGTATACCATTGGTCATAGTATTATATTGGAATTTTAGTCAAATGTACAGTAGAATTTTTTATGGGATTTTCTAGGTTCTACTGAATTGTTTTGACTTGTGTCGTGTGGGTGAGATGGTTGGGCTAATATAAGCATAATGCTTCATCCAACCCCTTTTCAAACCTTGAACATATGTGTCAGAACATATGCAAAATGTGTTTCCTATTCAGCTTTTGAAATAAATAACTCAATTAAATTCAAATCAATAATAGTGTCAAACGTTTAATTGTAATTTGGTCAAAGCTTGTTGAACTAAAACAGACAGTATTTTCCGTATTTTCTTTTTACTTTGTCAAAACAAAGATGTAATAAAAATAGCCGCACCTCGTCTGAGTCGTCGTGGAACTCGATCTTCCCGTTGCGCGTTGTGGCGTGATTGGTCTCCAGCGGCTCGTCCAGGTCACCGTTCTCCGCCGCGTGCTGCTGCAGCACCGAGTATCTGTGAACCAAGAACCTGAAACAGAACGGCCATTTGTTCATAACAGAATAATGTGACCTCAAATGATTTTGATCGCATTTTAAAAGAGACATCTAAAAAGAGACAAGAATACAGAAACTGACCTTCCAAACTGTGGATCACATGAGGTTGATTTGATAAAAAACAAACATTCCTTTCTTCTAATTAAATTCTATAATATGAATCACATTTCTTACAAATTACAGAGGCGACTCTGGAATGTTGCAAATGTATAAATCGTGTCTAATTGTAAAACTCAGACCCACCTTCCTCCACAAACATATTTCTTGATTAAGACGACTCCAGCCACAGCGCACAACAGCATAAGGATGACGATGAAAGTGATCATTGTAGGCTTTGCTTTGGACGGACTCTGTCAAACAGCACATAAGGACCTGAGTACTAAACTGGACCATCAAAAGTCATAGTAAAATGTGATATAATCTGTACCGGTGCATTGACCAGGTCACTGACGCAGTGCTGGCGAAGGTCGACTTCTTTGCGCACAGGCATCTTTCCTCCTACACATTTGTCACCGGGGATTTTCCTGTATCTGCAGATGCCACGGAGAGAATACTTCAGTTTGATATTCATGCAACATTTGAGGCTCAAAATACAAGTTCACAATTAATAATTATTTCTATTCCTTTTAACTATTCCTTTACAGGAGTTCATAGAAAGCCTCTAGGGGGGCTGGTTTAGAATAGTAGTGATACTGATAATAACCCCCAAAATAAAACAGTATTTTTACCAGTACTGGTAAGAGTCAACTAAATAATTAGAGATTTGTAAAATATGATTAAATAAACCTTGAAGTACTGAAATATATATATAGATTAAAAATTAAATAAAACTGGCTCAATGCCATAAAATTGAAATAGGTAGTTTAAATATTTCGGAATAATTGCCTTCAAAGACAGAAGTTTCAGACAGTGAGAAGACTTTTTGTTTTATCTATCTTAAAGGTTTATTTTACCCCAGTTCTTACCCCTGGGTCTGTAGCTGTTCCTCGTTTCCATGAAGGCAGAACTCCAGGACTTTTCCCTTCAGATCAGGCTGCTCCACACACTCAGAGCTGTTCTCCTTGCGATAATATCCAAAGTCACTGAAATAAAAGAGGCCGAAGATAATTTACCGCTTTGGTTTTCTAACTTAAGCAGCAGAAAAGTTGTGAAGAGGCCGAGGCCTGGTAGTCACCAGAGGAAGTCGTCCAGGGTGCAATTGCAGGGGGTGGGCTGTGTGGTGATCAGATAATCTCGGCCGTTCCAACACACAGAGTCTTTCCTCAGACGGAGGAACTTCTCCTTGTAGCCGAGCATGCAGCCGTCATTCGGGTCGCTGATGTCATCAGAGTGAGCCAGCCACTGCACATAATCGGACTCATCACCTGAAAAAACATTTTATTCAGGCGATTCATGTACCAATGTTATAGAAACTACTCAAATGAGTATGAAGGGTTTATGTCTAATCATCACCGTGACGGATTAAATCAAGTATCACATAGTTTTTGTTCAGGAATTTGCAAAGATAAACATGGTTTTATCTTATTAGGCAAAGGAACACTTTGGTTAACAGGAGTGATACATTGTTGACGCTCAGTAATGCAGTGTTACATTGTGTTTTAAACAAACAACACAATGTAACTAAAACAAAGACTTTAGTGACAAGTATGCAAGGATGGCTTGATAACCACATTCATAATCGTAGATATCAGCCAATGTGGCACGTACAAATGATGGATACAATTAAATTTGGCTGAAAAAATTATAATTTTTCCTACTCGGATATTTTTTCCCTGGACTCACAGTCTCTGGTGAGCAGCTCCCTGAAGTCAATGGTGAAGGAGACCCAGTATTGGGCCAAAAACGTGTCCTTGTATCCCCATAGACTGACGTTCATTGAGCGTGCGCCGGGCTCCGAGGCCAGCCCTGTGAAGTATACGGGCTCTTGGGTGAAGTTGTACTCGTGCCAGCACTGACCTTCATCTGTGGAGAATCTATGGAAACACAAAAGGTCACATCTCTAAATGTAGCATCTCACAGCAGGTCCCTTTGAAGAGCAGAAGTCCTGTGTTTGACTCCAACATCAAAACTGTAACAGCAGATGGTGTTGGCACATCATGAAAACAAAACACTAACATTGAAGGAACAATAAACGGGAAAAGCACTTGTAGAACGCAGACGCATCCAGAGAGTGGTTCAAACCAAAAAATATTGGTTTTAATTGTACAATATATATATTCAAATATAAACTGGATAAACAGTGTCCCACTGTATAGATTAAAATGTAGTAGAATTTTCTATAATTTATTTGATGATACGCTGGGCTGTAAGCCAGAGTGAGAGACAGCTGGACAGAAAAAACTGGGGCAATGGTGCATCTAGAGATTTCAGGTTGGTGCACTGAGTTGCACTCTGGAGCCCTGGCTCTGCTTTCAGGGCTTTAGAGTCATGACAAAGGCGATTATGAAGTAGTCCATTACAATGCCTGGGGATGCTCTGTGGTCCGTCTCAAGGTCCGAATCTGGACTGAAGCCCAAAGTTTAGAGTAACCCAGTATTATTTTGTTGGGCCATGTCCTTACTTGATGGTGTTAATGGGCTCGTTGGTGTTGTGTTCCACAGCAATCAGAAGCCCACCAGAGTCCAGGATGGCGTAATGATGAGGACCATCCAGAGCTTTGATCCAGCTGTAGCCCCCATCATCCGACACATACACATCGGGCTTCATGACAGAGATGGCATCTCCCACACTGCCTGGAGGAACAAAACACATGTTATGAAAACCCACAAATAGAAAGAGGTTTGTATCAGGTCCAAATCAGGTCCTGTATTGCTCTAGTAAAGGCACCACATAGTGATAACATAATTTTACAAAAAAAGATCTCCAAAAGATGTAGAAACTGAAGTTACCATGTGCCAGGATGAGGCCGACGGCGTTGGGCTCAGACAGAGGTAACATGGGGACGTTGAGTCTCATGGCTGTGCTGTACGCTGCGTGAAGGTGGAGACTGCACTGTGGACATAATAAGCATCTATTTTACAAAAGAGGTAACAGAAAGCATTTACTAATTGGTTGGACATTAAACCTTGAGTCTCTGTTTTCTCAAATTTCAATTTCTCAAAAGTGTATTTAACAATACATTTCAAAAAGTAAACATCAGATTTCAAACACTGAATGATAGGATAAACAAATTTGAAGAGCAAATATAGTTACTAGAATTATATTTATAATTTATTGCATAGGGACAGATAGAACAAAATAATGAAGTAGTAAAAACAATGCTGGTATCACAGTTTATTCTCTATAGCCATAGGGCCAATGTTTGGGAGAAAACCTTTGTTTGGTTACGGAATACCTGCTTTAAAATGATTATACAATATGTTGTATAATAAATTAGTTATATTTTTAAAAGAATTGGACAAATATTGCAATAAAGTCATAAAGTTCTGAAGAATTTTAAACGCATAACTTGCCATATATGTAATTAAGCAGATTATGTGTTTAAAATGGCAGTTGTACAGATATGATTATTTAGTTTCTGTATGAATTTTATGACACTTCTAATATTTCACCAGTTGAAGTAGATTTCTTTGGAGGTTGCTCATGTTACATTAGCATAGAATCAAACTTGTATTTGGATTGCATCCTGACCTCAACTGATTGTCAGGACATTTACTGTAATAGAATAAGGACTTCCTCCAGAGACCTTGACAAACCGGTTTTGGCTGTGTACCTTGTCAGGATTTTTGGCTGTCGCGTCACATTTGGTGTTGGCTGGTTTCTGCAGAGGGACCCATTCTCCTCCCTGATCGAAGGAAACCACAGACTGCACGGAGTTATCTAAAAGAAGTCACAAATTTGTTCATTATATGATGGAAACACAAAAAAGAAAGACCTTTACAGCCTTGATAATGTTTATACTTGGCAGGTACCGTGAAGCGTTTTAGCTTAAGTGTCAGCCATTTGATCCAGTCTGACAGCACATCTAACACCACAAAGCTAATTAAATATTTACCCAACACCCAGCCTCCACAGCAGTACGAAAGAGTGAGCCAGATACAGGTTTAGCCAGCTACAGTTCATTGGATTCAGAACACAATCTACCTTCTGCCAAAATGCTGGTGATGAAGACTCCTCGGAGAGATGTGACATTGGTGAAGTCTGTGTCACCCCCGGTGGCCGTGTATAGGTGGCGCTCAAGAGACTTCGAGTACACAGTGCCACGATCATCGGAAACATAAATAGTACCAAATCCAGAGTCTGGAACCAAAAGATTGGCACCGGTTCAGAGAATAATTTGAGGTTGATTATAAAAGCAAGAGGAGGTAGTATTGTACCTCCTGGCTCGTCCACATGCATGAAAACCATGTCATCATTGGCAGCTAAAATGGAGTAAAACTGTTCGTGACCAACAGGAGGCAGCTGGGCAATGTTCCAGGTTTCTCCGTGGTCAACAGAAACATGGATAATCCTCAACAAGTCCTGAAAACAAAAACAAAAAAGCTGAAATATGTTTACGGACAGATTAGCCTGAAAGGTGAATTAATATGTAAGCCCTCAAGCATTCACATGACATCACCGCATTCCAAAGAGTCTATACTATTATTATATTTATTCATCATAAAACATTGCTGATAGCTGTAGTCGTTTATGGCTCATTTATCTCGTGCATGGGTCAATTCACATGAAACAAAATCTGAAAGAAAGTTCCGTTTCTTATTTGTCAGTACATTTAGTCAACTATGGTATAATGGTTCTCTAATCAGAACAGTTACAAACCAATAACAAGAAGGGAGACTTATAATAAAGGTAATTTAGGTTAAAAATGATGAGCACTTTTTTTTGTTCCCCCGCCAAAGTAACAAATGTTGATACAGAAGGTGTAAACAGTGAATTTCTGGCACACTGACCTTCCCTGTCATCACAGAGGCAAAGAGAAAGCGCCCTCCAAGACCAAACGAGTAGATTTTACTGGCCACAATTTTGATGGTTTTCCCATAGTCTGTTGTCCTCTTCAACTCCAGCATCCCCCGGTCACCTACAGGCAAAACAAGCAATACACATTCATGGCAACGTATAAATCAACATATGATAATCGTATGAGGACACGTCATGAGCTGGGTTACTCACTGCAGGAGCCATCCGGGTTAGTAGTGAAAAAAATTTTGCTACTGGCACCCCTGGAAAAAAAAAATAATTTCACATTTTACCAAAATTCTCTAACCAATGTATTTCATAGATTAATCTATTTCTACAGTATCACAATGGCCTTTTATTTAAGCAGTAGCAAGTGTTGTCCCGCCCTTGTTAAATATGTGGTTCCACATGTGTCCTGTTTGAGTTCAGGAAATATTTAATCTTAGATTTAGTAATTGACCTAGTTGTACCTGGCTGTGTTGTGTGACTTAGAAACTTTTTTGTAATTATGCTCTACACTTAAAATTCACACCTATAGTGCAGGACTGCTGGATTACTCCCATTTAAAAACGAATAAATAAAATAAAATAAACAGTAATTTTACCCCAATATTGTTTTGTTTTCTACCAAAAATATAGACACTAATCCTTATAGTGAACTATATAATTTGGACCTTTAAAATCCTGAAGGGGAAATACAGTCAGTGTCATTGGTGTTTTTCTATGTAATATTTCCAGAATTATAAATGAAAATAGTGTGGCTTGGAGAGAATCTGAGATACTCCTCACAAATGTATCCTTTAAAAACAAAGTCTGACTTGTACTGTCCTCAAAAGCGTAACTTTGGTTCAAATGACTAACATGGGTGAATAGATAACATATACGCTGGCTCTGGCCACACTATGAGAAGACTGTGCAATATTATAAGGAAAAATATAATGGCATATCAGTTCAACTCACTCAACTTCATATAAAATCCAGTCTCTTACCATTTGACCAAGCACACCATGTCATGGATCTTGTTCCAGCTGCTGCCAAAATCTTTTGACAGCCACAATGCATTCTAAAAAATAAAAATAATAATTTATTTGAACAATCTGAACAAAGCTTTATGAAAACAGAGTAAATCATAAAAGGTTAATGGGTAACCCCTAAGTAAACCCAAAGATTCACCTGAAGAAGTTTACACAAAGGCAGTGGCTTCGGCTCAACAGGTTAACAACTAAATGATCATTAACTTGGGGGTATGCACTAAAAAGTAGGTCACACTCAAGATACATGTACCAATACTGGACCATGCTATTAAAGCTGCAGATGCTAATGATATAATAATGATATTTATACCCAGCTGGCAACATTGTTAAGTTTATAAACTAAAAAAAATAAACTGTAAAGAGCACACACTTTATTACAGACGGACACGAGCACATTGGAGTCCTCTGGGTTGTATGAGATCTGTGTGAGGGGGATGAAGGGCAGGTTGTGGTGAGAAAAGCTCTTTCCAAAGTCACTGGAGACAAAAATACGGGCCTGCAGCGTCTCGGACACTTCTGCCGTCAGTATAACCTACAAACACACAACATGCGGATTTTATAGGGACAATCTATGAAAGTGCATTCAACACAAGGGACGTCACTTACTTTTCCTAAATTTCCTGAATCAATAGCAATCCCAAACTCAGAGCGAATAAAGGTACTGTTTATTAGCTCCGTGACATCTTCAAATGATTTTCCATAGTCCTCACTGGAAGCAAATGAAATGCAAATACTGTGTATAAACTCAAGCATATTGGTTTTCCATCCCGCAGTTTTATTTTCATCAAAAAAGAAAAAGGAAATTCATTCTAAAAGATCTGTACGGAAATAACAATAAAAATCCATCCACATTCATACCTGCGATACAGTTTGGACTGTCCCAGACGGATCATGAAAAAGGGGACTTGAAACGTTGTCAGTGCGAGGATGACCTGTTGAAAAACAGTTTAAAGATTGAATCACAACTAAATAAGGCTTTATTAGAGTTTGACATATTTTTAAGTGAAAGAAGTTTTAAAGATAACCATTTTATGAACAATAATTTAAAGGTAGGACAAAAATTAATTAATTAATCTAAAAGGAAGTAATACAAAACTTTACTTTTGAGGCCAATATCATATTGAACTTGACCATGTTTAACTGAAATGAACAGATGTAAACATATAACTACATATTATATGCACTAGGATACACAGTACTTTATACTTGCTTCTTATTTTTCCAAATGTAGAGATTTTATACTTTTTTATTATGTTAAAAGATAGAGATTGTCTACTTGTTTCTTTGATGAGTTCATTCATTCATGTTCTGTAACTTGTGATGCAACACTAAAATGTATCCACTGTGGGACGAATGAAGTTTGATTAAGATCTCTTAATCTTAATCAAACAAATACTTTAATTTTACATCAAAGACTTACCCCACTGCCATCTCCAACCCAGGCCAGTGACACAGAGCCGCTCAAATCTTTGAGGGTGTACTGAAAACAGACAATCAAGACATCATATTAATGTTCTGTCTGTGTCTGTTAAGCGCCCGGGGTTGCTTCTGCGTAAATGGTACTTTACTTTCTAAATAAAAGTGCCTTGCCTACTATTAAATGTTAAATAATATACATAGTTTTTAGTATATTCTATTGTACTCAGATGATGTTTGTAACAACCAACCAACAAACTAAACTAGTTAAAGATAACTAGAAGAGTAGTTTTATGGTTGAATAAAATAACACACATCCATCTAAATGCCTTTATTATGGCATTATAGAGGCTCATATAACTTCATTTATTGAAATTACTTTCGCAGGTAACAGCTGCTTGTCCAATTGCCACTTGTAAGTTCTAATAAAGTTGTGACCTTGGGCAAGACATTGTATCTCATTGAATGTGTGAGCTATGACTTTTCAAAACACAAAACCTATGTAAAACTCCGGCTAAAATGTAAATGCCTTGTCCTGATTTTGGAAGCCTTTCTTTTAACAACGCTCAAAAGAACTGAATTGGTTCCTTTTACTCTTTGCAAACAATGGGCCTCATTCACGAATAACTTCGTAAGAAACTACTCAACTTTCTTCTCAAGTTGTCCTTAAGTAGATTTCTAAGAAGTCCCCACGTGGGATTCATCAACGCACTCGTAAGCCGCTGAATTGTTCGCAGCTGTTCTCTCAGATTGATGAATGCCATTTCCTCGTAAGTACAGCGCGCGTGCCAGGTGCTTCATTAGCATAGGTACTTAGCATAAGTAACCGCCCACTAATGCCCATATAAGGGACTGCAGGGCCATGTGCAGACGGCAGAGGAAACAGCAACAGGCCTAAAGCAAATAGTTACACGGAGCAAAAGAGTCACCCTTTTTTCTTCTTTTACCAGACTGAGAATAAAGTTATAAAATGTTGACTTAAAAGTCGAAATATTATGATAATAAAGTCGAACTAGCAAAATTATGAGATTAATCTAAGAATATGATGAGATTAATCTCAAAATGTTATGAGCTTAATTTAAAAATATATGATATATTATTTTAAAGATGAATCTCAAAATGTTTTGAGATTAATCTCAAAATATTTTGGACCCTGGGAGGAGATCCAGCACGGACCAGCGCTGAGACCAATGCAGACCCGAGGAGAGACTGGAGTGACCAGCACACAGAAACCAGCGCGGACCTATAGGAGAGACCGCATAGACTGGAGTGACCTGACTGGAGAGACCGGTGCGCAGAGACCAGCGCGGACCGAAGATAGACCGCATAGACCAGACTTGAGAGACCAGCGCGGACCCGTATGGATCCAGGAGCATGCAGCACGGACCCGTATGGAGAGACCAGTGCAGACCCGTATATGGGAGAGACCAGTGCAGACCCGTATAGATCCATGGGAGAGACCAGTGCAGACCAGTATAGATCCATGGGAGAGACCAGTGCAGACCCGTATAGATCCATAGGAGAGACCAGCGCAGAGACTCAGCGCGGACCCAGTAACCTCCTGCAGCAGCAGTATATATGCCGTTGTTCTGTGGCCCGTGGATAAAAGAAATGCCCCCTATAAATAGGAAGGGGTCACTAATACACGGCAAGATTTCCAATGTATTTGATAAAGCGTTGGCACATTTCATTTCAAAATGAATTAAAAAGTAGGCCAGATCTGCAGTGAAAAAGGCGGTATATAAATAAAGATTACTAATAAAGATTACTACAAATAAATAAATACATACATCGATATGACGGACATATCACTGGGATGTTGTATTTTTATTCAACTTCACCAAAGAGGACAACCCCGGCGTGTGAACATGTCGGCACTGAATGCGTACGAGTGCTCCTGAGGACTCGTAGGATTTGTACTTGCCCAAGTGAAATTCTGGTTACGAGAAATATTCGTGAATGCCACTTTCTTCGTAAAAACCGCGTAAGTAGGATTTACGTACAAATCTGTTCCTAAGAACCGTTCGTGAATGAGGCCCAATAACTCTAAGAAGATTTTAACTAGAGAGGCTCAAGAATTCAGTCACCTTTGGGTAATGGAAGCCAAGTATATAAAGAATTCAATGCAAAGTCGATCACATGTCACAAGAGGCAAATGAGCTGCACCGGACTCCAATGACAGCCAGGCTGTTTGGAGTTTCCCTTTACAGAATAACAGAGAGTGTATTTCAGCTCCAGTTTAGTTTTATGCTCCGTCTGTTTCATCTCATCAGTGTCCAAATTCAGAATTACCCATGGAGTCTTGAGATTGCCAGTCGGGACATATGGGACAGAGAAGAGTTTTTCTCTACAAAAGCTTACAGGCTGTCACATGGGCTGGGTCTAGTCAAATTACATCAGGAAGGTTAGCAAACAACACTGGGGAAATTAGGCACGTTAAACCATCAATCTGGTTAACATAATCTCGTGGTATTAATCAAAATATAGAATTTACTTTCAGAGCGATGCCAGATGTATCTGCATTTGAAATGTTAATAGAGCATGTCTGATGAGTCAAACTGGTTTGGTGAGAGGGCTCCTTCAGTCACATAACTTTTGCAACAAGTTTGCGTTTCAAAACAGCAGCTGCCAGGAATAAAGCTCTCCATTATTTCACCTCATCTGATAAAAAACATTACTATGCAAAGCAGGTTATTGTTCCTCTTTCTCTAGAGATGGCAATTTAAAGTGAATTTATTTGTAAGATATTTTCTTAGTAATTGCAGATTACAACATAAAGGTTTGAAGTAGTAAGCCATGATTCGAATCATTTGTATCGTAATAAATGAAAATATAAACGTATGAGTTGATTTTCATCTACTTTCACTTTTGGCATCTAGTCCTTTTGCCACCTCTGCCAGCTAAGTAGTGACGGAGGTAATTATTTAAATAAACTGTAATATTGTCCTTTTGAAGTCAACAGGCACAACAGGGCTATTGTGAACATGCTGCGCGCCCATGGGTTAATGAGAGCAGTATTACAGGTGTGACTCTCGTGAGCACTGATTAGGCCTGCGTTGCACCTGCGAGCACCTGCGCAGACCTCATTAAGCCCGGCCGTGAGAAGTGAGACGGGACCGGGCTTTTGGCAACTCACGCTGTGGGTGTTGGCATCTAACTTGGCTTCGTATCCATGCAGAGCGTTGCAGGAGCCGCTTTGGTCTGTGCTTCTTCGCCGAATCGTGTGTCTGGAGGATGCAGGGGCCAGCAAGCCCGGCAGAGACCTCTTGACGATGTCCAAGGCTTTCCCCACAACGTTTGAACTCCTCTCGAAGCGCGAGCTACCGGCGGCACGCGGGTCCTGCAGAAAATCTGACCCAGCTGCAAAAGTGCACAGGGATAACGCCACGAAACACCACAGCACAAGTCCCATCCTGGGTTTGGAGACTGCAGCGAACCCAAAGGCGCGAGTGTCTTTGTTTACCCTGGGATGATGTTTAAGTGAAGGTCGCTATTGCTCCACTACAGCGGCTGGCATCAAAACAGTACCGCACCTGACAGGGACTATATCTGGCTCTTAAAACCACCAGTCTGCTCTACGCACCGCCACCGTGTCCCTCCGCAATAAAAACAAACGGCCCCAATTAAGCCGCGATTTCTTCAAATTTTGCGCACCAATATTAAGCGTTGTTAGTCTCCGGTCAACCTGAGCCACTGTAGCTATCGCTCAAGATGTCTCTGAGTTGTTGTGGCAAAGTTTGATGCGATTGGTCAACTTTCCCTTATGTCCACCTCCACGTTGTTGTGTGTGGTTGCAGTCTCAAAGAGGCGGGACCAACCTGAATAATTAGCTGTCAAAGCAGATCCAAGGTTGGTTGAGTAATACTACAGAAAAGTCAATAGGACATTTTAGAAATTCACTGGAAAGCTTAAGTTCACAAGGGATAGTTGATAAAAATGTAAAAATGCTATCTCCAAACAAAAGATAACTCAAATAAAATGCATTTGAACAGTTTTCTCGTTTCACTTCCTCTAAATCAGTATTTTTTTTTTTTCGCAGCTCTGTGTTTAACACATGGATCTGGTTTAACACTGCTTTTATCTTATAGAAAATGTTACGTCGTGGCCTGATTTCTTCACAAAATTGTAAACAAAAATGCATTTGACACAACTCAAGCTTTGAATCAAACTTATTCTCCATGTATTTGTTTCTCTTTTTCCATTCGAAGGATTTTCTTTTAAAATACTATGATTTTCACCATCACGAAACCCATCAAATGGGTTTGATCTTTTAAGTTGTCTATGTGAGTGCGCTTCATCTCCAACTTGTGGCTCTAGCATGTCCTGGAGGTGGACATTTTCTTTGAATTATGCATATCATTTAGGAAAATGGTATGCTTAACTGTAATTTAAGCATACCATATTTTTTTGTTCATTTTTTTTTTTCATACAGCTTTTTTACTTATCTATTCAGCTCCCACCTGATGACATTATTGTCTCTGTGCTTCTGTGTGGTTTCTAAAATGTTCCATAAAGTGTATTGGAAAATAAACACCAAAGCATGGGTTTACCTGATAAATAAGACATGAAAGTATTATTTATGATAAAATGTGTTTCATGTGATTTTTGTCAGAAATAAGGAAACATCATCATTGAGAAACAATGCTTTTGTCTTGACATGAATGCTCAGTTTGTTGAAATGACGCCACAGATGTTTTATGGCATTGGGATTAAACATCTGGGTTTGTGAGCCACTGGATTACCATGTTTGAATAATCTGTCCACTGCCCTCAGCAACAACAGCCAAGAACATTGTTCAACATAACTATAAATAGATCGGATTTAAAACGTATTAAATTGGAGGAAGTTGTTTTAACAAACTACACATTTATGGAAACTCAACGGGTCACAGCACATACAATGTTCAACTTGGATTGATTGGCATGTCAATGTATACTTTCTGATGATGACTTGTTATTGTTTATCAAATGTGTGCATATGAGAGAATGGTGGATTGTCTGAGTACTGGTCATGTGAGAAAAAGCTCCAAAGCTCTCAGAATAGAAATGCAATATTCTAAAGTAAAACTTATATTATTCCATATATTGAAATTGTCTGTACCACAAACAACACACCCAATCACCAACCTTCACTATGACACTATAATTACCTTTTAAAGGCTGGTCAACAAACTACCAAAACATCATACCAGAGCTAAAAGACAAAATGTGGCTCAACAAGTTCAACCAGTATCAATAGATTACCCATTCCTTCCCCTTAAGCCTGTTGCTTCTTCAACTATCACCAAAGTGCCTGTTATATTATCTGTTTCGGATAATAAGGATTTAGTTTGAGCAGAAAACAGAGATGATGTGTAGAGAAATTCCTCTACAAAAGGACTGTACATGGCCCCTCCCCCATGGCGGCCCGGGACAATGTTATAAAAGGTGGGGAACAAAGCCACTCTTATGCCTTGGAGAGATGTTGGCTGCGAGTAAACTGGCTTCTTCCTGTCACACCACATTCTATAATTTAATCAAATTTATTAGATGCATTTTCTAAACCTATGTATATCTCGAGACAAAATATTCACAACCTGCATTCAGCAGCAGATATTTGGATACATGGTTTGACTGAGGCTACTTAGATAAAAGTGCAACCTCTAGTGGAAAAACAGGGCATTGATGCAGTTGTGCTCACTCTACGGACTTTGGAGAGTTTTCCTCTCTATAAACCTGGCGTGTACTTGTCTTAAATAAGGACTTCTGCTCGTTTCTATCAAAATGTACACAAATGTAGTGTCTTATGGGACATATGAAAAAAAAACCGACATCAATGGTTCTATCAGGTGTCCCAAACAGCTTAGTTTGATGCAAACTACTCGTCTATTATGAGTTTTAAAAATTCATAAAAAGGAAATGGTTTGTATATTGCTGAAGAAACAACTGATATAAGTCTTGATTAACATCTCACAGCCGCACAACAAATATCACTGTTCTGCTTAAATGCATGTACGTGAAAACTCTAGAACAAACGGGTCAGAGCCAAAAAGTAGCGACATGGATTTTATTAATAGACAGTGCATATTACACCGTTCATTTAGTTGTAGTTTGAAAGTTGTTACCCCTGCAAATGAAAATACCCTGTTGCGTGCTTTTATTAGTAATACATTTACTGGTATATTTTTTATCATTCATTATGCAATGTCCATGTACTTGTATTTGCTTGTTCTCATTATTTCAAGATCTATTATTATTATTATTTTATTACTTTCGCTTTCTTCCGGGCGCAGCAGCGCCCCCAGTGGCTGTTCGCAGGTCACGTGTCAGTGCGTCGCTGCGGTGAGTTGTGGAAAAGTTGCAGAAACTCGAAGAGACTCGAAAAGAAACGCAGGAAAATCACAAGAACGCCGCTGATATCTGTGTCCTGAACTCTCCCGCTCTTCTCATGGATTCCATGACACAGGTAACACTCTCCACAACTTTACAAAACATGCGTCAATGGCGCCTGTTACTTCGTGGCAGCACTACACCCCTATTTGCAAACAACTCCAACCATCTGCTGCTGTAAACTGATTTATGTATCTTTATTTCAACAGAAAGTGTTATCTTCCGGGTTCAGCCTTGACTTCGGACCCTTGAAAGAACCTTTAGCCTTCATTCGACTACTTGAATGGGTAAGATTTGTTTTGTTCAGCCACTACTAGTAATACTTGTATGTCGTTGCTTGTTTTAAGAAGCTGTCCCATCCCGTGAGGGATACTCTTGAAATGGATTAGACAATTCCGTCTTGTGACCGAGTTCTCTGCAAGATGCGCCTGGACCGACCGTGAAATCAAACACATTTATCACATTAATCAGATATATGTTTGGCACAGGGAATGCGGATATTGTAACTTGGTTAATGAATGAAAGATATGGTGACCTAATAATGTATATGCAATGTGTTTCTCAATGTGTGGTCCGCCGGCACACTACATAAATACTATTTGTAATTTTAAAGTAAACAATTCTGACAAGACAAGTTTGGTTAAAACGTTAATAGATTACATAGAAATCCAACATTGCAAACTCAACAGATACTTTCGATTGTTCTTTCCCCTTTTCCAACTGAAGCATCATAACTAGCCTTAGTATGTATAAAAGTATAACTCATTCCTTGAATGTTCGATTTATTTGAGAAGAATAAATGTAAACACACAATGGGGGAGACCAAACCAGAGTTTCTCTTCAGTGCGCAGGATCTTGGTAACATCTCTTATCGCTTTCTTTTTACAGATGTCTAACATTCCGTAGCAATAATTTAGTTTAATCATTATTTAAAACTATCAAAAGTATTACTTTAATTCTCAGCATGGGTTAGTAAGTCTTGTTTGAAACTGCATGACGCTCTTCTTGTAAAACTCTCAAAATAGGAAGTATGTATAAGAATGTACACTGTGATATAATGCACTTTCCCTTTAGTTGCATGTTGAACTTGTCTTTATCGGTACACAGGTGTTCTCCATATTTGCCTTTGCCACAATTGGAGGCTACAGCGGCACCACCGGCTTCAACGTTCAGTGCAAGGACCTGAAAACCCAGAACATATCGGCTACATTCAACTATCCATTCAGGTTGGCGGCCTGAATGTTTTAAAAATGCATATTAAATTCTCCATGAGATATATTTGACTTTGTCCCAGCGAGTAATTATTGACATTTCACACCATAAACAAACAGTGCAATGCAGCCAACATCAGGCAAGGCAAGTTTATTTGTATAGCACGCTTTATGCACAAATGAATAATTGCACAACATACATTTAAGTAAAGATCACATGCGTTGTGCACACGGCTAAACAGTAAGTAAACAGACCTGTTTTTACAATTAAACATAATTGTTCAGTCATTTATCATGCTTCTGTGAACACGTTACAACTGATCTAAACTGATCTCTTGGAAATGTGTAATTATTTTGGACACTTGATAATAATGATATAATGATAAAAAGCTGGCTCATGCAAACAAATTGGATATAAATATTTTGATTTGTTGATCTGCTTTTTTTGTAAAGGTTGGCACAGCATCCTTACCAGGTATCTGATTGTGGGCCCAATGGGACTGTTGCACCGTTCTTCCTGACTGGAGATCATGCCTCTTCTGCTGAGTTCTTTGTGTGCGTGGGAGTGTTCTGCTTCCTGTACAGCACTGCTACGCTCATCCTGTATTTGGGCTACCAGCACGTGTACAGAGAGTCTGGCCGCGCCCCAGTTTTGGTATGTTCCTTCTCTAAAAGAATACTTTGGCTCACTGTGTTTATAACACAAGTTGAATTACTTCGGAGGATTTATAAATGGATGTATTGGTTTAGATCGATATTGTATGGGAGTGCAAAAGATGTCTCGCCACAAACTGCTCCAATTCTCAGGCTCATGTCCGCGGGAACAACAGACATTCTTTTATTGGTAGACAGACTACCAATAAAATAAATGACTCAATAGTGTTTGACTTGAATCGAGCTAATGGTTTACTGAAAGCAACGTGGATATTATGGCTGGAAAACGTGTATTGCTATTCTAGTTATACTTTCATTCAATTACATTTAAATTCAAATTGTTTACGTATAGCAATCACAACAGCAGTCGTCTGAAGACTTTGCACTTATACTGCACTATACTTTGTACTTGTACTATAGAAGTATACTATAAGTATTTTTTGTGATCAAATGTTTATTGGATTGTACTTTTCATCTTACATGTTGCAGACGTATTCATTCTATAGAATATCTATAGGTGAAAGTTGCGTACTTAAAGGTGCATTTATCAAATCTCCTGGTGGCAGACCCTCTTTTTTTTCTCTGGTTCATCTAAATGTTTAACCTGGATATTTATACAGTTCGTCATTAAACTTTCCTTTTACATTGAAAACAATCTTACATCAAAATAATGTATTAGGTTAGAAATGATCTATGTTGGTGTGCAATTGATGCTGCTTACTGTGAGGGAGTTGCAGTGGTGTGTTAATGGGCGTGTGACTTTGAGCAACTGTGAAAATTGAATTGAATGTTCTTTGAACCAGGACCTGCTGCTGACCGCACTGCTGGCCTTCCTGTGGCTGACCTCTGCCTCTGCCTGGGCCAAAGGTCTGACTGATGTGAAGACGGCCACCAGCCCCACGGCCATCATATCTTTATTGGATGTTTGCAAAAGTGCCAACTGCACTCCTGGGGTTCTGCCACACATGGGACGCCTCAACGCCTCAGTTGTACGTGATCTAGAATTAAAATATAGTTTTTTGGGAAAAAGTCACAAACTATTCAGACTTACTAATGTCGAAAAACATGTTAAGATATAAATCTAATTCAATTGTTAAACAAATCTCAACACGCTAAACAGCAAAAGACTATATACTCGTTTCAATTTTCTTAAGAAATGTGAAAAGTGGTTTTGCAGCCAAACTGTTGTGAGTTAGAAACTAGTTATTGGATTTTTTTCCTCCATTATATGTGGTTTGAATTGGGTACACCCATTTTAAGCTATCTATTTAGTCTGGAGAAAAGCATTTCTTAATGTTATTCCATAAGCTTGTTATGTACGAGTGGTTCAAGAGTCTTGCTTGCGGATGCCTCGAGTCACTTATTGGGGTTGGCCTTAATCTTCTTTTTGTCTTTGATTTTAGATTTTTGGCTTCCTGAACATGATCTTGTGGGGCGGAAACTGCTGGTTCATTTATAAGGAGACCTCATTCCACAAAGAACCAACTCAGCCTGATGCGGAGGCAGGACCCGGGCCGTCTTAACTGCCTGAAAGTGTAACTGAGAAATCCCGCCTTTGACACGCTTCTCTCCCTTCATTAGATCTGTTTGTTTGATACATTTCATAAATACTAAAGCAGGAACTCATTTGGATATGGATATTTGGTTTCCACTGGTATTTGAAAACCTGGAAATGTGTAGAAATCTGTCCCGCAATTTCATGGGACTTAGTAAAATGTTGGTATTACGTCTCTAGCTGAGGAAAATGTTGAAACTTGTGTTCATGTTTCTTTATTCAAATTTGCAATTAAGTGTCACATTAAGGTTAGAGCATGTGGCGGGACTAAATACCAAGATTTTAGAAAGTCCTGCCATTTAATATATTTGGTTTGTTTTATATTTCCATTGAATTTGTGTTAACAATCATCTTAAAAAAAACATTTTTGGTGTTAGATTAGACAGTTCATGAGCACCATGAATTTATTTTGCACATATTCCAAAGTTGTGCTCTTGGGTTTTTTAAAGTAAAAACTGTAAAGTTATGAAGAATTTGTTTATCTAATAAGTTTTAGTTTGCTGTTGGTGTTAATAATAAGAGAAACCTAATGCCTATTGTCATATTGTGTGTTTCATGTGCCTTCTCCAAATAAGTCATTCAGTAAAACATGTTCTACTCTTAAGCACAAATTGTTGCCTGTAAAACTGTTTCGATTCAAATGGGGCTTTAAGAAACTATCACTACTGGGGAATGTAGTGCGGATGAGAGATAAGAATACTTATCTACTTGTCACATCTATTTTCACAAAGTTACAATAGATCTAGAACATATAAGAACTGTATTACAGTAATAATAAGAGACAGGCAATGTGCCAATTTGAGATTATATAGGTGTTTTATTTAAGTATTGTGCCTTATTTTGTGTGTTTTGTGTTTGCACAGTGAACTTAAGTGTTTTATTGGTTCAGTAGGAAACATTTTCAGAAGAACGTTTGGGTGGCCAGACCTTAATTTAACAGGTGACTAACTTCAAACTACTACTTTAATGCATTGTTAATAGTTCTTTGTCTGGCTTCTACCTCCACTTTGTTATAAGGGAAGGCAATCTGTGTTGGTCTAATATTTGATCTGAACTTGACGGTTGGTCATGATGTTTTTGTCAAAGAAATATGCTGTTGTGCTGCAAAATGTTGAGCAACATTAAAATTGGATAACTTCTCTCTGAACATTATTCATGCATTAAATCGGGAATCTGACATGATACAATCAATCAATGGGCTCTGTTCAATGTGAGACTGCCTCTATTTCTAAAAAGTTGGGTACTCCAGTTTTAAAGATGGAGTACCCAATTTTTTGTGACCAGATCAAATCACAACGTAGTCTTGATCTCATTACAAACACGTTCTAGCTATCACAAACTGAGAGCTTATTTGCCGAGAGAGGGCTGTTACTTTTTCTTTTGAATAAAAAAACTGATCTAAAGACACTGTCCAAATACATCCATGTGAAAGCTAGTAATGGCTCTCAAATCAGTTTGATTTTTAGGAATGGTTACAAAGTTAAATTAATCAAAATTGCGTTTTCAAAGTTGGGTAATCTGTCTTTAATTTCTCCCAAACATTTGTGCTTATGCACTAGTTGATTACTTCAGTAAGAAGTGATAAACTAATTTTAGACAAAATATCAGTTATTCTGCCTGAAAATGATGCGGGGGTTTGAGATGTGCACAGGTAATATAAAATAAAATAAAAATTGAACCACCAACTCTACATTTTCAATTGTAGTTTTACGTTTTCCCTTCCTTGGGTATGTCTAGTTTTTCGTGTTGGAATTATCGTGACCTCTTTAACAACAGTATTGTACACTACACACATGTTGACTGTTGAGTACAGTACACACTATACATCAGGGCAGATGTTGTGGTTGTTATGCACACACGCGGCCACACGGGGGCCCCCCAGAGCGCTCCAGTAGCAATGGCCGCCGTGGATCGGCGGATGCCTTGTCTCGATGATTTTGTCGGATTAAACTGGAGTTGTTGGGTCGACACAGTGAATAATGGATCTTCGGACGGTGAGTCACATGCACTCATCTCCCTGTGGCCCATGTTTTGGATTAAAACCACTTCCTATGCATTTATTTTCTCTCTTAAACGCGTGAGGATCGACTCAAAACGCGACCCAAACAAAAGATCTGCTGGGTCCTAGCGCAGAGGTAGTTCATCAACATCCTCACGTGAAACTCGTATTATAAGTGTCATGATGGTGTGGAGCCATACTCACACTAAAACAGAACAATTCCTGCTTAGTCTGATGCCAGTAGTTTACGGTCTAGTGTTGGCGACAGTTCGCAGTGAGACTGTGCCACAACATCAGCAGCATGCGGACCAAGACCAGGCACTGCACTCCCAAATGTGACACACTTATGAGTTTCCGACGGATGTACAGGTTTAGTTTGCATATTCTTTTGATTCATTAAGTGACTGTAGATTGACATGTAGGATTCAAGGTAAACTGCTTTACACATAATACAATTTCTTTTCTGCTTGTTCAAAATAATCCGACAATAAGTCACATAACTGCTATGTGTAATTTTTCATTCTCTTTTTGTTGTTATTATTTCTATGTCTACATGATGTTATACGTATTGTGTTGGTACTTAAAGTCTCTCCAGCTCACAGTCTGTGTCTGCTCTTTTGTTCTTAGCCCAGTCTGAAGACACCAAATCTGGGAGGGGCTCTTGTGAGACCATGACCCTCAGGAAAGAAGGTGAAAACAAACCTCTGTTCTTCACCCAATCCAGTGAAAATATGAATCATCACGTTGTTCCTGTTTTGTGTTCCTGTTCCTCAGACATGCCTATTTACGGCCACTGTCCGGCTCAAGATAACTTCTATCTGGTGGTGTGCAGCCACTGTGGGAAGCTGGTGAAACCTCAGGCCTTTGAAGAGCACTACGATCAAAGACACCACTCACTCTCTAAAACCTGTGTCCTGCCCAGCTCCACTCCCTTGCAGCAGCCATGCACCTCTCGCCCCTCCCAAACTGTGACCAAAGAGAGACCGAGAGACAGTAGGGGGTCCTCCTCGTCCCAGCGCAGACCCAGCAAACCTGTGAAAGGGACATCAAGGTAAGAGTGGTGTTAGAAAATAATTTACTTTAGTTATCTCTGTCAATCATTAAAACAGACTGAAAGTAGTGTCATTATCATCTATAACCAAGTCACAGGCAGGTTCAACCCATAAAGAAAAATTAACATAAATCACAATTCAAAAGCTTTTTATAAATTAAAGCTGGGGTACTTAACTCTTTGTTTACATTACTGTAGTTTTACTTATTGACAGCATAATTATTTAGATATGGGTTAATACTAGCAATAAGAGTGACTGTAGATTTTTAATAGTATTTATTGATGCACATGTAAGTGATGCATTTTTTTTTTCTCTTCCTCTTTTTTCCAGTTTACCGACTGAGGGCAAAACTATTCAGGGAAGAATTATTCAGGACAAATCACAGCCAGCCTTGTCACCGCGTCCCAAAAGTCAACCACAGCCCCCAGTGGCCCCAGTCCAAAACCACCCATCTTCCTCCTCTTCATCACCCAGCCCATCCTCCATGAAGCCCCCTGGTCCCAAGCCCACCCCTGCTCAAACCCACAGCCCCCAGCGTCATTCACGTGCTTACACCCACAACACACTCCGAAACAGCAACAGTAAAACGTCAATAAACAAAAAGTGTGAAGATCAAGACAAGATGAAGCCAAGTCCTCAGCAGCCCATACAAACTGTGAGGATAAACACGTACATTGCGTCTCGTTTGGGTTTGTTCTTATGTAGTTTTGTGTTTCAGGAGGACTTGATTCGACAGCAAAAGAGCACTGATTCTGACCTTGCCCCCGTGGCTTCTTTAAATCGAGATTCAGACCCCAAAGTGAAAACCGAAAGCACAGACTTACAGAGTGACCCCAAAGAAAATTCAAGTCGGTGCAGTCAATTAACCCTAAACGCCAACAGCCACACTTCCAGGTAAGAATCATTTTTTCCTTCAATCTGGAACCCCCAAAGTGTGAGATATGAACTTGTCCCCACTATTCAACATTATTTAAATCAATAATCACAAGAAAATCAATTGTAATGTTGTTTGTTTGAGTTATAATTTACAGTATATGTCATTATTTAATTTGTGAATGAATTATAGTTGTAACATAATTAATGCTGTAAAATGGACCCTAAATATTTATTTTTTATGTTTTCTTATAATCCTTTCACTACCCTCCAGCTTAGTGTCCCCTCCCCTCTTTTTGAGAAGCACTGGATTATTCGCAACTATGAGTTTATTAAGTGTTTACACAGACAAGAAAACCCTGAAATAAGAAGATGGTTTTAAAGGCTAAATAAGTGAGAACCTAATAGGAAGCACACAAAACAATGTATCGCTAATACATAGAAAATTAACCAATATCGTGATGCTTTATACATTTTTTAGCTGAAGAATTCTTTAACTGTGCCCCAAGCAAAACCGTCTAGGGTTGCAAGAGCGATGTGGACAACTTATACAACTTGACTTTGAGTTCAAGTTGAGTTAACTTTCAAACTTTCAGATGGAGGACAGTGGCCAATAACTCTATGGGAGGAACACATTTTATGGAGTCTCCAAAATAAAAATTTCCTGAGTGTTCAACATCATTGTTTTGTTTGGAATCGGGTGCACTTCCCAGTCATCTTCATATGATGTTTGGTGACATTTTGCACAATTGCCTCTCCTGACTGTTTTTTATTATTATTTTTTAATCTCTCAAAGGCTCCCTCAGGATCCTTCAGAAACCTTTCCCATTGAGGAGAGCCCTGTAGAAGGGCAGCCTCCGTATCCCTTCAACCAGAGCCTTCCATCCAGCGACAGCAGCGACCATAAAGAGGAGTACACTGATGTCTCCTCCACACCCTGGCATCCCAAACCTCTGGGGGTATGCGCCGTTACAAACACGAACATTCATTACAATAATGAACTGTATATACCGACACATGTTTTCTGTGTAGATGTGCACTTTCGGGTGCCGTGCATTTGGCTGCAGTGTCTTCACATTCGACCGGAGGCTGCACCACTTGCGGATAGCGCTCAGTGCCATGTTGGAGGACCATGTGAACTCGCACTTGTGGAAGTAAGAAGCTTTAAGTCAGGATGCGGCCTCTGAATCAGACATTCCTAAAATAGATGCTAAGGGCTAATCCACTACAAAGAACTAACACTGGGTTTAGCGAACACAGATTAGTGAACTTTTACATTGAGAGTCTATGTAATGAGTGTATGAGTTCTAAACCGCAGTAGTCTATCTTTTTAATTTATTATGCAACTATTTATTATTATTATTATTATTAAGGTTCTGGAATGTTCTACAGAATTGATTTCCTCACGTGATTAAATATTATGATTCACCATGATTCACCAAATATTATGATTTACCATAATTTAATATGAACCTATCATCCATCCAGGCAAATACCACTTCAAATTCATCCAAATTCTTTGTCGTCAGAGTACTTTTCCCAAAAAAGCGCAGTACACATATTTTACCTTTACTGCAACATATTACACATTATATACAGTTGTCATTTTCACACACATCAACTTCTTTTGATGCTGGGTTGTGACACCTGAACATTAAAAGTGTGCCTCAGCCGGGGACAAGAAGGAGAAAACCCTTGAAAAAACCCTGACCCAACAATGACATCTTAGTTGAGATATTGAGGTGTTGGACCATCTCCTCTAAGACGTATGAATATTTTATTAATTGTTCCTCAATGATAATTCATGTCTTTTTCTTTAGGAAAATTCCTCAAACTGCCTCTCACCTCAAGTCCCCTCATGTTACACCTCCAGCACAAGGGCTACAGGTCCGTATAGGAGCTAAATCCAATCCAACTGGTCCATTGAATGTGAAATCTACCTCACTTGAGAGATTAAAAAATGCTCACAATAACTCTAAAAGAACCAAGTTGGCCCCGTCTGCCTCCTCTGCGAGCCTGGGTCAGCAGTCCTCTGTTGGACAGACCAGTAAAGCTCATATCGGACAAAAGCAGCTTATGCAAAACACAAAAACTCAAAAACCCACTTCATTAACTCACACCAAGCTCTCCAAGCACATAGCCCCACCTAATTTACTTGCCCCTGATTCATTATCCAAAAAAACCCCACAAATATCACCTCTACGCCCCTCCGAGAGAAACGGGCCTCTTTCAAACGAATCGCTGCCACCGAACCCATGCCCTCCGCGCAGCAAAGGGCGAGCTCCTGGGACCATTCCTTCCAGAGCAGGGATTTGTGATGACAGGGCTCTTGTGCAGAAGAGAAAACCTCAGTCCAGCGTGCCCCCCACCAGCTCCTCGCCGTCCAAGAAGTGTGTGCGGCTGTCGCCTCCGTCTCGCTCCAGCCTTTTCTCCTGGAAGAGGGACAGTACGCAGGATGTCTGGCTCGGAGTGTGGAGGAAAGAGCACACATCTGAAGGTGATTCTAGCTGTTTTACTAAGATTTATCAATGTGTTACAAATGGCACCTCTCTCCAGCCAGCCTCTGCATCGCTGCATGATAATACATTATTCTAGCAAAGAATTGCAAGATGTTAAAATCACATTCAATTGATTAATGTATATATATTATTATATATCTATTATTATTATTTTATATTTCTTCCATTTCTCTGCAGATGACGCTTCAGGCCAGTATTAGGTGACACACAAGGAAGAACCTAACAGTGTGAGTGTGTGAATGTGTGTTCAACAGTGTTTTTAAACATATCTGTATTATTGTGTACTGTATTTGTAAATATTTGAAGTTTTTAATTGTCTTTTTTACTAAATGATTTTATGTCTGTGAAACAAACAAGTAAACAAAGCACCTCCATGTATTAATTATGCTGCTAAACAAACGGGAACAAAACAATAAAATGGAAGTGAGTTTTTAATTTTCTGTGCAATGGTTTTACTTTTCAGCCTCTAGGGGGAGTACTTTCCCAACTCTTAGATCAGCAATTGGGCGTCTTTGAACTGACATTATCCATCATATCTTTATTTAGTACAACAAAAATGAATCACTGGTTTCTTTTTTTCTAAAGACACAACCTTCAAATAATGTGTAAATATTGTGTATTTGGTATTGATTCCACACGATGGCGCCACAACTGTAGGTAAAGCCCTTAATCCAGAATCCCTCAACAGCAGCAGGGATGTTTTACTTTAGTATAAGCATTTTGTTGATCCAGCCCAGAGCTACAATAAATGTTATGTGCAAAATGTTTAAGCGTAACTGAAAGAAAGACGATGAGATAACAAGTGTAATACTACATTTTTATTATTAAGTCTATGGTTATTGAAGTTCTCCAATGCCTACTGGGTTGCATCGATCCTGCAGTCACACAAGTTAACCATGCAAAGCCATTCCTCTTCAGTTTAGGGTCCATCTGAGACAGAGGCCGACATGCTCATGTCTCTGTGGAAATAGACAATACCTCTGCACTTTAACACGTCATGTTTTCAGATAATTATAATGTACTTGAGCAACAAATTCACATGTTCTGGACTCCAAATTATACTTGGATTTAAAAATGCCCCTGGCAGAACTAGGCACATTTAGTCAGAAACGAATGAATGCCTGAGAAGGTTTAATAATCCAGTTTTATCCAAATATAAGAAATATGCAATTTAAAAACTGTATAATCAGTTTATCACAAAATTGGTTATATTCAAATGCAAATTCTCACTAATTGCTGAGATCCACACGAGGAATTCTAATATTTTACTTCACAATGACCCTGATGTGACCTGTCAAAGCCATAAAGGGCTCTGCTTTTCCTAAGTTATTATGGCTTTTCGAGTCCAGTTCTGAGTTTGACTGAAAGTAAGTGGTGGCTACATATTCACAGCCCATTTCAGATAACATCTTCTGATACATGCTCCTTTCATTTTCCATTTTTGCAAAATACGTCTCTATAAAAACTAACCCCTGTCAACTCCACTTAAAAAATAAAAGTTTATGTCAAGACTTTTGAAACATACTGTATCAGAGCAGCAGACAAGATGCCAAAGACATGAGATTACACAAGAAATACACGTTACAGAAAGAACATATTTTTACACAACCAATTAATAATACAGAAAGTGGCTTACATATTTACTGTACATATATAGTGTTTATGTAAAGGAAGGCAGATCTGCTTTGGAGAGCTCAAAGCTAAAACATGTTGTGATGCGAGAAAAACAGCACTTAAGAGACAACTGTACAATATCATATTAATAAGACCATGAATTAATTGATTTTGGCAGATCTTTTCCAACTTGAAGCAACATGAGTCATTTGATAGTTTAGATTTGGAGCATGAAAATTACAGGACACTTTTATCACATATTTTCCTTGTTCCAAATGTCAAATTATAGCCTTCTAAAATCAGCCTGGTTGATGCTGATTTAGAAACATTTTAATTTTGCAGCAAAAAATAAGTTGAGGAATTACTCCTACTCCGAGGCAGGCTATTGACAGCTACTCCTGCATTTAGGATTGGTTTATTAAAGTGTGTCTGGTGGTATTTCTACTGGTGCCTGTCTATAAATCTCCACCTGGTCTATTCCTATGTGAGTGATTCAGATGGCTCCGCTCTGGATAAGTGTGACTTCCTGTTCCTCACCCACACAAAAGATGCTGCGGTGGAGCACACAGCAACAGACAGCGGCCAATTACACACACAAAAATAGTCTGGGTGTGTGTAAATGTCTTTCAGTCTGACATTTAGAAGTCTTATTATTATTACCCCCTTGGACTGCCACCTTAACGTGGTGGGGGAGTTTGAGCACTCGGATGATCCTGGGAGCTATGCTGTCTGGGGCTTCATGCCCCTGGTAGGGTCTCCCATGGCAGACAGGTCTCAAGTGACGAGTCAGACGAAGTGCAGTCCGAAGCCAACCATGGACAGCACGATAACGAAAACCGTGACGTCGCCCGGCATGGCGCAGCCGGGGCCCCACCCTGGAGCCAGGCCTGGGGTCGGGGCTCGCAAGCGAGCGCCTGGTGGCCGGGCCTTAGCCCACGGGGCCCGGCCGGGCTCAGCCCGAAGGGACGACGTGGGCAGTCCCTCCTGTGGGCCCACCACCTGCAGAGGGGTCCGTGGTGGCGTGGTGCAGCGAGGACTGGGTAGCAGTCGAAGGCGGAGACCTCGACGACCCAGTCCACACACCCAACATCTGGCTCTTGGGACGTGGAACGTCACCTCACTGGGGGGGAAGGAGCCCGAGCTTGTGGGGGAGGTTGAGCGATACCGACTAGAGATAGTCGGCCTCACCTCCACACACAGCTTGGGCTCTGGAACCCAACTTCTTGAGAGGGGTTGGACGCTCCACTTTTCTGGAGTTTCCCGCGGGGAGAGGCGGCGAGCGGGGGTGGCCATACTCATTGCCCCCCATCTCAGCCGCCACGTGTTGGAGTTCTCCCCGGTGAATGAGAGGGTCGCGTCCCTCCGCCTCCGGGTGGGGGACAAGTCTCTGACTGTTGTGACGGCCTACGGGCCTAACAGTAGTGCAGAGTACCCGGCCTTCTTGGAGTCCTTGGGAGGGGTACTGGATAGTGCACCGCCCGGGGACTCCGTTATTCTCCTGGGGGACTTCAACGCCCATGTGGGAAATGCCAGTGACACTTGGAGAGGGGTGATCGGGAAGAACGGCCCCCCTGATCTGAACCCGAGCGGTGTTCAGTTGTTGGACTTCTGTGCCAGTCACGGCCTGTCCATCACGAACACCATGTTCGAGCACAAGGGTGTCCATCAGTGCACGTGGCACCAGGACACCCTAGGCCGGAGGTCGATGATCGACTTTGTTGTCGTATCATCTGACCTTCGACCGCGTGTCTCGGACACTCGGGTGAAGAGAGGGGCGGAGCTGTCAACCGATCATCACCTGGTCGTGAGTTGGATCCGCTGGCAGGGGAAGAAGCCGGTCAGACCTGGCAGACCCAAGCGTGTAGTGAGGGTTTGCTGGGAACGTCTTGCTGAGCCCCCTGTCAGACGGACTTTCAACTCACACCTCCGGGAGAGCTTCTCCCAGGTCCCGGCGGAGGAGGGGGACATCGAGTCCGAGTGGACCATGTTCTCTTCCTCTATCGCCAATGCTGCGGCTCGTAGCTGTGGTCGCAAGGTCTCTGGTGCTGGTCCCGGCGGCAATCCCCGAACCCGGTGGTGGACACCGGCAGTAAGAGATGCCGTCAGGCTGAAGAAGGAGTCCTATCGAGCAATGATGGTTCGTGGGACTCCTGAGGCAGCTGTCCAGTACCGGCAGGCCAAACGTGCCGCGGCCCGGGCTGTTGCAGAGGCAAAAACCCGGGACTGGGAGGAGTTCGGAGAGTCCATGGAGCATGACTATCGGTCGGCCTCGAAGAGGTTCTGGCAAACCGTCCGGCGCCTCAGGAGGGGAAAGCAGTTCTTTGCCAACACCGTGTATGGTGCGGGTGGAGGGCTGCTGACCTCGACTGGGGATATTGTCGGGCGGTGGAAAGAATACTTCGAGGTTCTCCTCAATCCCCCCGCCACGTCCTCCGTCCAGGAGGCAGAGGCTGAGGATGTTGGGGCGGACACTTCTATCTCCCTGGCCGAGGTCACCAAGGTGGTTGGCAGCCTCCATGGTGGCAAGGCGCCGGGAGTGGATGAGATCCGTCCTGACTATCTAAAGTCTCTGGATGTTGTAGGACTGTCTTGGCTGACACGTCTCTGCAGCATCGCGTGGCGATCAGAGGCGGTGCCAATGGAGTGGCAGACCGGGGTGGTGGTCCCTCTCTACAAGAAGGGGGACCGGAGGTTGTGTTCCAATTATCGTGGGATCACACTCCTCAGCCTCCCCGGTAAGGTCTACTCCAAGGTACTGGAGAGGAGGCTACGTCCGATGGTCGAATCTCGGATTCAGGAGGAGCAGTGTGGTTTTCGTCCCGGTCGCGGAACACTGGACCAGCTCTATACTCTCCATCGGATACTCGAGGGTTCATGGGAGTTCGCCCAACCTGTCCACATGTGCTTTGTGGATTTGGAGAAGGCGTTCGACCGTGTTCCCCGGGGTGTCCTTTGGGGGGTCCTCCGGGAGTACGGGGTCCGGGGTCCTCTGCTGAGGGCCGTCCGGTCCCTGTATGACCGGAGTCAGAGCTGTGTTCGCATTGCCGGCAGTAAGTCAGACCTGTTCCCGGTGCATGTTGGCCTCCGCCAAGGCTGCCCTTTGTCACCGGTTCTGTTCACTGTATTTATGGACAGAATTTCTAGGCGCAGCCAGGGGCCGGAGGGGGTCCGGTTCGGGAACCACAGGATTTTATCTCTACTTTTTGCGGATGATGTCGTCCTGCTGGCTCCAACGAACCAGGACCTGCAGCATGCACTGGGACGGTATGCAGCCGAGTGTGAAGCGGCTGGGATGAGAATCAGCACCTCCAAATCCGAGGCCATGGTGCTCGACCGGAAAAAGGTGCCTTGCCCTCTTCAGGTGGGTGGAGAGGTCCTTCCTCAAGTGGAGGAGTTCAAGTATCTCGGGGTCTTGTTCACGAGTGAGGGAAGGATGGAGCGTGAGATTGACAGGCGGATCGGTGCAGCGTGCGCAGTGATGCGGTCTCTGTATCGGACCGTTGTGGTAAAGAGGGAGCTGAGCCGAAAGGCGAAGCTCTCGATTTACCGGTCAATCTTCGTTCCCTCCCTCACCTATGGTCATGAGCTGTGGGTAATGACCGAAAGAACGAGATCGCGGATACAAGCGGTCGAAATGAGCTTCCTCCGCAGAGTGGCTGGGCGCTCCCTTAGAGATAGGGTGAGGAGCTCAGTCACACGGGAGGAGCTCGGAGTAGAGCCGCTGCTACTCCACGTCGAGAGGAACCAGTTGAGGTGGCTCGGGCATCTGTTCAGGATGCCTCCTGGACGCCTTCCTGGGGAGGTGTTCCGGGCACGTCCCACCGGGAGGAGGCCCCGGGGAAGACCCAGGACACGCTGGAGGGACTATGTCCCTCAGCTGGCCTGGGAACGCCTTGGGGTCCCCCCGGACGAGCTGGAGGAAGTGTGTGTGGATAGGGAAGTCTGGGCGTCTCTGCTTAGACTGCTGCCCCCGCGACCCGGCAACGGATAAAGCGGAAGAAAATGGATGGATGGATGGATTATTATTACATAAAGTTAGATTTGAGATTTGTTCTAACCCATTACACAGGCAGTGGGTTACATTGTCTTGTCCCATTAATAGTCCCTGCTTAGGTATAAATATGAACGGTGACTTCCTTGTTTAATAAGTTGTTGTCATATTAGAGTATATATTTAGTGAGTCTGATTTGAGTATTTCATCCTTCTACTTGTTTTTATCATTACCAGCTATAAGCTATTCAGAAGGGTGTCGGTTTGATTTGTGCATTGTTCTTATAATGTCTAATCAACACAGCTATAAGTGACCTGACAAAACTATTGTGTCCTCTACTGCCCCATCAACATCTGTTTCAAATAAATGCCCCCTAATTTCATTCTAATTTATTGTTGCAAAGCTAAAAGACTATTTTGTACATGTGCCCGTACCACCCAAACCGGTCTGTCATTATCTGCTTGGTCTCTGACAGAACAGAAGCACTGAACAAAGCAAACACGTTGGACTGGACCCAGAGGCTATGACTTATTGCTTCAATGACCAGAGATAACGCACATATCTCCACCGTACAGACACAACCTCTGCAGCAGCTTACTCCCATCGCGCATAGCACTGATTATTTCATATAGAAACACATTGAAGTAAAGCAAAAGAAATAAAAATGTGAACAAAAATAATCTACAAGATTTGCAAATTTGTTTACATTTTAGGGAATGTGCAGCAACTTATATCTTCATGTGTCTGTTAAAAAAGACAGAACTTATATTTTGTGCGGCTTAGACAGAGTTCCATGAAAGGTAGTCTAAATAGAACAACACTTTTTTTTAACAAAAACATTCAGTACTAGTACACAGTACTACTGTTATTTTGCATAAAACAACTATAAACTAATGGAAACTTACTGGCCAAAGGGCAAGGCCCCAGAGCACATACAGTATATGGCATAACACAACTTACTAGTGCATATGATAGTTACAGATAAACACAAGACAAGTACGTTTTCCAATACAGGAGGGCCTGCTTTGCTTATGCCAGAAGTCAGAGGAAAATTCCCAGACTGCATCTCTATCCAGCAGCAGAGCAGTGACCAACCATGGCCACTTTATTTGTTACAGTTTATGCAGAGTAAAGTGGAATTAGCTAGTGAATGTTATGTAGTTTTATTACTCAACACAAACCAGATGGCATTATGGCTTGTATGAAACAAATTTACCGTGAATGACGATAGCTCTCATCTAGCCTCATATGCAACTCTCTCCAATGTTTTGGAAAAATGGAGACTGTGAAAGACTAGGAACTATAGTACGCAGTGTGTTTTTCTGGAAGTGGCTGGCCATTGTCCAGGCAGAACAAGACGTAAGGGTCTAGTTGGATAGATTCCAGTCTCAAAAGAGGGAAAGAAGAATGGATATTTCTGTTTTTGATATACCTAAATGCCATTTACCCATAGACTGTACCCACATAAACACAAAACAAATATTTAAATGTGCTACAGTGTCGTGTGAATCTATATTGTTATTGTCATACTTGTGCTACTGATTTCAATATAAATCCTTACGTGAATAAACTAGGTGTACCACTCTATCAAAGATGTCTTAATGGCAGATGTATAGAAGGCTAACTGTGTCTGGCTATCTCCCTCTGGGCTTCTGTGCAGTAAATGTACCAAATGAAGACACGTGCTGTTCTAAGACCTTCATGAATTCAGCCTGATTCTGAATCTGATTTTCTGATTTGTCACCACCTAAACAGTCCTCAACATCTAATCTTCCCAATGCACATTGCCGTTCTTTCACTTCACAGTATGAAAATTAATTGCTACACAATTAAATGCTGGAGAAAAAAAGTCTGATTATTGTTTAAAGTAAGTGTCCCTTATAGGTCCAATTGGATGGGTTACGATACAAAAAATGGTGGAAGTCTTATCCAGTTCAAACCACCATGGGCGTATCTGAGAACACTGAGCTTATAGATTCAGCCACTGACTTCTTTCTCTTGCCTTTCATCAGCGATCCAGCCTCTGCGTCCTGATCTTCCTCCTCATCCTCTTCATCTCCTTTTAGGTTGAGTTTGCCATTTTGCCCCTGGGAATTCTTGGAGTCAATAAATGCCACATGCCGATTTATCTCTGCTTTCAAAGCTGGATCTTCATGGGTTGGCGTAACGCTTAGCATGGAGGAGTGAATGCTGTCTTCACCTCTGCCTTTGCCCTTGTTGGGACAGCAAAAGCAGCGGCATGGCGTAAGATAGAGATACATTAAGACCAAGACGACACTCGCCAGACATCCCACTAAGGTTGTATATGCTGTGTTAAGAGATTCCCCACTTCTGTGCATGGTGAAATTATGCACTTTTAGCACAATATAAATGGTCTCGTTGAATGCCTCACTGGTGGCAAAGCATGTATAGGTCCCAGAATCATCTGTCTTCACTGGGCTGATCTGCAAATTCCCATCATGCACTAGTTTGGCTGTTTGGTTTATCCCTGCCATCACAGGCACGTTCCCAGGCAGTGTCCAAGTCTTCAGCATGTCCCTGTGCTTTGTATCACATCTGAGAAGTAGTACCTGCTCCAAAAACGCCTCTTCATCTTCCTCTTTGAATGTACTGCAGTTCATGTAATCCTTGCTAAGATCAAATGCAGGAACCTGTGTTTTTTGGGGACCAGGTAAGACACATGTATAGTCATCTCTAAAATCGACTGCAGAATTGAGTTTGCGGATGTACCAGTGTGCTAATAGTGTGTAGAGGTCACAACTGCAATGCAACGGGTTATTGTGAAAGTAAAGCCCATTTTTTATATAGGCGGGGAGAATTCTTAGGTCATCGATAGGCAGATGGGCGATTCGATTTGAAGATACGTCCAACAAACTCAGGTTGTCCAAACGTGACTTCTCTCTAATGAGCTCCGAAGGAAACCTAGATATTTGGTTTTGGCTAAGGTAAAGTTTCTGCAAGTTGATCATTGTGATAAAAGCCACACGGTCAATCTGAGATATTCTGTTGTTGTACAAAAGAAGAACCTCTAAGTTCACCAGAGGCTCAAAGACAAATTCATCAAGTTGCCGTAAATAGTTTGAAGACAAATCCAAGTAGCGTAGTTGCTTTACATAAATAAATGCTTCAGATGACAAAAACGTCATTTCATTGTGGCTAGCAAGCAAATTATGGAGATTTGGCAAACGTTCTGGTGTCCATTCTGATTTAAGTCTCCTAAGTTTGTTGTAACTGAGATCCAGAACCACAGTGTAGACGGGGATGTTGAGCGGGACTTCTGTCAGGTTCATCTTGGAGCAGCTGACAATGTTGGAGGCGCAGATGCACGTGTTGTGACATTTCATTGTGGTCGTGTGGGACAGAGGCAGCCACAGCAGAAGGATCCCAACAGAGAGGAGCAGGGACCATCTGGGACAGTGGGGGCGCCACTGAGGCAGTATGTCCAACATGATAGAAACCCCTCTCAGGTTAAAAGGATCCCATTGTTGAAGAGTAGGCTGCAATAAAATAAACAACCAAAATTAATGGTCTAATGTCCAGTACATCCTTTGACATGTAATGATGATTGCTATACAGTTGTACACGGTATGATGTGTGTACAAGATTATATATCTTTGTGGTATTAACCCAATGCCATACATGCTGTTTAGTTGGCAGAGTGAGACAGCACTTATTAATAATGCTTCAGATCTGTGCTCCATCTCTCTACAAACATCCAAATGATAAATACATTAGTGATTGACAAAGTAATACAACCAAAGTAGAACCGCACAGATTGTGTTGAAGAGGTGATGTTTCTATAATTTAGGCAGAATTAAGTTAGTTAATTATGATACCCAACTTCACATACAATAACTTTTGACTAACTGCATCACAAGGGGACTTACAGCTGTACAATACAAATAATTGTAGGTCAGTCATGGTGTGGCCATTTTATATTTAGAAACAAATGATACATATAATGGTTGGAATGGTTGGTGGTGGTCGGAGGGGCCGATGGCACATACTGGTTGCCTCGCTTCTGTCAGTGTGCCCCAAGGCAGCTGTGGCTACAGTAGTAGTTTATCACCACCGTGTATGGAGTGAAAGAATAATGACATGAGAAGCGTCTTTGAGTGTCCAAAAAAGCGCTATATAAAACCGATGCATTATTATTATTATTATTATAGCGCCTTAAATTGAAGGTTGGCCATTATATTATATTATGATGCAGATATAGCTTTCACATGGACAAACTTTCCTCTACGCTACTGCTGTGACCGCGTGTTGTTAAGAGACAAATCCTCTCACCTCCTTAACATTTCCGATCTACAAAACAATGGTTTCCTTACCACAGTATTTTTCCTCGAATAGACGTATAATACACGTATTCTCATATCATTCACACAATGTCCTTGTAGACGCGCTGCTTAGGCACTGCACCACTCTCCCGAACAACATGGAAAACGTGAGTCGAGATGGAGAAGGAAGCAGAAGGAGGCAAAGGCAGCCTTACCTCTGAGCTGAAAAGGATGCCGTGTATTGGGTCGTATCTACTCAGCTCCTTGCGGTTCGTGTCTCCATCCAGTCTCTCTGAGCGTGCAGCAAGTTCTGAAGACAACAGCGAACGGTAAAGGAGAGGAGGGGGGACACTATATAGACCTGGCCCTCGCTAGAATAATCCACGCACCCTTAAATACACGGTCAAAATTACGCAAAAAACATTACGTAAAGAGAAGCGGTCTTTCCCTGGGGCCACGGGCTATGAGCAGGAGCTACGCGGTTGGTTTTAAAAGCGCATGCCTGGTTTTCAGTAAACAAGTGCAGATGCGGATAATTGGCGTCTTTTGAGCCCGGTCTGCGCGCCGCCTGCTCCTGTCTGCGTCCATCGGCGTAATTAGCAGTGACAGCAGAGAGGAGAGGCGCAGTGCAGAGCTGCAGCAGTGAAGGACTGCGATCCACAAGGCGCAGATCGACACTGACACAAGCCCTGACTCAAATGAACCTGATACATACATGCGGATACACTATACCAAATGGCACCAGTGGTCAAGTTCATTAGAGTTTTAATAAGGCAGGTGTGTAATAGCATTTAAATAGTAGTCATTGACGTTACGAGCGGTCATGAGTCGAGGCTAATGCTTCTCATCTTTTGTGAATGTCCTAAGACCAGATGATCCTTTAGAGACTATATAAAAATGTCATGTAAAATGGTGTTGTGTCATACATATGCCATAAGTGCCATATACCTGGCACTTATAATCTATTTGTCTCAAGGCTAAAACAAAGTAAATGACAGACCATCCCACTGCACATTTGGATACCAGTATAATTTCTACCACTGTAAACACAGTTACTTCAAACTGCACTGTTATACAGGTAAAACACAAGATGTAACTATTTAGTTTGAAACAGGAAAGACCTATTACTAATATTATTATTAGTAATCTTGTTTTTTTTTTTTTTTTTTTACCATAGCTATTGCTATTTAAATATGTGTATAACATACAGTCTATGGTATAACATGTACCTTTATTGGATCAATGATATACATGTTTTCTATCCATGTCTATGGAATTACAATCGACCGTTAGCGTGTTGCTGTAATGAGACAAACCTGAGACAATGGTTTGACAACCATTGCATTGCAATGCAAATGATGACATTAGTTCATCATCAAGTCATTTATCAAAGAATGTCATGTTCCAACTCCTTTTATTTTTATACTCATTTGATTTAGTCATTTTGTCATTCACTACTGAGTGTTTCAGTAGCATTTATTTATTGAGTCATTGTGTGGATGTATTAGTCGTAATAATTGTATCACTGCGACAGTTTACAACTAAATATCTGACTCAGTCTGGGAGTTGAAATTCACTCATTGAACATTATAAAAAATATTTCATTTGTATTTGAATTTGTATTGTGAGCATGACCCCTAAATGTTGATTTTATATTAAGATATATGGTCATTGATTTTAGCTCTGCTTTTAGTTGCCTTCTCCCAGTTAAATAGATTTAAAAAACGAATGTCTCTCGGTTTGGGTTATACCATGTGTAAATGGATTTTTAGCTTTTTAACTGACAGATCTCAGAGAATCAAAATCAATGACTGTTTTTCAGATGTTGTTTCTGTGAGCACAGGGTCTTCTCAGGGTTGTATTTTGAGTCCTTTGCTTTTTACATTGTACACTCATGATTCCTCTGACTCTAACTTGATCCTTGGTCTCACCAGTGAAAATGATGAATTACAGAGCAGAAATCCAAAGTGTTGTTCAGTGGAGTGAAGAAAACACACTCTGGCTGAATACATCCAAAAGATGTGAACTTGTCTTTGAATATAGCCGTAACAGTACATGCCGTTTGGTGTTCATAACTCCTGCGTGCAGATTAGAGGAGGCAGGTTTCTGGGTTTAACTCTGTCTAATGACCTGAAATGGGACAAAAACTCTAACCGGGTTGTTAAGAAAGCTCGTCAGCGTCACTACTTTCTGCGGAAACTTAGATAGTTTATCACAAACTCTAGGATTCTGCTTAACTTTTATTGCTGCACCACAGAAAGTTTTCCTTTTGGTTCCGTGATTGTGTGGTTTGGTGACATCACAGTCAAAGAAAAGAGAGCTCAACAAGGTTTTATCAGTTTGAACAGAGCACTTTAAATGATCTTGCACTTGTACTGAAACTGTTTTAGCTGACCAATTTCATAGTGATACTTTTTCCTGCTTTATTTGTTTTATTTCTGTACTTTAAACCTTGTTTTTTTTATACACTTGTCTTGTGCACACTGGGGACTTTTGCAATGTGGTTTTACTGTGAATGGCAAATAAATGAATTTGAATCTAAGAGATAACAGTTAACCATTTTAGTTATAAACTCTTCTAATCAGAACAACACAACAAAGCTTGGTAAAGAATACTTGTGCTTCATTATACACACTCTGCAACATCACACTTGTTCTAATTAAAAGGACATCATGAGGACTTTCAGCCCAGGTTAGGACTAGACCAACAAGTATGAACACAAACTTATAAAGTGGGGTAACGGCTGCATGGTTTGCCGACTGTCTTGCGCTCAAAGACATGAATGTGTACACGTTTCTACCAGCAGGCGACTTGCCATAATCTAATTCTGTTTTTACTGTAAGTAGCTTTGTTTTTTGAGTGCCCACTAAGGAGGGAAAACCTTGTCATTTTACTCAAGTGAATCCACCCACACAGAGCTTCTGGAGATCTTTTAGGGTTTTCCTGAATTCACACATTTGCAGCGGCAGTGAGCTCCTTTTGATTTGGCATAGCTCTGAACGCCTGCAAATCGAGCCAAAACGGTGCAGCACAGTCGGGCCTCCCACTCAACACGCCTCATAAAACATCTAATGAATGAGGATTATGGCTCCAGGGGGCAGAAAGTCGCCGTTGTAGGTATTATTGCCGCAATCAATGATACATCAGATTTAATTAGTGTTTTTCTGCATAAAAGCTGAATCATTCACTCCTCAGTCAAATGCTATAAATCATTGTCACCCTTGCTTTCAGGTAATTAAGATTAAGATTGATATTAAGAGAACCTTTATTTGTACCACAGTGGAAAATTATCAGTGTGTATTTATTTATTTATTCAATATGGACAGAGCAATAACATTGGACAAACCAGATGCATTGCTGTATGTGTTAAAGCACAGGTGCTAATTTTCAGCACTAGTCCACAAGGGGTTTTTACAGTGCAGAAGATAAAATACATTTAAAAGAATTACAATATAATTTACACATGAGAACATGTCTGTCTGGATCTTAACCACTGTTTGAGCTCTCTGCTGCATGGTCATGTTAGTCTGTAGTGTTAGTCCGGTGGGGAGAGAGTTCCACAGTTTAACCTTAAAGGAGAAGCTACAGTGCCTTGCGAAAGTATTCGGCCCCCTTGAACCTATCAACATTTTGCCATATTTCAGGCCTCACACATAAAGATATAGAATTATATTTTTTTGTCATGAATCAACAACAAGTGGGACACAATCGTGAAGTAGAACGAAATGTATTGGATAATTTAAACTTTTTTAACAAACAAAAAACTGAAAAGTGGGGCGTGCAATATTATTCGGCCCCTTTACTTTCAGTGCAGCAAACTCACTCCAGAAGTTCAGTGAGGATCTTTGAATGATCCAATGTTGTCCTAAATGACTGATGATGATAAATAGAATGCACCTGTGTGTAATCAAGTCTCCGTATAAATGCACCTGCTCTTTGATAGTCTCAGGGTTCTGTTTAAAGCGCAGAGAGAATCATGAAGACAAAGGAACACACCAGGCAGGTCCGAGATACTGTTGTGGAGAAGTTTAAAGCCGGATTTGGATACAAAAAGATTTCCCAAGCTTTAAACATCTCAAGGAGCACTGTGCAAGCAATTATAGTATCAGACTACTGCAAATCTACCAAGACCCGGCCGTCCCTCCAAACTTTCATCTCAAACAAGTAGAAGACTGATCAGAGATGCAGCCAAGAGATTCAGCCTGCTTTTCTTCAGCAGGGACAGGGAAGATGGCTAAAATTGATGGGAAGATGGATGGAGCCAAATACAGGACCATTCTGGAAGAAAACCTGTTGGAGTGTGCAAAAGACCTGAGACTGGGACGGAAATGTATCTTCCAACAGGACAATGATCCAAAACATAAAGCCAAATCTACAATGGAATGGTTCACAAATAGACGTATCCAGGTGTTAGAATGGCCAAGTCAAAGTCCAGACCTGAATCCAATCGAGAATCTGTGGAAAGAGCTGAAGACTGCTGTTCAAAAACGCTCTCCATCCAACCTCACTGAGCTCGAGCTGTTTTGCAAGGAAGAATGGGCAAGAATTCCAGTCTCTCGATGTTCAAAATTGATAGAGACATACCCCAAGCGACTTGCAGCTGAAATTCAAGTCAGTGAAAAGACCATTGCGTGCATATATAATACAGCAGCATGGTGTGATAACTCTCTTCTGATAAAATAAAAACAGTTAAGATTGGATTTGACCTTCTTACAAACATGCTTAACGTGACTTTGAAACTTCAGATGTTTATCCAAGATAACACCCAGGTATTTTGTTTCATCCACCTCCTTAATGACTTCATCTTTAAGACTAACCTCAAATAGACTATTTTTAGTGTTAGATGGGACTGTACTAGCCATGTTGAGATGTTGTGAAGGGCCTGTGTAAACTGCTGCCCAGCCAGAGCTGATGTTTTAGATGACACATGAATGACTGTGTCGTCAGCATGGAGCTGACAGTTTACATTCTGACAGCAGTCTGTAAAGTCATTGATATAAATGGAAAACAGCAGCGGACCTAGAATTGAGCCTTGTGGCACACCCAAATCATTTGGACATAGATTAGATTTAACGGCCCCATCCTTCACACATTGTACTCTACCCTTGAGATAGGACTTTAATCAGAGCTGCCGATGACATTTGAAATTGTTGTAATTTGTGTAACAAGATGCAGTGGTTCACTGTGTCGAAGGCCTTCTCCAAGTCTAAGAACACAGTACCCACAACATTGCCTTTGTCCAATGAACTTTTTATCTGTTGTGTCACAAGAGTAGGAATGAGGAGCACACAACTCAAAACATAACCGAATATAAGAAACAAAGTATATAAAATATCAAGATATGAAATATGAATTTGTACACTCTACTGCAAAGACGTATACTTGCATGTATAAATCTATGGATAAACCTGAATCACACTCTAGAGCACGAATATTGATGTCACAAGTCATTATCTCCAATGTTCAAAACAAGACATATCGATCGTCTCATATTGTATCTTACCCTATCACCAACAATAGGAGTTTAAACTCATTTATAAAGCAAAGGAGGTCACACAGGTCCAGGACAACAACAAAATATTAAACAAAAATATTGTTGTTTTTTTAATCAAAACAAATACAAAACTTAAAAAAAGTTTATTCAAAACTGATGTTCAGATTGATTGCTCTTTTGCTCGGATTGGATGGAATTTTTAAACCATCTAAACATTTGTAAC